CTGTGTCATGCCTTCCATCAGTGTGCAGTTCTCCTGTTCTGTATGAAAGTCTTCATCTTTTAGTTTCATTGATATGGAAAACTGTTATTTTGGCCATCTTTTGGTTCATAATTACCTGGATGTATGCACCTGTGTATATGTTTTCAACATTTCTGTATTTTTTGTCACAGGTAGATCTTGTCATATGTGTACCTCTCCAGTTATATTTTTCTGAGCCTTGATGTCTTAAGTTACTTTTTTCTAGTTGCTGAGACAAAATATCTGATGCCCAAAATTAAGGAAATGAAAGGTTCCTTTAGCTCCCAGCTTATGGAAGTTTCAGCCCATACTCAGCTGACTGCACAGCAGAGTACGTGGCACAGAGGACAAAAGACAGCAAAAGCAAGGAGAGCAAGAGGAGGAAGAAGCAAGCCTCTTTTCCTCCCTTATATTGTAAGCAAGCTACCCTGCCCGCGGGCCACCCTTCCCAATAGCTGGTGAAGCACTGGGACCATCTCCCTACCCTCTTCAACAGACTGAGGATGTTTACAAAGTTAGGACCCTAGTCCCCTGCTGAGTCACTTTAGTTAATTTATAAACTGCTCAAGTTGACATAATGAATCAACCATTAAAAAATATCCTAGAACAGTAAGGGCATGTGTGTATACTGCAGGATGTGTAACTGCTGAGTTACTTTGTTAGACTTTTAGACTTTTCAAGTTGATACAATGTATCAACCATAACACTTGATCTTTTTTGTTTGTTTGTTTTTGTACTCTAAAGAGTCTCTGCTGTTATTAGCAAAATTAGAAATTTAGGAGCCAAGGATACAGCTCAGTGGCATAAGCGCCTGCCTGCCAGCCAAGCGCAAGGTCCTGAGTTCAATTCTCAGTACCAAAAAAAAAAAAGAAGAGAAAAATGGGCATTGCAGTTGGATATCGTGGCATGCACCAATTACTCAGGTGGTTGAGGCAGGAGAATCAGAAGCTCAAGGCCTCTTATTTTGAGACAGCGAGGCCCTGTCTCAAAATAAGAAATGAAAAATAAGGGGCTTTAGCTCAGCATTAAGCACTTGCCTAGCATGCATGAGGCTCTGGGTTTATTCCCCAGTACTGGAAAAAAGAGGGCAGAGCAGGTTTCATATGCAGAAAGGGGTAAATTTATTCATCAAGGGGACATAATTCCAAATGTGCTTGTACCCAAATACATCCTAGTAATACATTTATTTTGGGCAAGAGGAGTATGTAAAACATTCCAGTTGTCAAAAGTACTCCATAAAGGAATACAATATCTTGAGAAGTATTGCTGTTACTTCCTCCTTACTAACCTGTTTCCAGTTCCCCCTTTTCCCTACTTTCTCCTCTATACCTCCTGTAGGCAGCCAGCACTTTCTGGTTTATTCTACCTGTATTTTTTTTTTTTTTTGGTGCTTTAAACAATTTATTTAACAAAAATGGACTTCCATTTATTTAGCTGAAGTGACTTCCACTTTATTTTGATTCATCTTTTCCCCATGGTGATTTACAGGATCTTCAAACCAATGTAAATATTTCATAAATATTTGGCTATTTGGGTATATACCTGCCCAATATGTCAGCAATATCTTTCAGCAAGAAAAACACTGAATAGTAAAGACCCTACATAATTAACTAGGTAGAAAGAAAATCTCTAAATATTTTGTTTCTGAGGCAAAGGAACCACATACCTGTTCAATTAAGAGAAACCACCCTTACAACATAGGATGATTTTTAAATTTTTAAGTAGGGCCTAGAACACTTAATGGCCAGTTAGGTGCTGAATGGCAGAGCTTCATCCCCAGTGTACGCCATGAATTCATAGGGAAAAGGTTCCCGCAATTCAGGCTCCTTTCCATTGGTTCTCACAAAGTGTACTCTGAGTGTGGCAGGTTGGTGCTTTAAACTCCAGTGAATTTTTCTTTGGTTTGCATCTTTTTCTGATCATTTTCCTTGTCATGTTTCAGGAAGCTATTGTGACTCTTTGAGTGTTTGGGGTGTTTTGTTTTGTTTTTTTGTTTGTTTGTTTTTTGGTACCAGGGATCGAACTGATGACCTCACGCTTTCCAGGCAGGCGCTTATGCCGCTGAGCTAAACCCCCAGCCCTCTTTGAGTGTTTAATTTGCTCAATATGCACATTAATCCTCTTGGCAAGCATATTATTCTTAACTTGCTTGTTTACACCAATGCCAACAGCATGCTGGGTAACACTGTAGACTCTTCTTGTTTTGTGATCGTAAATGTTTGTGTGGCATTCCTTTTTGCACAGTACACATTCCCTTGATGGCTACAATAGCACCCTTTTTGTAGATTTGCATGTATATGGTCAAAGGAATGACCCCATGTTTTCTAAAAGGCCTAGAGAACATATACCGGGTTCTTCTCCTCTTTCTCTTTGTGTTTGTCATTTTGGCAAATTACTAGAAGATGGAGCATCCAACTGAAAAGGTCTACCTGCATTATTATATACAAAGACAGTGTATGTGCATCTCGTGTATTCCTTTACTATATAAATGATAGTATACTATACACTGTTCTGATTTGCTTTTTTTAACTTTATAGTAGATCCCTAAAATGAATTTGTAGAGATCTTTCTCATTCTTTTTTATAGCTTCTTAGTGCTCCATTGTAGATGTATCCTAACTGGCTCAACCTTTCTTCTATGTTTTTCGGTTATTACAAACAGCACTGCAGCCTGTGCATATATATTTTCGTATTGGTAGAACATATGGCTCATAGGAGTGGGTCAAAAGTGAAGTGAATATGTGATTTTCATAGCTTTTGCTTTTGTGCGTGTGTGTCATACAGGAAATTGAACCCAGTGCCTTTGCACCAAAGTACATCCTCAGCCCTTTCTCTCCCCCTTCCTTACTTTGAGAGATGTCTCAGTAAGTCTGTAAGTTGTCCAGACTGGGCTTGTATTTGCTGTTTTCTTGCTTCATCCTCCCAAGGTGCTTGGATTACAGAACTCCGTGAATATTGACCATGCCTGGCCCCACTGTGTGTGTGTGTGTGTGTGTGTGTGTGTGTGTGTGTGGTGCTGGGGATCAAACCCAGGGCCTAGGCAAAAAAGACAAGAACTCTACCACTGAGTCACATTTCCAGCTCCCCCTTTTTTACTATGCAAATTACTTTCATTTTTAAATACTCAGATTTATTTTTTCCTTTATTGTCTGTGAATTTTATTTTTTAATTTTTATTTATTTATTTTGGCTTTTTGAGATAGGGTCTCATTTTGTAGTACAGCCATTAAACTCACTATATAACCCAGGATGCCCTCAAACTCATGGGGATCCTCCTGCCTCAGCCTCTCAGGTGCTAGGATTACAGACATGCTAGGATTGCCTATGGATTTTGAGTTCATTATAAACTTTTTTTTTCTATACCCATGTATTTTTGTAGAAGAACTCACCAAGGTTCTTCTAGAATTTCTATAGTTTTTGCTTATCCATCTGTTATGTATTGTGTGAGCTATTGTCTTTGTTACTTTTGTCTCCTTCCTGAGACAAAATACTTGCTGGCCAAAATGAAGGAAGGAAAGGTTTATTTAGCTTACAATTTTTTTGGAGATTTCATTCCTTACTCAGCTGGTTCTAGGGCAGGGTGGCGTGGCTAAGGAGCTCAACCAACATGGCAGCCATAAGCAATGAGCCAAAAGGGCAAGAGGGAGGAGTATACCTCCTTCCCACCTTGGGCAGGTGCAGCATTCATGGTACCAGTCCCAGGGTTAACAAACAGAGATGCTAGACTGCCACTTTGGAAAGGCCCATCCCCCAAGAGCACATGAGGCTTTGGGGTGACATTCAAACACAAACCATAACAGTAATGGATCTAATTTTGTATTTTTTGAAGTGACAACTAGTCCCAAAGTCATTACCAAAAAAGCCCATCATTACCCCAGTGATGTGAGATACCACTTTCATTATGTACACATTTTTATACATACATTTTTATTCTGTACTGCTTCACACCAGTGGTATATTTATCTATATAATTCATGTGCTAACATACTACTTTGATTATAGAAGTGTATTATATATCTTTAGGCTATTTACTCATCAAAGTTTTTTCTTTTTTCAATGTTTTCCTGGCTTATTGCATGTTGATATTTCCATAGAAATTTTAGTGTCAACTTGTTGAACTTCATAAATTTGCATGTTGGTATTTTTATTGGAATTGAATGATTTTATAAATTAAATTATGGAGAATTTTTTAGGTGCTAGAGATTGAGCCCAGGGTCTCAAGCACTCTTGGCAAATGCGCTACACTAAGTTACACCCTCAGTGCTGAGAACTGTAGTCTTTAATGTTGAGTTGTCCTACCTAAAAGTACTAGATACCTGCTTGTATTTTTGAGGAGTGTTTTAAAATTGCCTCGTACTGATTTTATACTTTCCTTGTTAAATTATTCTTGAGTATTTAGGCTTTGTTACTATTACAAATGAAAATTTCTCTATCATGATGTCCTGTTTATTGTTTGTGTATGAAAAGTTATTTGTATGGAAATGTAGCTCAGTGGTACAGCACTTATCTAGTGTGTGGGAGGACCTGGATTTGATCCTCAGCACTACAAAGAATAAAAAAAAAAAAAAGATTACTTACTTTGCATGTTAATTTTACATCCTATTTTATTGGGTAGTTTTATCAATTTTTTTCAGCTTTCTTTTTTCAAATACACTATTATAATAACATATACAGTCATCATTTTAGTTTTTCTTTTCCTGCTCTTAAAAGATCTTTTATTTAATTCCACTGGCTAACAATGCTAAATAGTAAATAGTAGCAGGGAGTTCATATTCTTGCCTTGTTTTTGATCTTACCAGTAATGTTTCCAGTGTTTATTATAAAATAATTACATATACAAGCTTCTACAGCTCTCTGACAGTGTCACTGACCTTAGGAGTAACAGTGAGATGTAACATTATAGCAAATCATTTGAATTTATATAAGCAGTCTTCATGTATATCATGGTCATGAAGAAAATTTTATCCTTGAATTTGTCTTGTAGTGTGTGCTGTTTTTATGGAGTTTAAAGATTATTCATCCCAAAACATTATTTCTGCTTCGAGGAAATCATGAATGCAGGCATCTTACAGAATACTTCACCTTCAAACAGGAATGTAAGTATAATCATTTTTCCAGAATCTTTTTATTCTTTAACTCTGAACTAAGGTTCAGAGTTTTTTCTGTGTTTTGAAACAGGGTGTCATTCTGTTGGCCTCAGTCTCTTGGGCTCCATGGTCCTCCCATTTTAGCCTCTTGTGCAGCCAGGACTACAGGCTGGGCCACTTTGTGTGGCTAAGCTTCAGGTTTTCAAAGTGACATTTAATCTGATCCTCCCTGTTTCATTACAAGTGGTTTTGTTTTTGTTTTTGTTTTATTGGAGTTCCTTTTTGTGTGGGAATTGAACTCAATTCTTTTTGACAAGCATAATTGGTTCAAACTATTTTTGGGACATGAAACAATAGGTTCAAGAATACTTTTAAGTTTTTCCTTTTGAACAGAATTTCTTATCTTAGGTTTTTATTTATTTTCTACATGCTTAAACTGTAGTTTTAATCTGATTGTTTTATTTTTCTTCTGTGCCAAGATACTCCTGTTTCACTTTAATGCTTCATTTGACATGTAAATGCACACATTGAAATACAAATTTAAATTTTTATTCCTGTATTAAGAAAGAGCATTTGTGTATTTTGCTTGGGTGTTTTTACTGATAAGCTGACCTCTTAAAGTACCACTGTGACTTTTAGAATCAAGACTTTATAATTACAAAGTAATGTTTAAATAGATGGTATTAGTTACAATCTTGTTAACGTTTTTAAGGGCTGAAGGTGATGGCTTTTCTTCTTTCAATTTTTAATTGCTTTATACTAATGGAAATTTAAAATTTTTTTGCCCAAATCTGGAGATAAGAAAGTATAACAGTTAATGTTTGATATATCATTTGTCATTGCAAAAATATATCTTGTTTTGTTTTGTTTTGTTTTGTTGTCTTGCAAGCAGGTGGTCGTGAGTTCGATCCCTGGTACCGATAAAAATGAAAAAAAAAAAGACCAAAAAAAAAAAAAGTTTTACATGGCATAGGAGATCTTATGAGTTGAATACTTACATGTGTACTGTATTGAATTAAAAAATAAAAATAAATTGTGAAAAACTAAATCATATGAGGAGGGCCAGTGATATAGCTAAGTAACACATGCCTGGCAAGTGTGAGGTCCTGAGTTTGATTGCTGGTACCAAAAAAAAAAAAAAAAAGTCATATGGGAAAGCTAGAGTTGGGTTTTGTATTACAAAATTTTTTGTCAAAAGAGAGGAAAAGAAAGTACTCTAAACTATATAACTGCATGTATATTTAAGTGTATAAGATAGAAAATGATATCACAGAGTTTTATTGGATCAATGAACAGAACTGTTTGCAGTATCATTGATGGAATGTCCACTTTACAAGCTTTAATTTTGTGACTTGAACAATTACTTCTAAGATGACAATATGTAATCCATTAACTAGTGATTTCCTACTGTTCATTTTTTTTCTGTAAATCTGTATAACTTGTACCCTTTCCCTGCTTTTTTTTTCTTTTCTCCTTAAATAAAATTAAAAAAAAAAATTTTTTTGTGATGCTGAGCTATATCCCCAGTCCAGTATGATTTTAATGAGATCAGTACAGAATTTATTGGGCCTCAACTTTCCATTCTTGACAGTAACAATGTTATTTTCCTTCTGGTATAGGAAGACATCTTTAACAAGAGAATTTCATCTCCTCCTTGTAAAAAACAGCATGAAAGTCAGAGTGATCTTCTTTCACATGCTGTTTTTCAAGTTCTTTTAACCCAAAATAGTCAGTGTTCCATAATAACGTTTTTTAGGGTAGCATATTCTTTTTTTTTTTTTTGAGACAGGGCCTTGCTATGCAGTTTAGGCTAGTTATGAACTCACTGTGTAGCCCAGGGTGGCCTTGAATTTATGGCAATCCTTCTGCCTCTGTCTCCTGAGTGCTGGAATCATAAATGTGCACCACCACACCCAGGGTAGCATATTTTAACTTCTTCGTTCTTCATATAAATATGTGGCAAGATCTCCAAAATATATTCTTAGGTACTAAGAAGCAAGATAGAACAATAATGTAGGTATGTTACCATTTATGGAAAGAACCAGATTCTGTGAAAGGAGAATTGATGTACACATTTGCACACAGATGCCTGGAATATCTTTGGAGAGACACCCAGGAAACGGGTAACACTGCTTGACTGTAGAGAGGATAGGAAATGTGGATCCTTTTGTCATTTTTAAATTTTGGACCATATAAATATACTTCCTGGCTTTCTCTCTCTCTTTTTTTTGGAGACAGGGTCTCGCTATGCAGTTCAGGCTGGCCATGAGCTCACTTTGTAGCCCAGGCTGGTCTTGAACTTACCAGCACACCTTCTTCAGCCTTCTGAGTCTTAGGATTACAAGAGTGTGCCACCACACCTGGTTTATGACTCTTTAAAAAGTGAAATCAGTAAAAGTTAAAACAGACCTGTGATAAGTGGCTAGCCAGGTTGTGGCTTCTTGCATTAGTGCTCTCAATTTGCTTTCAAAGAATTTATTTAAAATTTTTGATGCTAAATTATTAATGCTACTTAGAACTTGTATTAGTGTGATCTAATGGCTGTGATGCATTTTTTCCTTCATTATAGAAATGTTTTATGGGATTTATCATTTTCTTGAAAATAAAACGCTTGAATAAGCTAATTTAACTTTAATGATTATATATTTGGCTATGTAAAGTCTCTTTTTAAATATTGTAACAGTGATGCAGAGGTATATTTCAGGGGCGTTAAGAACATGAACATTTTAAGTTCTAGTTTTGTCACTTAAAAGCTTGCACCTGTAAGCAAATTAGCCCATCTTCACCAGCTTTTAAATTAACACGGTAATAAACCCACCTCACTGGGTTTTCATATAAGGACTTAATAATTTTATTGAACACATAATGCCTATAATGTGCTAGACATTAACACATTTCATATATGAATTCCTTTAATCATCACAGCAACCTTGAATTGTAAATAAGTGTTATTATATGTCCATTTTACATTATGAGACAGTCAAGGCACTATGTAGAAGCTATGCCCAAAGTCCCACAGCTACTAAGTGGCAGAACTGATAATCAAAATGAGGCAGTATTGATCCTCAACCCATGTTGGGTCAAGCACTTAGCGATCCGAGAGCCACATTAAAAACCTACAACATAATTCCAGTATCAGTAGTATACAAAGATGATACATTCACCATAGAAAATTAACAAAATATGGCTAAATATGTAAAGAAAAATATAGATACTATCTTCAGTCTAACCTTTCGGAAAATTAAATGTTGGTATTCATATACATACATCCATATCCTTTTTATTTGTTTCTTTTGAGAAAGGATCTTGCCATATAGTTTTGAATGGTCTTGAATGCTCTACGTATTCTAGGCTGGTTTCAAACTCATGTTGATCCTCCTGCCTCAGCCTCCTGAGTGCTGGGGTTATAGAATCACACCTGGCTTTTATCCATATTTTTTAAAAAAGTAAAAATGGTAACATGTTGTGACCTATTTTAGTCAGATACTAACACAGCATGAGTTTCTTTTAATTTATTTTTGGTTCCCTGTTATAATTTACAGGTTGATTCAGCCTACTGTGTTTACTTCCATCTTTCTCCAGACTTGGCATATCTTTTGCAAGTTAAGGAATTCTGTTAAATCATGCAAGGATCAAGAGGCAGGTTTTCAATGCTAGATGTTGTTATGACACATTAATTAGTGATTTAGATTGTTGCCTGTATTTGAATTTAGGACCCTTAGAAAGGCATTCCTTATTGATGTTGGCAACAGAGGAAACTCTGGATCCTAAGATTTTTAGGAGAAAAAGGATTGTTTGATTTTGGCAGTAAAAAAAACCTTTACATCATACAGTAGAAAAGCATATAACCTCAACTGTGGCTCCCTGATTTATACCTCCCTTAGGGCCATCTTTAATCATTCCCACCACCTAGGTACTGCACTCTCTTGACTTTACTTCATTCCTCAAAGCTTGCCAAGGCCAGGCTCTGATACTGAAATGTCTTTTCTAAAAGCCTGGAGAGATTGCTTCTTGGCCCTTGCTTTAGATCAAGGGCAGTGTTTGTTCTTATCAGTTAATATCTGATATGCCCTCTAACCAAGGACAATATACTAAATGGACGTTTGAAACAGGAAGATGTAACAAGAGGTTGCTATGTCCACCCAATGCATTGACCTGGTATTATAGTAACTCCAGAAACAGTGCACCCCAGGGTGGGGGGTTATAAAGCCAGTGTTCAAAATTAATGAAATAAAAGCCAGGAACATGTTACCGTGGTCTCAGCACTTGGAAGGCTGAGGCAGGAGGGTCACTGTGAGTTTGAGGTCAGCCTAAGCTACATAGTGGGTTCAAGGCCAGTCTGAGACTACATAATGAGATCTTGTCCCCCCAAAAAATAAAAAAAATAATAAAATAAAATCTTGGGGCTGGAAATATAGCTAAGCAGCACAGGCACCTGCCTGACAAAGTGTGAGGTTGTGAGTTTGATTCCTGGTATAAAAAAAAAAAAGACAATTATAAAAAAAGACAGAAAAACAAACAAAAAAGAAAACAAGTGCAGAAATCATTACTGTCAGGATAATCCTATTTGCTAGGTAGAGCTCAGTTCTCCTGGACTGTAGGCCATCTAATCTGTACAGAATCTTGGAAGCAGAAGAGCTCCCAGTGCTCTAGGGCTGCCTATTAGAGTTCTGGCCTTCTTTACCAGGCATCTACTAACTTTGAAACCTAAGGTCAAGTATAATGTTTATAATGTTTTCAGTTACTATAGCAAAATACTTTAAGGTGATGGATATTTTTTTTTTTTTTGAGACAGTGTTTCACCATGTAGTGCAGGCTGGCTTTGAATTCACTATGTAGCCTATGCTGTCTTTGAACTCATAGCCATCCTCCTGTCTCAGCCTCCTAGTACTGGGATTACAGGCATGGACCATCACACCCAGCAAGGGTGGGTGTTTTATAAAGAAAAGAGGTTTGCTTGATCCATAGTTCTGGAGGTTCAAGGACATGGGGTAGGCATTATTTCTGTGCTGGTGAGGACCTCACAGTGGTTGCAGTGGACACCATCATGGTAAGAGAACATGCTAAAGAGAGATCACATCGTGAAATGAGCCAGGAAGTCAGAGACTGGGAGGGGCCAGTTTTGTTTTTTTATTGCAACCGTCTAGCAGGAACTAACTTGAATCTCAGAACTGCATTCATTCCTTCTGAGGACAGCCCCCATGGACTTCCCACTAGGCTCCACTCTACCCATGCCCATCCTGGAGCCTAGCCTTCCAACGCATGGACACTTGGGGGACACAGTCAAATGACATCCAAACCGTAGCATCCAAAAAGAGAAAACTGCTCTTTTTATTTAAACGAAAGCCTATCTTCTAGTCTCCTACTTATTATTTCATGATCTTACCTGCCTGAAGAATTGTAGAGTCCTCACCTTCTGCCCACTGAAGTATTTCTTGGTGTGTGTCCCAACTTGACAATTGCATCAAAATATAATTCATTAAGCCAAACATTTTTATTTAAAGTTGAATAAGGACATAACTTGTAGATTTTTAAAATCATGAGCAAAAAGATTGTTATTTTGTTACGACCTCTTAAATCTCCAGTTTCCAATTAAATATCTACCATTCTTTTGAGAGTGAGTTATTTGGACTCCCAGGACTACCACTGGCCAGGTGTGGCCTCTGCTTAGAAGATGTAGGTCTTGCTGTTTGGTGGTATAGTCCCTGTGGGAGCGTGGACAGCTTTTGCTTCATTTCCCCTCCGAAGTTACAGGTTGGGTACACTGAACAAGGAAACAGTATCCACGCTAAGTAGGGCGGGAACCACTCTGTTTTAAAAGGCTCATGCATGACAAGTGCCAGTATCACTTGTAAAAGCTTTATTGGAAGAGCTTCCAGGGTCCCAAAAGGACATACTGACTTATGAGTCACCACCCTGAAAGGAGCCCAAAGCTATCACCTCCTGCCAGGTAATGGAGTAATTTTTACCATAAGCAGTGTTGCCTAATGAGACATCTGACAGTCACCTTATCAGGTTTCCAGGGCAACAAAACTGGAAAGTTAATCCTAGGTCACACTTGTCTTTAGAGAGGACAGAGGTTTGTTAAACTTTTGTAACTTTTCAAAAATATCTTTACAAAGATGATTGTGTTTTCAAATTTGCCTAAAGTAAATAAATGACTCTGACATAGCCTTGTACTCTTCTGGCTTATATTCTTTTTCATATATTACAGTTTTTTCCTTTTTTTTTTTAGGTCTAATCAAATATTCAGAACGGGTGTATGAGGCATGTATGGACACGTTTGATTGTCTTCCTCTTGCTGCCCTCTTAAACCAGCAGTTTCTCTGTGTCCATGGAGGAATGTCACCTGAAATCACTTGTTTAGATGACATTAGGAAAGTAAGTAATATCTTATTATTCTCACAGATATGTTTTTAAATATTTTTTTATTGCAGCCAACTGATACATTTTTAGCTGAAATTTTAAAATGCAGATAATCAAAAATAAGAAAATAGAAATTACCTATGGTCTCCTTGTTGTAAGATTCTGCTTAAATTGATACAAATTTACCAGCAATTTTCTTGCATTTTAAAAATTAATTCTGTGCCTTTTTCAATAGAAGTGTAAAATTCTTAGGCTAAAGCTATGAAATAATTCTACCACCACCGCCTGGGGATTGAACTGAGGCTCACTTACCACTCAACCATATCTGTACCCCTTTTTGTTTTGACAGGGTCTCACTGACCCTGGTTCCTGTTTTCCTCCTCAGCCTTCTGAGTAGCTAAAGGTACGATGCGTACCATCTTGCCTGCCTTGAAACTTAAATTATGGCAAAATACAGAGGGAACAAAACTGGGATATAATCCTAGTCCTTGACGAAGTTGCTTGGTATTTGTTTTGTTTTGTTTTTTTGTTTTCCCAGTGCCAGGAATCAAACTCAAGGACCTGCACTAGCCAAGCAGGTGCTGTGCTGCTGAGCTACATCCTCAGGCCCAATTCACCGACTTTGACATTGTAAATGATAAAGTTTAATTGTTCCACTTGCCTTACATGGTCATTATTTCAAAGACTCTTTGTCTTCATTGCAAAAAGAGGACCAATCTTTGTTCTACATGATGATCTTCTTTACCTTTGTATTTTCTTAGTCTTCTTGTGTAGTTACTGAAAGTAGAGATTTGTGTGTTTGTAAAACTATTTTCTCTGGGACTGGGAATATAGCTCAGTGGCACCAAGTGCCTTTCTGGCAAGTGCAAGGTCATGAGTTTGATCCCTGGTACTTTAAAAAAAAAAAAGCAAAAAACAAAAAACTTTTTCTCTGAATTAAAGTCAGCCTCCTGCTGGGCATGGTGGCACATGTCTATAATCCCAGCACTCAAGAGGCTAAGGAAAGCACGATCGGACTTCCGGGAGAACATGGCGGACAGATAACAGCAACTACCGGAGGCTCTCTGAAAACTAGGCTCAGAAGCCAGGTATGGTGCGGACTAAAGAGACATAAGCAGGTGGAGTTATGCTCTGCTGACTCAGGAACGAACTCGGCTGAGAGAAACCAACTTGGAATGCAGTCCTGGTGCTAAAACAGGAACAGAAAAGCCTCGCTGCTGAGGCTGGACCCCACGCCATTTGGGTTTCCCGCCGCGCGGTGGCTGGCTGCCTCTACGTCGGCTCGGCAAGGAGAGAGACGCACGGAAACTCTGAGAACGGGAGTCTGTGAACGGAGTCGAAAACAGGACAGGCAGGGAGGCATGTTCTGACTTGTGGCGAGGTGAGTGAGAGAAACTGACACTCCACCACAGTTTGACTCCAGCGGACTTTCTGGGCCCGGGCAGTCCTGTGGGAGCAGGGCGCGCTGGCGACTCCAGCCACACATTCCCCTCTCGGGCGGGATTGGTGAAAAGTGTCTGGCCTGCGTGACGCTGCCGGCGGACCCCGTAGGCTGGCCCAACCCAGATCCCAGAGCCTGACGGAGGCCGGGAGGGGCGGGCCCCCGCGTAGGCTGCCTGGTGTGCAGCAGTGAGTGGAAACACCTAACCGGCGCAATTCGATCAGGCTGTGGCTGACAGAGAGAGAAGCTAGGCCTCTCATATAAGCTTGCATATATAAGGAACAGAGAATATGGGAAGAGGCAGCAACAAGAAAGGCTCCTCGGCCCCCAATTCTAAGAAACAGGCAATAACAGACACCGCACCATTACACATAAGGCGCCATATAGAGAGCCTCATAGACCAATTCAGGAATGAAGTTATCAACGACCTGAAGCTAGAAGTATGCAAAATAGTTAGAGAAATACTAAGCACCACCCAAGAAAAAACAGATGGTGGAATGGAAGAACAGAAAAAGAGGGGAGAAGTGTTTGATGGAGAAAACAGGGAAAGCATAGAATACGTGAAGCAGGTTCAAAGGGACTACCAAGAAACTAAGAAGTCTATCGAAGACTGGCATAACAGCTTGAAAGAAACTAAGGACAGACTATCTGAACTGGAGGGCAGAATTGTAATATGGGAGAATGAAATGAAAAACTTCTTAAAAATAACAAAGAAACAAACAGCAATAATACAAAGACAAGAAGATGATAAGAGGAGCCATAACTTAAGGATTAAGAACATAAAAGAAGAAGTAGGGACACAAACAAATGAACTACAAAAGCTACTCACAGAAATAATCCAGGAGAATTTTCCTAATTTAGCAAAAGGTAAAGATACTCAGATGTATGAGGCATACAGGACCCCAGCTACCTACAACCCAAACAGAGCAACACCCAGGCATATAATAATAAAAATTCCAGAAATTCAATACAAGAACAGAATATTAAAAGCTGTCAGAGACAAGAAGCAGACCACTTACAAGGGGGCACCCATCAGAATTACAGCAGATTTCTCTGCACAAACCATCAAATCACGAAGAGCTTGGGGGGAAATAATTCAAGCTTTGAAAGATAATAATCTCCAGCCAAGATTGAGATATCCTGCACAACTGTCCCTCGAAATTGATGGAAAAACAAGGTGCTTCCAGAATAAAGAGGAACTGGGGGAATTTGCAACCACCAATTCAACTCTACAGAGAGTATTGCAGGATATTCTAAAAAAAGAAAAATACAAAGAATCCAGAAATAATGGAGGCCACAACGAATGGAGCAGAGAACAAAGTGAAGAAGACAAACTGACAGCTACTGACAGAATAAGAGCTCAACAGAAATGAGGCAGAGAAGATTGGATGGTAGGAACAGCTATTTTAGAGAAAATGACATCTTAATAGGTAATACTGATTTAGTATCATCTTGTTTTGAAGTCTCATCTAGCTTTTGTCCTTCTGTCTCCAATGGTCCAAATAGGTTGTATCTTACTGGATTTTATTATGTATGATAGTATAAGCAAAAACCTTTTAAAGACAAGGAGATTATACAGAAACCATTGTTCATTTTCTGTTAGTCGATTCTAAATACTCTGTAATGCTGTCATTCTCTTGAATGGTTTTACATTGTTTTGATATACTTAATGCTACAGTATACGAAGTTGTACTCAAGGATTTCAAGGAAAGAGATAATATGGTAACTACTTTTAGGTCAGGATTATCTGGTGGTGAAACACTATTCTGCTTAAATGGTTATGTTTTGATCTGTGCTGTTTCGTTGTTATGCCCTCTTTTATCTCAATCTCCACTCCATTATTTACTTTTTTATTTTTATCCTTTTAATTAAAGGAAAAAATAGCAGGATATATTATAGTAACCCACTTTGACTTTCCATTACCTCGATTTAAAGCCCTGTATTACTCTCACCATCTGGTTTTTAACTGATGTTCCCCCATTCTGTTTTGCTGGATAGTATCAGGTTCGAAAATTTAGGCATCAGCTGTGAAGATAATGAGATTCATTATAACGCCCATTCTCATTGACTTTTATCTATTTTTGAAGACCTACAATGTCTCCAATGTTTTGGTTTTGTCGGTTTTATTCTTTACAGTTTTGTTCAATTGTATTGTAACTAACAATATAGGCAATTCTATTAGAGATAGCGGGAGGCATTATGGTAACCATTGTTGATCACCTTGTATTATGTTTTCACATTATCTATTATGTCCACCCTTTTGACTTGACCGATTCTGTTCTGTTATGTCACATTTGGTTTTACTCTCTTCCAAAAAAGTAATAAGAACCATGGGAGCAATGAAACCCAAAATGTGTAATAGTCATTGTACAAAAGAGAGGAAAAGAAAGTGCTCTGTACTATATAACTGCATGTATATTTAAGTGTATAAGATAAAAAATGATATCACAGAGTTTTATTGGATCGTTGAACAGAACTGTTTGCAGTATCATTGATGGAATGTCCACTTTACAAGCTTTAATTTTGTGACTTGAACAATTATTTCTAAGATGACAATATGTAATCCATTAACTAGTAATTTCCTACTGTTCATTTTTTTTTCTGCAAATCTGTATAACTTGTACCCTTTCTCTGCTTTTTTTTCTTTTCTCCTTAAATAAAATTTAAAAAAAAAAATTAAAAAAAAAATTAAAAGTTAAGAAACGAAAAAAATAAAAAAAAAAAAAAAAAAAAAAAAAAAAAAAAGAAAGCACGATCATTGTGAGTTCAAGGGAAGCCTTACCACAGAGTGAGATCCTGTCTCAAATAAATATAGAAAGTCAACTTTCTGAGGATAGTGGAGTAAACCTGTACACACTGGCTTTTCTCTGACTTTACTGTCTTAAATAAGCCTTTCGCTTCTATACAGTAAATCTTGGATTTAACAATTCTCAGTCAATTTTATTAATAAATAGCTCCTTTCTTATTCAGCAGAAGTTATCCTCTTGGCACTGCTCTGCTCTAGTTACTTGTATTCTTTTGGCCTTTATACTTTTACTAAAGCAGTAATGACTAAAATCGTGTTAGTAACTGATGTTGAAATGTCTCTACTGCATAGAATGGAAAAATGAAAGCCCTATATAAAATTAAACTAATATTCTTTTAAAATAACTGTCCATTGAAGTGAAATAAATAATGAACAGAACCAGTCTAAAACCTTCCTGCTCTCCTGGTGACACTGGTCCCCACAGGCAATAGAAGTTACCCTCACATGGTTTTCCTAAAATAGTATCTCTCTAGTGACCGATTTCACATTCAGATTGAATGAGCACTGCTTTAAGATTGGGGCGGGAGGATGTCCTTTCTGACCTTTCTGTCTTCTTGATGTGCTGAGCAGCAAACCCAGGCATGCAGTGCACACTGAGCCATGCCCCCATCCCAAGGAAGTGGAAATCCTTTCAATGGTATGGTTAGAGGACAGCAGTGAATGAATATTTACATGGAAAATAATAAAAATTACAAATTCAAGTTGTTTAAAGTTAGTTTTTTGGGCTTTTTTTTTTTTTGCAGGAAAACTCTTTGTGGGTTTATATCTTTTCTCCTAATACATTCCTACAGGTAGAAGAGGGTTTTTGACCTACCTGCTTCTAAGAGCCTTTTTGTTTTCCTGATTTTTGTCTTCTGGCTTTTGCATGTCTTCCAGTTAGACAGGTTTACTGAACCTCCAGCCTTTGGGCCAGTGTGTGACCTGCTTTGGTCTGATCCCTCGGAGGACTATGGCAGTGAAAAGACCTTGGAGAACTATACCCACAACACTGTCCGAGGGTGCTCTTACTTTTTCAGGTAAGTTAATCGAAGTAGAAAATTAAAAGAAGAAAATCCTTTGTGATGTGCTTTAAAACCAAATTATTTTTAAGCATTTTATATCTGAAATGTGTGGTACAGGAATTTCTGTTTAACTTTTGAATAGGAGACAAAAACATTTTGTATGTTTTATATTTTCATGGGTGTTATACCCTAAAAGTATAATATATCAAACATGATTGGACATCTTTCAGTGCTTCAACATTGCCTGACTGTAAACTATCTAGGGTATTTGTTCCTAAACATCATTTATATATTTTCATTTTAAAAAAAGATATTTTAGGGCTGGACATACAGCTTATTGGCACAAGTGCCTATCTGGCAAGTGCGAGGTCATGAGTTCGATCCCCAGTACAAAAAAAAAAAAAAAAAAAAAAAAAGATATGTTTACTCTCTTTCCAGAAATTGTGATTCAGTATGCCTGAGACAGGGCAATCCTGTTATTTTTAAAAAGCTCTCCAGCTTTTGGAACCATTTGAATAGACAAAGATATAAAAAGAACAGGACATCGTGATCTAAGCACAGGACATTTCCTGGAAGTTGGCTATTGTCCTGATTTCCACATGTGAGCTTTTATTGTGGTTTGCCCCCCAAAATATAGGAATATTTGAAATACAAATTATTTTATGTGGTAAAACATGTATATTCTCCCCTAAATATCTGTTTTATAGCTAAAATAGCACATTAATTAAATGAAACACATACTCTATGTTAGTACTTTTGTAAATGACGCTATTTGCATTCTTTCTACCAACTTTTCAAAGTGATATAAGTGGTAAAATTGTTTAATTTTACTTTTTACATTGTTAGGAATGGTAGAATGTGAAGCATAATTTCTGTAGAAGTAACCTTGGCAATGTCTGTTATATATGAACATGCCCTTGATCCAGAAAATCTGTTTTGAAGTTTGAATCCTGTGGATAGACAGTGGATGTTCAGTGTTTGCAGATTCCATATTTGTGAATTCTTCTACTCACTAAGATTTATTTGTAACCCCAAAATCAATTCAAATCTTTCACAGTCATTAATGGACATGCACTGTGATAGGAACAAAAAGATTAGTTTACCCCACACAAAGTGTTTCTGCTGGGTTAACTATGTAACACTCTGTTGTCTTGGTTCAGTCATCATACTGTAAGTACCTGTATTCTTGGTGCTACTTATATAGTGCAACGATTTCTGTGGTTTTGTGCTTTTTGTTAGTGATTTTACTGTTTTAAATGGCACTCAGGCTTAGTGCTGGAATGCTGTCCACTGTTGCGAAGCACAAGAAGTCTGCAATGTACCTTACATAGAAAATTTGACAGTTTTAGTTCAGTAATGAATTATGATGTTGGCTGTGCATTCAGCATCCATGAATCAGTAATATATTTAAGTAAAGCATCTCTAAAATACACATGGTGGCACATATCAGTAATCCCAGTTTTCTGAGAGGCTGAGGCAGGAGGATTTCAAGTTTGAACCCACCAAATTAGGCAACTTACAATGTAGCAAGATTCTATCTCAAAAAAATAAAAAAGGGAGCTAAGGATTTAGCTCAGCGCCCTAAATGCCTGCTTGGTGAATGGGAGGTCGTGAGTTCGATCTCCAGTACCAAAAAACAAAACAAAACAAAAAAAGGGCTGGGGCTATAGCTCGGTGTAATACAAGCTATGGATTCAGTCCCATTTGGAGGGGGACCCCTACTTCTGAAACAGGGTTATATATTAATTAGTCAATGTAAATATGACCAAAAGTGTATAGGATATTAACACTATATTTCTCATAGGAATAATAATTTATTCTTCATTAATTCACTTTTGAAGCAACATGACAGAACACTTGTTACTTCAACTAATGAGGATCAATTCTACCTGCAAGTTTGTGAAATATGTTTATTCCTTTGGGTTATTTATGATAAAAGGGTGATAAAAACCATAGTGTGTGATACATTCAGACATTGATCTTTTAGGCTATTTTTTCAAAATGAAAAAACAAGCTGTTTATGTACTGGTATGAAATAATCACTAATAAAAGTGAAAAATATATAGTACAGAATTGTGTGTATCATCTGCTAACATTCAAAAAAAAAGGAGAAAGGGGATAGACATATGTGATTGCTTGGAATTGGTCAGATTGGCTTTTGTTTTTGAGTACTCAAGAAATCAGGAATCCTGATGGCTTTCAGGGTAGCTGGAAGTAGAAAGGACGTATTTCAGTGTTGTCTTTTTTTTTTTTTTTTCTTGGTACCAGGGATCGAACTCATGACCTTGAGTGTTTACACTTGTATTTTTAAACTTTATGTCTTGTGAGTGTGCATCATTTATTTATGTTTAGCTTTATGGAGGTATCATTGGCTAATAAAAGGTATGTATTTAAGGTGTACAGCTAGATATTTTGATACACATATACATTGTGAAATCACCACCACAGTCAGCCTACCTAATTAACGTATCCATCACCTCACATAGTTGCCTTTTTTGTATGTGGTGAGAACACTTAGACTCTACCCCTTTACAAAGTTTAGGTATCCTTAATGGTAGTCACCGTGCTAAGTATGTACTCTACCGCTGAACTGTACCTCCACCCTATTTTGAACTCTTTGACTAACATCTTTCCATTTCCCCAACTCCTAATGCTCTGTAAGCCATCATTCTACTCCTTCAACAAATTTAGATTCTACAAGATCATATGCAGTGAACATCTTCCAGATTTATCCATGTTATTACAAATTCTTAGAACATTTTCCTTCTTCTAAGTGTGAATTTTATACATACACATACACAATCGCATTCACATACACATGCACTATTTAGGTTGTTTCCATATTCTAGGCTATTATGAAAGGTGTTTTGATGAACATGGGAAGAAAGATACTTACTCAAATACTGATTTTATTTTCTTTGGAAGTATACCCAGAAGTCAGATGGTTGAATCATGTGGTCTGTTTATAATTTTTTAAGGAATTTCCAATTTTCCACAGTGGCTGTACTAATTTATATCTCCACCAGTGTTGTACCAAGGGTTTCATTTTCTAAAGTATCCTTGCCAGTACTTTTTGTCTTTAGGTAATAGCATTCTGACAGGTATTTGGAACTATGTCGTCATGATTTTGATTTGTATTTCCTTGATGATTAGTGATGTTGGGTAGTCTTTCATATACCTTGTTAGCCATATGTATGTTTTTGTTCAAATGTCTGTTAAGTCCTTGACCCATTTTTTTTTCCATCAAGTTATTTGTGGAATTTTCTCTGACTTACTCTATTCTGTCTGATTTAAGTATAGCCACTTCTGATTTATTTTGATTGCTATTACCATGAAATATCTTTCTCCATCCCTTTGCTTTTTTTTTCTTTTTTGTTGGTACTGGGGATTGAACTCACGACCGCCTGCTTGCAAGACAGGTGCTTATGCCGCTGAGCTAAATCCCCAGGCCCTATCCCTTTGCTTTTTGGCTTATGTATATCCTTGAATGTAAATGATTCTCTTATAGACAGCGTGTAGTTGGATCTTGGCTATTTTATCCAGTCACTTTATGTTTCTAAGGAGATAAATTGATTAGGGACAGGGAAAGTTGTCATTTGGTATTGTTTTCTGTCTTCTTTTATAGTTCTTCTGTTCATTTCATGTCTGTGTGATTTGATGATTTTTTTGTACTAATGTGCTTTGGTTTTTAGCTTTGTGTATCTATGCTGAACTTTTCTGGTTTTTTTTTTTTTAACTTTGGGATTCACATCAAACATTGTATAGTTATTGTAGTTACCTTTAGCTGAGAATTTAACTTTAGTCACATACAGGACACTATTTTATGTTTTCGTGTTCAGCCCCCTTTCATTTTAACCTAAAGTTTCTTTAAGAAGATTTTATGCTTGGCTGGGGATTTAGCTCAGCGGCATAAGCACCTGCCTTGCAAGCAGGCGGTCAAGAGTTCGATCCCTGGTACCAATAAAAACTTAAAAAAAAAAAAAAAAAGGAGGAAAGAAGATTTTATGCTAATAAACTCTCCCATATTTGTGGTACCAAAGGTACCTGGGACCATTGTACAGAGCTACAATCCCAACTTACTCTCCTTCCTGCATTGCTCTGTTCTCCTCTCCCCCTCCCCCTCCTCCTCCCTCTTTTTTAATTTTTGAAATAAGTTCTCCATAAATTGCTAAGTTTCCCAGGCTGGGCTCTAATTTGTAATTCTCCTGCTTCAGCCTTCAAGAGTCATGGTATTACAGACATGCACCGCTGCACCCAACTCTGACTTCACTGTCAAATGACATCTTGCTGGGTAAAATCCTTTCAGATTTTGGTTGACGCAGTGGTCTTTCTTTTCCCTTCTCTTCCCTCCCCTTCCCTCCTTCTCCTTTCCCTTCTCTCTTTCCTTCTTTCCTTTTCCCTCCCTCCCTCTCTCTTCTTTCTTAATTTTAATAGATCATCCCCTTCTCTCCTGGCCTGCAAAGTTTCTGCTCAGAAGTCCACTGATAGTCTTATGAAAGCTCCTTTTCATAAAGTGCCTAATTTCTCTTTCTACTTTCAAAACTGTCTGTGGCTTTAACTTTTAACAGTTTATAATGCGTCTCAGTTTAGACCATTTTAATTTGTTTGAGCCATGTGGGCTTTATGAATTGAGATGTCTGTTTCTCTCCCTAGATTTGCAAGATTCTTAGCTCTTTTTTTTAAATGAGATTTCTGCTCCTTTTATTCTTTTTCTTGAACTCCTATGCATATATTATTTGACTACTGCTGTTGCATAAGTCTCTTATACTTTTTATACTCTTTTTTTGTTTTGTTTTTTGGTACCAGGGATCAAACTCAACCATGCGCTTGTAAGGCAGGCGCTTATGGCCACTGAGCTAAATTCCTGGCCCATTTTTTATACTCGTATCCTTTCCTTTTTTTTTTTTTTTTTTTTTTCTATTTGGATAATTTCAAGTGAGTTGTCTTTGAGTACAATAATTCTTTTCCTGGGCACAGCTGAATCTGCTGCTGGAACTTTTTATTGGATTTTTTTTTTTTAAGTTCAGTCATTGTATTCTTCATTTCTAGGGTTTCTGTTTGGATTTTAGGGTTTCTTTTCTTTCCTTTGTTTCTTTTCCCTTGGGGTTAGGGATTGACCCAAGGCCTTGCGCATACTAAACACAAACTCTACTATTGAATTAAATACCTATCCCTATTTCTGTTGCTTTACTGCACATCTCAGTTTGTTCCTGTGTTGTTTTCCTGATTTCATTTAGTTGTCTAGTTGTACTCTTGTGGCTCCTAGAGTTTCTTTGAAATAGTAGATTCTTTGTCATGCATTCTGTGAATCTTCATTTCCTTAGGGTCAGTTATTGGAGCTTTATTAGTTTTCTTTGGTGATACTTCATAATCTATGTAGATGTGCACATGTATCTGTGGACTGGAAGAAGCAAACACCTCTCTCAATCTGTACAGATTTGTTTTGTCAGGTAAACACCTGCTGGGAAGCAGACTTTTGGGGCTACTCTGGGATCATGGCTGAGTGGGGCTGCAGGTGGGTCACAGGGCTACCACAGGGTCCACAGTTGGTGGTCTGCATGCCCTTTATAGCATGGACAGGTATGCTGTGTGTCATCTCATATGCCTGGGTAGACACAAATGCCTCTGAAACTCAATAGAATGAGTCTTGAACAAGGTCACAGGGTCTGTTTAGGTCTGCCTTAGGGTCCCATCAGCAGTCCTGGAGCATGGACAGGTGTGGCTCCTTCCAGGACAGAGAACACAGGACTGGGACTACCTCTTGGCCACAGCAGAGTGAGGCTAGAGCTTGGCCATAGGCCCGCTCTGGCAGTACCATTGGATTTGGCTGCCAGTCTATTACCAGTATCGGTAGTAGTCATGGCTTGTCCCAGGTGCCTAAGCAGATGGGGCTGCTACAAGACTGCAGACAAGTGACGCTATAGGCAAGTCTTTATAGGGCCAGGCTGCCTCTGGGTGTACGTGGGTTTAGGGCTGAGGGGCTTCCTTTTTACTGTGGCTCTCCTTTGGTTGGGCTACACCAAGACCTCACAACCTCAATCCTGAGGGCCCTACAGCAGCACTTAGCTTGTAAATTGCTGCCAATTTGTTGCTTCGGTGTCAGGGCTGGGGACTTTGTGATCTGCCATTTTGATGATGTCATCCATAATTTATCTTAAAAGTAAATTTTCTCTAATAATGAGAAAGATTTTTTGGGTTTTTTGGTATCAGGAATTGAGCTCATGACTTCATGCTTGACAGGCAGGTGCCATGTCATAAAGCTATATCCCCAACACTAATGAGAAAGATTTTTAAAAATAAACTAAATAATTAATACTTAGATAATTCCAGTTTAATATATTATATTATCCAGTTCTTCCTACCAGATATTTGTCATTCAGAAAGATAATAGTACTAAGTATTTTAGTCATGTGCAGATATCACACCTTTTGTTAGGATGTAGTTAGCTATAGTGTTTATACCTATTCCTGTAATAATCTTGTATAAAATCATCTTGAGGTTGATGTTACATGTAAAGCTATAAGTATATTTCACTTTTCTAATAGCTTGATAATTTGATGGTTGAGGAAAATTATGTATTCAGTTTATAGCATATGTATATATGCACATTCATGCTACTCTGGTACTTTTTTACATCAAAATACCAGGAAAAGTTCAGGTCTTGCATCATTACTACTGTGGGTTAAGATAAAAGAAATTAAAAGGTGAGAAGCTCTTTCCCTAGGGTTGTGTGTTATCTTTATATATGACCTATAGCTTATATTAGTGAAATGAAAAATAGTCATGATTACTAATTTCAGTGGTTTGAGTCTATGAGTATAACACCCTGAATGTTTCCCATCTTGTCTAATTTCAGCCGTGTATATCTATAATCTCGAAACAAAACCATTCATATCATCTTGCTTGTCACCTCATTCTATTAAAAAATAGTTGTTTTAATTTGGAATTTATGTCTTCTAATTTTCAGTTACCCTGCAGTTTGTGAATTTTTACAGAACAACAATTTATTATCAATAATCAGAGCCCATGAAGCTCAAGACGCTGGGTAAGTTACATTAAAACTGTAATAAAACCAAATATCACAGCAGATTGTTTTTAACCTTTGATATCAAGACAGGCTTTCATCTCTCTTCCAGGTATCGAATGTACAGGAAGAGCCAGACCACCGGCTTTCCATCACTTATTACAATTTTCTCTGCCCCTAATTACCTAGATGTCTATAACAATAAAGGTAAAGGAGCCCCACAATATTTGAGTTTGAATTTGTGAGTACATATGAACTCTAGTCTAATTATGGTATTTGTTTACCTCTTGATGCTAGGGATTGAACCAAGGCCTTGTACATGCTAAGCATATATTCTACCATGGAGCTACCCCCTGAAGTATTTATTTTTATATATAAATTTTAAATAAGAAAAAAGATTTTTTGTAAGAGGTGTAGCTCACTGCTAAAGCTTGTGCTTAGCATGTACAAGGCTTAGGTTCAATCTGCAGCATCAATGCCCCTCCCCAGAAAATGGAAAAAGTGAGATTTTAATTGAAATAAAGGCCAAGAAATTTAAAATTCATGCTGCTGCTGTTTCTTGCATGATTGGGGCTCTTTGTGAATACAAGTAATGATACTACAGGCTTGTACTACTGAGTCAAAAGTTTTAAGAAGAATAAAATACTTCAAGGTCATGATAAAATGTTAGCAAAATTATTGGTTTCTTATCATTTGATGTTTTAAGCATTGTAAAATATTAAGCTGTTTTTGTTCTTTCTGATACACAGTAGGATAGAGTGAATGAATAGTATATAGTCAGGGGAAAAGTCTTCATTTTAGTCCAGACTCTGTTAGAAACTAATTGTGACTTTGGAGAAGTCACATAATCTTTCTAAACTTGTTTCATAACATTTATATAGAGAGGGGGAGGATGTGCACATACCTTTTGTTTCAGAAATTCTGCTTCTAAGACTTTATCCTGCTAAAGTTTTGTTTTCAAATTTAAAAATTTATGATTCATAGTTCATAGACTGTCTTTCAGGGAAGTGGTCTTACAAAAACTTCTTGTCTGCATTTCATTGTTTATTAAGTGTGACTATAAAATAATAGGACTTTTATACAAACATGCTAAAACAAATATATCCAGATGAGTATTGTCCCTTTAAAACAGTTATCCTGGGAGGCTAGGTGTGTATTCCAACAATGCAGTCATTGTTCAAAAACATTTTTGGAACTCCTCTTTTGGCATTGCCTTCAGAGTCTGCGACACATTCTTTTGATTATCCTCAATGATGGGAAATCTTCGTCCTTTGAGGGTGGATTTGATTTTTGGACATCCAAAAGTCATTCGGAGTGAAGACTGATAAATAAAGGTGAGTGATTGAGCTCAGTGACACCATTTGGGGTCGGAACAAGGTATGATTAAAAGGTAATGAGACTGGTTCTTCTTGTGTTGCATTTATACTGGCTCTGGAGGCAATTCCAGAAGAAGAGTTCCAAAAGCGTTCTGAATAGTGGCAGCATCTTCAGATTAATTGTAGAGCAAGGAGTCTTGTTGAAAGAGCCCTAAGCTAGGCACCTGCTTCACTTTTAAGTGTGTCACATTTAGCAAGATACTTAACTTCTCTGGGCCTAAGTTTATCTCTGAAATATGTGGCATTTAGGGTTGGTGAAGATAAGTTGGAATCATGAATATAAATACTAAAGCATTGTTCAAAATACAAACTGCTGTAATACTGTAACAATTTATTGCTGTTGTGCCTCATGCGATAACATCAAAGGGCCCCACTCATCTGATATATGAGCTGTCGTGTGTTTGTAGTTGGTGATTTCTTAAGTCTCATTACTTTATAGTCATACCTTGTATATGCAGCTGGGGAGGTAATTTTCAAAGAGATAAATCGTGTACTTAATATTGCTCTGTTTATATGTAAACTGGGAGCTGGGATATGGTTCAGTGGTAGAGCACCTATGTATTTTCAGTGATTTGTTACCCAACCCCACCCCTTTAGAACCCAGAGCCTCACACATGCTAGGCAAGCCTTTCTCCATGAAGCAAAATTCCCAGCCCTTGTCACCATTTTTAAGAAGCATTTCTTTTAAGTTTTCTCCTAGCCTTATGTTTTCTTGTTGCTTCTCATCATTCTTCCCTGAGCCCTAGCTATCCTACAAGGTTCTGTTTCTCCCTAAGTTTTTTAGTTCTTACTTCCTCTTTTCTAACATTTCCAATACATTAGCAGCATAGTTTCATTCTGGTTTCTTCCCTATCTAGTGTTTATCTACTCTGTGTGTGTGTGTTTCTCAGTACTGGTGATTGAACACAAGGTCTTTGTGTCTAGCTACATGCCTAGCACTTTTTCATTTTTTATTTTTATTTTTTTTTTTTTGAGTCACGGTCTTGCTGAGTTGCTCAGGCTGTTCTCAAACTTGTGATCCTCCTGCCTTAGCATGCTGGAGTGCTGGGAGCTTGTGTTGTTAAATATCTTCAAGGATACTTTATGGCCCTCTGCCTCATATTTATAGTGAAGACTTCTACTTACACCCTTTTAAACTTCACTGTTCATATGTGTTGATTGTCCAGTGAATTTTTCAGTGAACTGAGTTAAAATATGCCAATTCAGTTAGCACGCACTAGACAATTTCTAATGGCTAGTTTGCTTTTGTCTCACTGATCAGATTGCATTCTTGATTATTGTGCAGTAAATATTTTAAACCATTGTTCATTCTACCTAAGTTTTCTGTCAGCGTTGATGTAATTGGTAACTTTATCTCAACATAATCTTATTTTCCTTGGTTGTTTTCTAAGCTTTTTTTTTTTTTTTTTAAAGACAAAACATATAGCACTGGAAGCAATCCCTGTTGACATTGTTACTCCCTCTACAGCTACCTCTTTTCTAAAAACAGTGACTGTATCACTCTTTTTCTCCTCCTTTCATTGTTGCTCTTACTTTTTGTATTTTCTTTTTACCGTTTTTTTTGTTTTGTTTTGTTTTTTTGTTTTTTTCCTTTTTTGTTTTTTGGTAGTAGAATTGAAGCCAAAGTCTTGCACATGCTGGGCAAGTGCTCTGCCTCTGGGCTGCATCCCCAGTCGTCTCCTTCTTTGAGTGTATTCTTTAGACTTAGTAACATCTTCAAGTATTTCTCAGTTCCCCTGGTTACCTGACAGACTCTTAAGTTACAAATTTTTTGAATTTTTATTCTTGGGTTTTTTTCCTACAGAAAAGCAATTTTCTTGTCATCCACTGTTGAGACTCACCTCTCACTTTTTTTCCTATGTAGATTAAGGTTGTTACTAAATAATGATATATTCACTTAACCCAAATAAAATACATATCAATAAAACTAATGGGACACATACCTGGTATCCAGAGTTAGGTTTTTAGGAACTGAAATTCCATTTTTACATATTTTCTTTATAATCAGTGGTGTCCTTTTTAGGTGTTTAATAAAACTTTGAAAACACTAGCCTATCTTATAACAAAGAAACAGGAACCGGGAGATAACCTATATTTGCTATTTAGAGAGACTTGCTGTACCCTATTCTATTTTATAGAATAAGTAAGAATAATTGAAATAGTACAGAAAACATTTCTGGTGATGAAGACCAGGGAATTACATTTTGAACTTTTCAAAGTTCTTTTCATAAAGAAAAAATGTAAAGAAACTCACTTAGGCATGAAAATGTACATGTAGCTATATAAACTGATTAAACATTTATGATGTACTAGCAATATACTAACTGCAAATAGGATAAACAGACATTTTAAAAGTCCATTGTGTTCTATGCAGAGACGATTTATTTAGCACAATGATTGTAAATTGCTTCAAGTTTGCCATTTATATCTCCCTACTGGAGTTGAGAACTGCTATTCTTAAACTTCCAAGAGTTTAAAAAAAACTTTGTGATTAATGAGCAGCAAAACAACTTAATGTCCATTGATGACCGATATTTGCCCTGGAAGGGTAGTTGCGATTTGGATTACAAAGGGGAGCTATGAGGACTTCTATAGATAGTCACTGTGCAGTAAACACTTGAAAGTATTTTATTATATGAGCTCTTCAGGTGAACTACCATACATAAAATGCATTACAGCTTTCCATCTTTCCTGAATTCCAGATGAGAAGTTAGCCTCTCAACCCTTTGTAGTAGGACATATAGCTGTATAAATGTATACTACTGTATAAATGTATACATTTGGGGGCTGGGGATTTAGCTCAGCAGCATAAGCGCCTGCCTTGCAAGCAGGCAGTTGTGAGTTCGATCCCCGGTACCCCGATAAAAAGGAAAAAGACTAAATAAATAAATAAATAAATGTATACATTTATACAGTAGTATAAAGCATATTAGTTTCCATGCCATGTTCTTCTGTGCTTAATTTTCTTGCTTTTCTCTTTCTAGCTGCAGTATTGAAATATGAAAACAATGTCATGAATATCAGGCAGTTTAACTGTTCTCCACATCCCTATTGGCTTCCAAACTTTATGGATGTTTTCACCTGGTCTTTGCCTTTTGTTGGGGAAAAAGGTAAGAAAAGGGAAGTGTCTACATACCTTTTCCTGTAGCCTGAGCCTCCCCTTATTGATTTAGAATGTTATTTTCAACATATTACCAGAAATGTTTGCTAATTTTGTTTTCTTCAAAGAACTGTTTTACTTTATTTTGTTTTGTTTGAGACAGAGTCTCTCTGGGTAGTTTAGCTGTGTCTTGAACTCACTATGTAGTCTAGGCCGGCCTTCAACTCACAGTGATCCTCCTACCTCAGCCTTCCAAGTACTGGGATTATAGGCATGTGTCACCATGCCCAGGCCTCCAAAGATTTATTTCCTTTTAATTTTTTAAACTTTAAAAAAAAAAATTTTTTTTTTTTTTTTTGAGACAGTCTTACTATGTAATCTAGGCTGGTCTTGAACTCATTATATAGTCCAGGCTGGTCTCGAGCTCATGGTAATCTCCTGTTTCAGCCTTTTTAGTGCTCTGATTACAGACATGTGACACTGCTGGGCTTCTCCGAGGATTATTTATTTATTTATTTATTTTTTATTGGTACTGGAAGTCAAACTCAGGACCTTGCACTGGCCAGGTGCTGTACCAATGAGCTATCTCTCTGGCTCTCTAAGGATTTTTTTTTTTTTTTTGGTACCAGGAATCAAATTACAACCTCATGACCTCAGGCCTGCCAGGCAGGCACTTACACCACTGAGCTAAACTCCCCTCCCCCAGCAACTCTAAGGATTTTTAAATGGTATATAATTAGTTTTTAAATGTCAGTACTAGTGAATTACAGATGTGTTCTAATTAAGTAGCTGTCTTACCATGATCAAGTCCTGTACCATCCCTTCAGTGCTGAAAAGGTTTAAGTAAGGTTTATTGTCTTTAGAATTTTATTTGTACAGCTACACATACAAGTCATACAAATATAAAATAACCACATTGAGTCTAGGCCTTTCGATGTAAATTCTTTGAATAATGGGAAGATATATATATATATGTGTGTGTATGTGTATTTTACTGGAGATTGAACTACATTGTCAGCCCTTTTTGCTTTTTTGTTTTTCAAAATTTCAGTTTTTATTTATTTATTTATTGGTTTTTTGTTTGTTTGTTTTTTGAGAGACAGTACAGTTCAGGTTGGCCTTAAACTCACTTATTAACTTTTTTTCTTTTGAGACAAAATCTTTCTAAGTTTTCCTGGCTGGTCTAGAACTTGCAAACCTAACCACAGCCTCCTGATTAGCTAAGTTGTGGATGTGTGTTGCAACACCTGGCTATAGCTGTTCTTAATAATATAATGATAAACAGTTTTTGCCTGTATTTGTTTAGTATGCATGTATATTATACACATTGTTTAAGAGACAGTCCCTTACTAACTTTGTATATTTTGGGTGCTTTTGGTTCACACAGTCACAGAGATGCTGGTTAACATTCTGAACATATGCTCTGATGATGAACTGATGTCTGACGATGAAACAGAAGGTAAATTTTCTACATTTAAACTAAAAAGTAGGAAGTTTAGGGTTGGGTTTTAGTTTATCTTGAATTGTTTTTCTATTAAAATGTGTTCACTGTAGAAAAATAAAATTTGAAAATATAGGGAACATAAATAGGAAAAAATATTCACTCGTAATTTCACCATGTCATAGATTCTCACCACTGACATCTTGATGTTAGTTGTCTATTGTCTTTGTATATATTCCTTCCTGTCATTTTTCCTACAAACATTAGGTCATATAAACATTTGCTTTTTTAAAAAGACTAATTTTTAGTGATTCCGTAGTTGGCATTGTTGATTAGTTTTTGTACTAACCAATCCCAGGTTGTTGTGTACTGGATTTTTAAAAAGTTTCTGCTTTAAAAAGCTCTACCAGGACTGGGAAGTTTAGCTCATGGCATAAGTGTTTGCCTGGCAGGCGCAAGGCCATGAGTTTGATCCCCATTACCAAAGGAAAAAAAAAGGAAAAAGAAAATCTCTACTGTTTTGACATTCATATAGTGATCCTTCCCTGTGTCTCTCCCTATCCCCAGCCCTAGCTTTGGGGATTGAAATCAGGGAGTCCTGAGCTACATGCCCAGCCCTTTTTATTTTGAGACAGAGTCTTGCTTAGTTGTCCAGGCTGACCTCGAACAAATGTATTTCAGGTGGTGTTATATGATATGAAAGAAGGTAAAGCAGTATTAGGAAACCAAGAGTAACATTGGCTTGATTATTGCTTTAGGATAAATTTCTAAAAATTGTGTATCCGTATCAGTTAGTACTTAAAATTTGAGGGTGGAAAATGTAGTTCAGGGTTAGAACACTTAAATAAACATGTAAAGCCCCAGATTCAGAGAAAGAATGTAAATGTGGTTCAGTTGGCCTCTAGGAAGGCTGTGCCGTTTTACATCTGTGTGTGATTCACAGTGCTCTCCTTAGTACAGCTTTGTATACCTGTCACTGTGTAGTGTTTTAAAACATGCTTTAATGATGACACATGAACATTCTTTTCTTGTGGTAATTTGCCTTATGTCTTCTATCTAGCTTTCCACTGGGTTATGTACATGTTTTTCCCTTATCAGTATGTGAGGGGTCCTTAGATAGTAGCATTTTGTTGTGTATATAACCAAGTATTCTTTTCCTTGTGTGCTAGGAATTGGCTTTCAAAGATGCATCCTAACTTGTCTGAGAATGCAGGTGACTAGACAGGTGGTGGTCAGCCTCGGACTCCTCTCCAGGCTCTGTTAAGGTGATTCAGTCAGATGTTAGGAAAAATTGCTCTTGCAATGGAGAAAGCCTAGCTCACTTGGGGCTATAGAGATTTCCATATGTATTTATGCTTCAGATTTCACATGGAAAGTCATGAGCAGAGGGAACAAAGCTTGTTGAGTACCTTTACTTAGAAGTTAGGAAATTACTACAGTGAGCCAGTTCTTGAGGAAATGGTGCAGCCAAGTGAAAAAACCAGTGATAAGAATTTAAACCAGACATGGTGGTGCACACCTGTAATCCCAGCACTTGGGAGACTGAGGCAGAAGGATCCTGTGAGTTTGAGACCAGCCAGGACTACATAGTGAGTTCAAGGCCAGCCTGAACTGCATAGCAAGACTCTGTCTCAAAAAAACAAAAGACCAGAAACAGTTTGGCATTGGAGGAGCTATTACAACACGAATGAGAGCTCCAGGAACAAGAAATAAAAGCAAACTCTCCAGGTTCTCCAGATGTTGGATTTATCAGATCAAAGATTAAAATACCTGTGCAACATCAAAAATAAAACTTGCTTCTGTGCTCAAGGATGTACAATATTAGATTGAAAGTTTAAAGAGGATGTAGCAGGTTTGATAAAACATCAAAAGAAAGCTTTAGAACTGAAAAATAACTCAACAGATGAATTAACCACACATTTGATAAAGCTAAACATGATCTGGAAATAGATCAGAAGAAACAATCTAGAATGAAATATTAAGAGAAAAAAGGCACAGTGTCTTCCTGGCAAGCATGAGGTCTGCGGGGAGGGAGGGCGGAGTGGAGAGACCGAGAGGGAGACGGAGATGGAGAGGGAAAATGCAAAAAAACAGAGCATCAGAAACAGAAAGTATAGTGGATAAAGATGGCAGAGTCCCAGAAAAAAGAAAGACCAAGAATGGGTAGAAATAATATTCTTAAACAGGACACAAACAGCACTGACCATACAGGAAACTGTTGTAAAGTAGACAACACAGCCAGCTGTGGAGGCATGTGCCTGTAATCCCAGCCCTCTGAAGGCTGGGACAGAAGGGTTGCCACAAGTTTGAGGCCTGGGATATGTAGAGAGTTCAAAGCCAACCTAAACTGCATGGCCAGACTCTGTCTCAAACAGCATAAGTAGGGCTGGGGATATAGCTCAGTGGTAGCTCCTGCCTGGCAAGCACAAGGTCCTGAATTGGATTCCTGGTACAAGAAGAGAAAAAAGCATAAATAAATAAAGAACTTGTTTTTATCCAGTACTCCTGTTAAGTTTGGAGTCTATTTAATAGAAGTATATGCAGCGTAGAGAAATGCTACAAGAATGCTCAGCAGCCTAATCCACAGTTCCCAGAAATTAAGACTCGGCCCAAGTGATTGGTCAGTAAGAAGAATGAATGTGCATGAGCCCACAGTGAATAGTACATGTTCATGAAAATGGACTATAGCAGTGTGGAGAAACATGGATAGATCTTGCAAACATAGTGTTAAACAAATGAAGCAAGGTCAAAAAAGTACACTCAGTTGTCCCAGTTATGTAAAGTTCTAAAGCAGTTAAAGCTTTAGCACTTATGGATGCATGCTTACTTGGTAAACTATAAAGAACAGCAAGACAGTGATTCTATGAAAAGAAGATTATTCCCTTTGGAGAGGAGAGAGACTGAGTATGGTGGGCCCCTGCTGGAGAGCAGATAACAAATAATCTGTTTATTGACCTGAGTGGTGGTTTTGTAGGCATTTGCTTTTTAATAAACCAATGAGTTAGACACTTGAGTAGTTTTATCTATGTTTGTTATACACCACAATAAAAAGTAAAGAAAAGTTATATGCCTATGAAAGTTGCTGGCAGTGGTGCAGCATGCCTGTAATCCCAGCCCTTGGGAGGCTGAGGATTGCTGTGAGTTCAAGCCTGAACTACATAGACCCTGTCTCAAGAAGACAAAAAATAAAAATAATTTTAAAAAGTTATTATGAAAGTGGAGAGCCAGGCAGGGATATAGCTCAGCAGCACAGTGTCTGTCTGGCAAAGTGCAAGACCCTGAGTTTGATTCCTGGTACCAAAAAAAAAAAAAAAAAAAAAAAAAAAAAAAAAAAAAAAGAATTAAATAAAATAAATAAATAGTGGAGAAATTTTTGTAGAAATACTTGAAAAAAAATTCATTAATATTATTAGCTGATTGGGGAAAGCTAAAGCTCAGTTTAGCAGTAGGGAATGCTGAGTTTTAGCTCCAGTTAAGAACTGGGGAAGGAGGGTTAAGGTTGGTAGTAACCTAATGTAAGTGGTTTGGGTGAAACCTTTTTGCAAAGCAGGGTCCTACTTGCTCCAGAGAAACTGATGCTCTTCCAAGTCTGGAGGCTCAACTCTAAAGAGCATAACCAAAAAGATTTCTGGGCTCAGAGTACAACTGAGGACATCAGCACCTCAGAGAGATAAAGTGAACCACACACTTCCTCAGTGCCCTGACGGAGGCCATGCCTGCTCAGTGTTGAGCTCATGGTCAGCAGCCTCCGCCCAGCAGCTGGAAAGGCTTGATGACCCTCACCCCAGCAGAGACCTGAGCAGTCTCTCTGAGACAAAACAAAGACCATTCAGAAGGCAACCAGAATTAATTTGAAATTCTGAAGGCTTTAACCTTATTGAAAGGAAAATATGCTCCAAAAAATAGGAGAAAATAGTGAATTCATGAAACAAAATCACAGTGTTCTTATTAAGAGAATTGTGAACAGTTCCGCCCTTTGTTTCTGCTCCTTGTTTGTTCCACAAATACCTTTTTCTTTGTCTAATGTGATTTTCATGATGAAGGGAGTAGAAAATGTTAAATAATAATAGATGGGAAGGGGCTGGGGATTTAGCTCAGCGGCATAAGCACCTGCCTTGTAAGCAGGCGGTCGTGAGTTCGATACCTGGTACCGATAAAAATGAAAAAGACAAAAAAAAAAAAAAATAATAGATGGGAAATCATGTGAAGATGAGACATTTAAAAAATGGAAGAAACAACTGAGGGAAGGAATCTGTATTTACCATTTAGCCGACTCTCAGTGCATTTCGCTTTGATTTTTTTTCTCTCTTCCATGAACACTTACATTCTTTTTTCATATTTCTATCTCCATTCCTTGTTTCTTGGTGTGTCTTCTCCCTGAAGATCTCTACATTTCAAGCTTTCAGAAAGGTATTCAACTGAAATGTGCTAAGACCGTACTATTTGCTGTTTGTCCTGTTGCCGTCTATTGAGTAGAGTATTGAGTATTTTTAGTTGGTAGTTGACCAGTTTTACACAGCCCTCTGTCTTCCCTTTCAGTAATAGTGTTTGTGTTTTCTGCAGCCTTGCTGTTTGTTCCAGCAGGACACTGAGAGCTGGAGGCAAGGAAAGAATAGCCTTTCCTTTTCTGCCTTAAGAATGCAGTCACCTGATGCATGCCTGGACCTTGGCTTCTCATGTGTGGGCTATTTCCTAGGACTTAGATGAGAACAAACCATGAAGTCTTGCATTAACATTTTCCATCTGCTTTTCAAAATAGTTTACTTGGGGGCCAGGGATTTAGTTCAGTGATACAGCACCTGCCTGGCAAGCGTGAGGTCCTGAGTTCAAGTTCTGGTACTCTGCCCCCCAAAAAAACAAATAAAATACCTTTGCCATCCATGTAGTTTGTACTGTACAGTTGTCCATAGTACGCTGAGGAAATAACTCACTGGTATGAGTAAGTGAAGAAGGTAGTGTGAAAACTGCCCTTAGGAGAGCTAGCTGGACTTTGTGTTCACTGTAAAAAGCAACTGCTTTAGTGACCACTGCCCTTGCGCAGGCCATCCCTACACTACAGGGGCTCACCGCATTCACAAATGAGGTCTCTGCCGTTGCAGCTGTTTTTGTGAGGTGTGTGTATTGTGTGTCTACTCTTCACTGTTTTCTGCATTTCAGAACCACAAGCGTTCCCACCCCTCAAACATCCACTCAGTGTTTTTTTGTGGCTCCTTCATTCTTTACTTCACCTTTATCTCTTCTGGACTATTTTTTTTTTCTCTTGCTTTTTAGAGTATCCTGGAATTTTTGTTTAAACAAACTTAGGCCTTGATTTTTCTTTTAAAAATAACAGTTTCTCTTTAAACAAAAGCAGCACTTTATCCTGTGTTTTTAAAAGCCAACCTGTTACTGAATTCCTTTAACTTATGTATTCTTTGTATTCTCTAAGGAGGCACTACAGTTCGGAAAGAGATCATCAAGAATAAAATCAGAGCCATTGGGAAGATGGCACGGGTCTTTTCGGTTCTTCGGTAAGGATCCATCTGTCATTAACAGTGTGGGATACAGGCATTTTGAAAGCACATTAGAAGCTGATTTTAGAGCGTTCTTTTAGAATTGGAATTTGGTATTGGATCTATAGGCCTTCAGCTTGAATGCACATTGAATAGACTAAAAGTGTTGGGGCAAGTATTCGTGTGGTACTCACTTAGATGTAGTGCATGTAGTGGTTGAGTAAAAATTTCAGAGCCAGATTTACCTGTGTTCAAACTCAGATTCTGCCTCTTTGCTGTGTGATCTTGAGCTTCATCTGTGCCTGCATTTTTGTATCTATCAAAAAGAGATAAAGGATCTAGCTCACAAGGTTGTTAAGTCAATTGAATAAGATAATGTATGGGAAATGCCTGGCTATAGACACTTTTGGTTGAAAAACAGAATCTATCTGGTTGTTTAAGATAGAAATAGTTGTGGAAAACCTCTTTTTTTGAGTCAGGGGCTGGTTAGAAGTGGAGGAGCTTGTCTTGTCCATGCCTCTGTATTTTAACCTTCCTGTGTGTGCTGTGGAATGGCAAGGCAGGAGCTCCCTGGCATTAACCAGGGCTCTGGTGTTCCTTTGCAGCGAAGAGAGCGAGAGTGTGCTGACCCTCAAGGGCCTCACACCCACAGGCACACTCCCCCTGGGTGTCCTCTCGGGAGGGAAGCAGACCATTGAGACTGGTGAGTATGAGGTGCTCTGCTCTCTGAATGCTTGCAGTCAACATAAAATTAAGGAGGGCTGCCTTCAGTGAAAGGCACTGTAGTGGTTTGGGTAGCTGTGTGTGTGGGAGGGAATGAATCTTGACCCCTAAGCTCTCTCTGTACACAAACCCTAATTCAAACTTATTACAACTTAAATGGAAAAGGTCAAACAAACAAACCAACCAACCAACTTTTAGAGCAAAGTATGGAGATCAGGCATAATGGTGGGTAAAGAATTCTTAAGCAGGACATAAAAACACTACCCATAAAAGAAAAAAATCAGTAAATTGAATCAGTCAATCAATCTCTCTCTCTCTCTGTGATCCTTTTAAGACAGGGTTTCAATGTGTAGTTCAGGCTGGCCTTGAATTCATGTTGTAGCCCAACCTGGCCTTGAACTTATGTTGTAGCCCAACCTGGCCTTGAACTTATGTTGTAGCCCGTCCTGGCCTCAAGCTCATGGCCATCCTCTTGCCTCAGCCTCTCAAATGCTAAAATTAAGGTGTGTACCACCATGCCCAGTTTGAGTTCCATTAGAGTAGTATGTCCTAGCAGGGCACAGTGGCACAGGTAGCTGTTAGCTACTGTGGAGGTTGAGATGGGAGGGTCACCTGAACTCATGAGTTCAAGACCACCCTGAGGACCCATTTCAAAATAATTCTTCATGAAAATACATGATTGAGAGAGGGAAAAGGCAAGCTATAAATTAAGTTTTTTAAAATACATATATGTCTAACAAAGAAATTAATCAATATATACAGAATTAAAGATACTAAGAAAAGTTTTAAAAGATCAAATAATTTAACAGGTCTTTCATAAAAGAATATCAAAATGGCCAGTAACCATATCAAAAGGTACTATAATTATTGCTCTGGAAAACAGATATTAACACCACACTGAGCTGCCACTGTGTACCCACTAGGATGAGTAAACATTTAAAATTGGATAAGAAGCCTGGCTTAGTGGCACATACCTGTAATCCCAGCATTTAGGAGGCTGAGGCAGGAGAATCACCCTGAATTCAAGGCCAGCCTGAACTATATAACCCTTTCTCAAAAAAACTGAAATGAAATAAATACCAAAGCATATCAAATCTAACAAGCACAAATGTTGATGGGTTTGTGGAGAAATAGAACTGGAGATATGTCTGTGGGTTATAAAGGTTGAACCACTTCAGCAAACTATTAGGCAGTAAAGTGAAATGTGTGTCTACCTCACAACCCTGCATTTGCACACCTGGCATATATTTGAGAGAAATGGTACACGTGTCCCCCAAAGGATGTACAGAAGGGTGTTCCTATAGGTTTACTTACAATAGCTCCAAACTGAAATGACCCAGTGTCTATCAATTGCAGGGCAGATGCATCATGTCACATTTATACAGTGAGGCACTATGGAGCAGTTTGAAACTAACCTGTTGTGGGTATGTGCAATAACATAGTCAACTAAAACTGCCAGAAAGGAGTTGAAGGTGGAGCTCAGTGTACCAGGCCCGGAGTTCAGTTCCCAGCACCACAAAAATAAATAATAACTAAAAAAATCTAGACTAAAGGACCACAGACTGTACCATGTGTCCCATGTCTGAGGACAGCAGGCTAAGCAGTACGGCAAGAAGTTCAGATGTACTTCTTCTGGGAGGATATGGGACCATGGGATGTTGGACTGCTGTGCATCATGTCTGGGCAGAAGTTACATGTGTGTTATATGTGATTTGGACACACGTTATAGCTCATGTGTATATTTTATACCTCAGCGAGAAAATGGTCTGGAATATTTTTCTCCAACAGAGTGGGAGTTTGCCTCTGGCCTGTAGCCATGATTTACTCCAGTGCTGCCATCCCCTCTTCTGTCAGAGCATCCGTTCTAAGAATCACGCAAGAGCTTGGTATACACACCTCTAATCCCAGCACTCAGGAAGCTGAGTCAGGAAGATCACCCTGATTTCAAGGTCAATTTGAACTAAACTGTGTAACAAGACCCTTCCTGAAATCAAAGACAAGTGAAAATCATAGGAGCACTGACGTCTAAGTAGAGGGCTTTATGGAATTAAGGAATGAAGCCTGACATTTATGAAAATGTGCATAAAACTGGTCAAGTAGGGAGGAAATGCCATCCCAGCTAAATGACTTGACTCCGGCCTGAGAACTGGAACATTATTTTGAAAGTTTCACTTTTGAGCTGAGCTGAGCCCAGTTTATCTAGTTTCTCATTATTCCTGATTTGAATGTCTTAATCAGCTTAGGGTTTTTTATTGATATTCCTGAAATTGATGGAAATCTTCAGGAATGTGTAAGAACACAACTAAAGTTGGTGCCAAATTTTCAGAACTTCTCATTGGTTAACAGGGAGTGAGTTTGGTTTTTCATCTTCACATCAGTTTCAGTTTCATATGCTCATGGGTGGATAGAACTGAGCTAGAATGGAAAAGATCTTTTATTGTTAATACAGCTTTCCTTAAAGAGTTTTCAACCAGTGATAGCCCTTACAACTTTACAGCCATGTTCATTCACACCTTCTTGCAAGAGAGGTTGGAGTGAGTTACAGTATATATACACACAGGGAAGTAAATAAATGTGCTTGGAAATTGGAACATAAAAGATATTAAAGGAAATCTAACAGCCAGTTACAAATTTGACACCAGGCTGTCTAGTTGCTTAAAATCAAGAGGAAAGCCAAGAAAAGAACACAATTCACAAAGACATGTAAAAAAATTATAAATTAGACTATATCAAAATTTTAAAACTTAAGAGCCAAGAGTGATGATGCATGCCTGTCATCCCAACGTTCTGGAGGCTGAGACAAGGGGATTGCTGCAAAGCCAGCCCAGGCTACATGGAGTTGAATGGTGGCCTGAGATACACAGCATGACTCTGTCTCAAAAAAAATGTTAGGCTACAAGTGAAACTATCAAGAAAATTAAAAAAAAAAAAAAAACAGCCCACAATGTGTAAAAATATTCGCAAATCATAAAGGACTCTTATCTAGAAAATATAAAGAATTCTTACAACTAAATAAAAAGGCTTCACAACTAAATAAGGATAAAGAATTTGAGTTGACATTTTTCCAAAGAAGACACACAAGTGGCCCATGAAGAGATTTTTGACATTGCTAGACATTCCAGAAATGCAGAGCAAACCCATACTGAGATAGCACTTCACATTCAGGAGGATGGCTACAATACAAAAGATAAGACGTGTTCTGGAGGGCTGGGAGTGCAGGTGCTTGCCTAGCATGACAAAGCTCTGGGTTCGTCCCCAGCAATGAAAAAAAGAAAAGAAGTGTTGGTGAGATTGTGGAGAAATTGGCTCCCTCATACACAACTGTGGGAGTCTAAAATGGTGTGGCCACTTTGGAGAAAACATTCTGGCAGTTCTTCAGACAAGTGAACAGTTTCCACGTGACCCATAATTCAAGGCCTGACTACATACCAACCCCCCAGAGAAATGAAATATGTCCACAAAAACATGTGCTGGAATGTTCATAAATGACACACTCAATAGCCAGAAACTGATTAAAACCCAAGTGTCCACCAGCTAGACAGACAAAGCATGGTGTACGTAATGGAATACTGTTCAGCCATAGAAAGGAGCAAGGTACATGCTACAACCTGAATGAGCCTTGAAATCACTGTGTTAAGTGAACGAAGTTGGTCATTAAATGCATGATATTCAGAACATGCAGATCCATAGATAGGAAATACATTAGTGGTTGACTGGTGGTAAGAGGAAGAGGTAAGGGAAATAAGGGGTGACTGCTAATGGTTAGGTGTGATGAAAGTCTTGTAAACATAGCTCATGTTGGTCACGTAACCCTAAATATGTCCAAGCCATACATGTGTGCACTGCAAGTGCATTTAATAATATATGAATTGTATTTCAGTGAGGATGTTAAAGAGAAAACAGTTTTATATGAGTGTCTCTGTCAGATCCCTCAATGCACACTGCTGTCGCAGCATTAAGTACAAGAGCAGTTCTTTGACAGCCAGAGACCACATAGGACCAGCACACATCTTAGTGCATGGCCTTTGAACTCGAATTGGAGTAGCATTTTGAAGCCAGTTTCAGGCCACACTTGCCTCTCCTGTGGTCTTGTCAGTGTTATAGTGTAGAAGGAGTTTCCTGTGCAGTTTGTTTCCTGGAAGGGAAAGAGAGGAACCAAGGCAGTACTTCACACCTTGCTACACGTGGTAGACCAGTGTAAGAACCTGGTAAATTAAACTCAGTGCTAGTGCCTTCATACTGCATTAGGAAGTTAGCAGCTTAATTCTTTCCATCTCTCTTCTAGTGATATGTAACACCTCAAGAACTGCAGGCTTGCTTCTTACTCTGTGCCCTTTCCCTGCCATCTTTAACAACATTCAGACTGGAGGAATTGACAGGTTCACATGCAGGAACTTCCTGCCATGAAGAACATGACTGTTGGAGGAACTGGGAGTGACTCTTTCTTATGCCTGTAACCTTTTCATGATAGGGTTTTTGTTGTCTGAAAAATTAAGGTGTAAGGAAGTCTCCCACTTGGTTCTGATTTTAAATTGTTCCCATTTTGATCACTACGGGAAGGAGAAGAGGGCTTTCTCAATCTTTGGCTTCAGTGGAAGCATGTGGGTTGTGGGTGTCAGTCTCTGCCATGTGCCAGTCCCATATGGGCACATGCATTTTTGGTGGAACTGACGAGCCCTGTGCTTTTGCCACTTAGTAGTCTACCTCTAGACAAAAAGTAGCCCTTTACTTGTAATGCATCTTTTTCTTCTTCCAAATGCCAATCTGTTACTCAAAGGTCACTCTTTTTTAGTAAATAATTAAAAGGATGGTTGGCTTCCACATAAGTCACTTGAGAAGGAGAGCAGTAAGTTGTAATAGTAAATAAGTTTTTTGGCTTTTATTGGCGATGGTGGACACAGAAAGATCCAGCCATGCCAAGGACATTTGTTCTCCTTGTCTAAAGCGTGTTTTGAGCACTTTCTCCCCACTCCAAATCCCTCAATAAAATGATTTGGACCCCCCCCAATAAGTTTTTTGAATAGGCTCCAGTGGTATCTTAATAATACCGTCCAAGATACTACAAATTGAAACTCAATTGTTAAATGATTTGCAGCAGCACACTCCTTTAGTCCCAGCTACTCAAGCAACTAAGGCAGAAGGATTCCAAGTTCAAGACCAGTCTGGGCAACTTAGCAAGACCGGTGTCTCAAAATTTAAGGAAAGGATAGGGAAGAAATACCCTAAAGGTATAACTCAGTGGTAGAGCATCCCCATGGTTCACTCCCTGGAACTATAAGAAAAAAAATTGATTTAACAAGTAATTTTGATATGTACTATCAAGACATAAACTAGAGCTGGGTGTGATGATGCACACCTGTAACCACACATTTGGGAGGCTGAGGCAGGAGGATTGCTGTGATTTCAAGGCCAATTTGGATTCCACGGTGAGCTCAAGACCCACCCTGAACTCTGTCTCAAAAGAACAATAACAGAAAAGACATAAACTAGTAGTTGGCAGTTTCAAATGAAGAGAGCAATGTTCCAATGCCACTTAAATGCTAAAAATTTGAGAAATTTTCCTGTCTTGTGTTCCCCCACACTACTTACTTAGTTCCTCACAGTAATCTCTGGCTTCTCTTACTAGGGGACTTTCTCGGTGGACAGGGGAGGCGAGCAGGAGGGGCCTGGGTGTCAGTGCTGGCGGCAGAGCTGCTGGTTTACTCACTCTTCTCTGTCTTCATTTTGCATGCCACTGCTCCTGTCCTCTTACAGCCACAGTAGAAGCGGTAGAGGCCCAGGAAGGTATGGCTGTATTCCTCTGGTAGATGTGCTCATGTGTCTGTCTACTGATTTTAAAAGGCTTTTTCAGCATTTCAGATCTTTTATTATTTCATCACCAGAACTGTAAGAACAAGAAAAGGGATAGACATTCCTAGGCATGTTCACACATTCTGTGTCTTTGTTTGTTTAAGTGACCTACACCATAGCTAAAGCCTTTGGTGGAACTTGTCAGTTTTTACACAGTGATTGAAGCTTAAGCAACTGATGGTGTGATGTGGAGTGGTTTAATCCCGCATCTCTTCCCCATACAAAAGACATCCCTGTGACTAAGGTCCCACAGCGCAACCTCTTTGTCTAATGATGCTAAGATTATTAAGAGCAAAGACAAAAGTAGTTTCATTTGGTTCATTTTAGAGGTTGTCCTGAGACAATTAACCTAAATTATTTTTGTTTCTATGGAGATTCATTTTAAGCAACACCATTTATAAATTTGTAGATGAAAAACCATTGGAACTGATAAACCTATAAATGTTTTTATTAGGTAAGATAATTGAAAATGGCTTTTTTTGACAGGCTAAGCACAGTCTAAGTTGAATCAGAAGAAAAACATCTAGAAGCTGAGCCGTGTCGATGGTTTTTATATTATGTTCAGCTCCTGGTTGTGCAAGATAAAAAGTTGTCTTAAACAAAAAGCCATCTTGTTTCTTTTGTAGTCAATGTAATGTTTGTGCTTGAGGCAACAACTCTGAGCCAGGGAGGGTAGTACATGCCTGTAATCCTGGTACTCTGGAGGCTGAATCAGGGGCATCCCAAACTTAAGCCCAGTCTGGGAAACTTAATAATTTAGTGAGATCCCTGTCTCAAAACTCAAAAAAAAAAAAAAAAAAAATTGGCTGGCGATGTAGCTCAGAGAAAAGGGCCCTGGGTTCAATTCCTAGTACTTTTTAAAAAAGAAAGAAAATGCAATTATTGAATTTAACTCTTTAATTTGTTCTGTTATTGTAGTGTTGCCCTTTTTTCTAGCAAGCATGTCTCTGGTCTACTCTTTCTCAAACTGGGGCTAAGTAAGAGCTTGTTAGCATTTCAGCAGGCATACTTCTGCCATGATTGAGTTTTTATGAAGATTTCAGTTTTAGCTGCCCTTTCCCTTGAAGGGAAGCTGTAGTTTTAGACGCTGCTGGCTGAGTCGTATGTTGTCTGTTTCCTTCAACAGACGTGTGCTCCATGACCACCTTTCTGTCTTCTCTGGGAGGGTGCTATGTGTGAGCTTTGTTGAGCTGCCAGTTTGTGCCTAACTGAGCACTCCCTGCCCCCTTTCCTGTTTTTCTTCAGCCATCCGAGGGTTTTCACTGCAGCACAAGATCCGGAGTTTTGAAGAAGCCCGAGGACTGGACCGAATTAATGAGCGAATGCCACCTCGAAAGGACAGTGGACACGACGGGCCAGCGAAACTGGTGACCCCAGTCCATGGGAAGAAAGCCCAGTGATGACTCAGTTGTGCTGGGACACAGGTCGATCCCAAGCTTAAGAACAAATTTTATTTATTATCAGAAAATGCAACAAAAACAAACCTGGAGGTGCATTCATAATTTAGTCTGGATTTACTCTGTAAGAAAGGCAAATGTTTTATAAATTCTTTTAATTTGTGTTCAATATACACAAAAAGCACATCTGTTTTGTTTTTTCCCTTTTATCCCCCTAATTTTTAGGAGCAAATCTGATTGTTATCAATACATATGTGAAGTTTGTGCTATCAGGGGGAACTTCCCCTAATAAAAGGGCCTTGGAAACCTCAGCCCTGGGTTTCTGACTTGAACTAGTTAGCCTTTTATCTTGCTTTTGGAAGGAAGTAGCATTTATCTAAGACTACTAACTTTTCAAACTGGAGGTAGTTTTTCTTCTTTTTGCTGGGTGCCACTGGGAAAATGTGTCTTACATTTCAGTGGCTAAAATTGCTTCTGTTCTGATAGAAACTTGCTTAGATTAGAGCTTCCAGGTGAATAACCCACTGGTTAAAAGGACCGAGGAGAATGTTTTTCATAGTAGCCTGCTCTTCTGGACTCTCAATTCTTTTTAACATGTTCTAGTAAAACAAAATAAAAATAATGAATTTTCTTAGAGTTACTTGTATTGTATCCATCTAAGGCTGGGGGTACAGCTTAGTGGTAGAGAGCTTGCCCTGGCTTCCATCCTCAACAATGAAAATAAAAAATTATCCATCTAACCACAGCCATAATTGGTTTATACTCCCCTCAGAAACTGGGGAGAAAGATTTCAGAAAGCTTTAAGTATTGCCATACTCTTTTGTTTTTGGTTTTGGATCCTGGCTGACTGATTTACCTGAAGAGTAATTTAAATATCTAAATATTTTAAACACCCTCAGCGGAAACTTCAACAGGGAGAAGCATTTATGCTCTAGTGCTGCTATGTCAGCTGCTGACATAGCAGTGACAGTGCTGCTATGCTCATCTGTTTCAGTGTCAGTGTTTCTGAAAGGAGCCAATGAGGGTAGGATCATCCCCTCATGAATTGAGCCTTCTTGAAGGGCATTGGGTTTCCTGTCTTCTAGATCTGGTTAGAAGTTTGTGCCTCTGTCTTTCACGCTTATTAGGTTGAACTGTATGTCAACTTTCATTAACATATTGTGGGATACAAAAACAAGTGTTTAACTACTGTGTTTAAATAATCTTCCCTTAATTTGTTTTTCATGTCACAATCTAGTGAAGGAAATTCTGGATATCCTTAAAATCCTGTTACTGGCTTAGTCTGAACACAGGTGCCAGGTCACCTCTGTAATAAGAGTTTGTGTTTGGGCACACTGTATAAAAAGAATGGGAAAAGCAAATGCATGGCATTCCTGACTGTCATTTGGGTGTGAGAGTCCAGTATTGAAGCTGAAGGAAGTGTCAGAAAACAATGTACATTTTCCAAAAAAACTGTAATTTAATTGGAAGAATGAAGACTTAGCCCACCTATTTGTTCTGTACATTTTTGCTAATAGTTCTCAGATTGTTTATGACAGAGACCAAAGCACTCTTGGTGATTGGACTCTGCCTGCATGGATTTCTCTGTCAATAAAAGAAGCAGGGCCTGATGGTGTATACCTGTAATCCCACTATTCCAGAGTGAGGTAGGAGGATTGCCATGAGTTCAAGGCCAGCCTGGACTGCACAGTGAGAACCTTTCTCAAAAAAAAAGAGAGAAGTGATATTGGGGGAGAAGATAAAGGATTTCCTACTGAGTTCTAAATAAAGCGTAGGAGAGAAGAGAGAAAAAGACTTGAGTCCCTATCCTCTTCCGAGAGAGGAATTAACTCCCATGGATATCCTCACTTTCCTCTCTCCAACCTCAGTGAGAGAAAAATTCTGTCTTTGGAAATCTCACCTATGAATCTGAGTCTGTGTGACAGATTGTAGAGCTGGGAGTCCCTTACTACTTTCTCCTTTTCATTGCATATTGTTACATGCACTACACAAACACTGTCAGTCCATGCGTGGAAACTACTCTTAAAGGTCTCCATCTGCCAGCAGTAATGAAATAGTTGCAAATCCTTATGACCAAACAGTGCTTTTCTAGTGAAAAAGTACAATTATTTAATAATTTCATAATCTCAAAAAGATGATAAATCAAGTTCCCTTCAGAGTCATGTCATAGAAGATGCTGTATGGGTGCCCTCAGAGCTGTGAAAAGGTGAGAAGAACTTTTTCAAGAAAACATGAGCAAGTTTAAGACAGAACAGCACCAACTCTCAAAGGTAACTGGAATCAGAAATTCCGACTTCTAAAGATACTTCTGTGGAAAACCAGGCTCTTGGCTGGGGGAATAGCTTAGTGATCAGCCACTTATCTGGCATGTGGACCCCAGCACTGCAAAACTGAACTGAGAGAATGAATAAGATTTTTAAAAAGTGAGTCTTCCTTTTGGCATATAGTTCCCTAATACATATTTGCATCTATGACTAGAAACAGTTTCAGAGGCATAAGCGTTAGAAGTATGTTGTTTAACCAGACATGGTAGCACATGTTTGTAATCTCAGCTCTCAGGAAACTGAGACAGGAGGATCACCAAGAATTTGAGGCCCACCTGGATTATATAGTGAGTTGAAAGCTAGCCTAAACTACATAGTACAACCCGGTCCCAAAAGAAAAGAAATGTGTTGTAATAACAGTCCTGTTTCTTCACTTTAGGTTTCACTGGAGGCTTTTAATACATTTCAGAATGTTTGAATCTAAGCAGTAGCTTCCAAGGTGGCTAGATGCCTACCCTGGTTTGCCCTCGGACTACTGTTTCTGCCAGTAACCATCATTGTGAATAAACATTGTAACTGCTGTTGAAGCTCTGAGGTGTTGGCATTTTCAAATCCTCTTCTGTTTTATTAAATCCTTTCCATGTTCTAAAGATACTAAAATTACTTTCCTTTTGTTCACCTTCACATTAAGGTTCACAAGAACCTTCTTTTTTCTTAAACTTCTCCCATTTAGGAAAACACTTATGATATCAGTTCCCTGAGCATATCTGAAGACACCTGTGTATGATTTTCTGAAATGCCATTTTGAAAATGATGTTTCACATGGACAAATCTCTCAATTTTGGTTGCATGCACATCATGAGAAATTTTTAAGAAAAAAGATCAGATAGCTTTTTAAAATAAAAATTTAAATCATCCCACACTATTTCAAAACACTTATTTTAAATCTGTATTTTGATAGTACAAAGACAAAGTGATACACCTGTGTGTGCATGCGTGCTTAGCAGAGTAACCACAAAACCAGCTTCAGTTTTCTTTATGGCCTCAAGGTGACACTTTGCTTATGAGAAGAAACATTGCTGATTTACTGGACTTTTGTAACTAGAGTTTGATCAGAAAAGTGAATCTGACGGACTTGATCACACCTTGAACTTTGTGAGGAATAGAAAGTCTGTCTGTCTGGAAATATTAGAATATTTTCTTTTATTTGGATTTGCTTTGCCTTTTCTGTTGTTCCATGAACAGTTGCCATTCATTGAAGAAAAATTTCTTTAGGTTTTTTCAGATTTTTTAACTTGATAACTTAGGGATAGTTCCCTTATTTAAGAAAAGAAAACCTTTCGTTTGTTTTTGTTTTGTCTTTTTGAAACAGGGTCTTGCTGTGCAGTTCAGACTGGCCTTGAGCTCACTCGTAGCCAAGGCCAGTCTCAAACTTGCAACAATCCTCCTGCCTCAGTTCCCAAGTGCTGCGATTATAGCACTATGCCCAACTAACCCTTACTTCTTTGGTCACTCAAATCTGTATTATTTAGTGTCATTAAGGAGCATGGGTGGGATTTCTGTGAATCACTGGGAAGTTTCAGTCTTGGTATTGTCCCTTTCATCCTCTTCCTTCTGAGTGCTTTTAAAATACATTTGGAGGCAGCTAGTCTTTAACAAGAAAACTACTATAATCCATGTGAGATGCAGCTGGGCCTTTTGTCACAGTCATTACTTAGGAGCCTCTCCAGCTTTTCAGAATGAGGAAGGTAGAAATCTGTGCCATCTGCCTTCTCTTACTTTATATAAATGTTGTTGCTGGTCTCAAGAGCTTTTAACTGTACCTTATCCCTTAATATAAAATTCAAGCTCTTCAGAGTTAAGTTCATCCTAACCAGCCTCAGTGATCAGTCAGTTAAACTGGTTTAGGAAGAGAATGTCCCACATTGACTGATTTCATAGTTTTACTTTATACTGTCAAATTTTTCTTCCCAGTCTTTGTATTGAAATTACTTTCAGTAAGATTTTCAATTAGATTTGGATCTAAAATGCACTCGAGAACTCTCAAGTGAGAGAGGAGCTTTTAGAGGGAATGGGTCATGGTGAGGACAGTATATTCATCAGTGATTTAATGCATTGATGAGTTCATAGCTGAATGTGCTTTAAGGTGGGGCTGGATGGGGGAGGTATGTTCCTGGAGGTGCCTTTAGGAAATGTAGCTCTGTCTCTGACTCTTCCTGCTGTGTCTTGGTTGAGCAGCTTCCTTCTGCCATGCCATTTCTACCTTGGAGCCATCTGACCATGGACCGAACCCTCTAAAGCTGTGAACCAAATAGTTCTTTAGGTTGCAAGTGTCAGGTATTTTGTCCTAATGATGGAAAAGTAATATAGTAATCCATAAAGACTTGTTCAGATAGCATTCTAGAATCTCCAATATTTATTGTAGTTGTTATGGTAATAATAGAACCTCAGTTTCTTTAAAAACATTATTCAGTTTTTCCTACCCAGGCAAATACCAGAGGGGGAGAACCCAGAGCTCCAATTGTAGGTATGAGGCTCCAATTTCTTAAATTACTTGGGGTTATAACCATGGGTTCTACCTTCTCTGGAAGCCAATCCACATCTTCTCTGAAATCTGCTAGACAGGGAGTAAAGGTCAGCCTATAAAGGCCCAGCAAAAGATTGATAGTCTGGGTTACATGGAGGACACTTCGAAAGTATGATACTGCCACAGCTCCTTTTCAGCCTGATGTGATCACTCATAGGAAGGCTGTAATAAAGAGCAGATGTATGTAGAGGAAAAAAGTTGTGTAGCTGAAGGACAGAGGTGTTACTGTTATCGGAAAAGCCAGCAGTGAATTGTATTAACAATAGGGCTTTGTGCCATTGACAGAGTGCAGGAGAGGGACACCCCAACATTACACTTGGACTTGGACCTGCCCTGCCTCTGTCTGGCTAGCCAGAGTGAATGGGGTCAGTGTTAACTACCTTCATCTATGCAGTCACAAAGGTAAAGATGATACTGGAGATTATATTCCCTCTTGGGAAGACTTGACCTCATGCCCCCACAACTGTGGCAGGCCTTGCTAAATAACACCTTTGTTTGAGACAGGGATATGCGTCTTCTCCTCCTCAGCTTCCTCATGACAAGTCTAGGTGGCTTCAGATCCAGAAGCAAGGACGTGAACATGGCCCATCCTTTGGTGCAGCTGTGAAGTGGGGCTGTGCATACTGCCTCTGTAAGTTCTGGCCCAGGGCTCCCCTTCATCACAGTTCTCTCCAAAGACCTTTTTAAATTTAAGTATTTTGCATGTTAAGGTGAAGTGCATGTAGTAAGGAAAAGGCAGCCATGAATTTGATTTGGGCAATATAGATACGTTGTCTATCACAGTACCTTTTAGGAAATGCTATTGAAACACATGTTACCTTTCTCAGTGTGTTGTAACCAATAGCATAGAAACGTCAGCATACTTTCTCCAAGAAAAGTGCCTGATTTTGCTTCTTACTTGTGGTGGGCTAGTTGTGAGGCTAGTTGGTATTGTTTTTCTAAAAATTCTTCTGAATGATGGATTGTTTTGCTTGGATATAGAGACTGCCTACTTTTTCTTTCAGTGGTGTTAAAGAAATGAGAATGTTACTTACTGGCAGAAGTCATTTATTAAATCTTTTTGTGAACAAGACGTTACTTTGTTAGAACTTTGTTACTATAAATTGGAAGTTATCTTAAGATAAAAAGAAAAGACCCTTAAATTGGGTAATTTATTGGCTCCCTGTGTCTTTATTTCCTTGTAGAGGCACTGATACTTGGTTCCTACCCATTTAATAATTCTAGGAGTCAAGGGAAAGCCTGGTTTCCAAGGTCTGGTCTGTCTGTTACTTATCAAGGATTCTCCTAAAGGAGGGATCCCCTCACAGTAAAAAGGACTTCCTTCCTTCACTCTCCCAGTCCTTTAGTTTAAAGCTCTCTGGCAGCTATTTCCATGCTGCTTTTCCCACTGGAAACCTTACTACTACCTTGACTCTGGCCTCCTGGCTGGCATTTTGCCCACCATTGTTTCCTCCTGGAGCCCATATGCCTGTGACTTTTCGAGCAGAGGTCACTAGTGAAGAAAAGGAAGAAGGATATCCCAGAACACATAGTCTTCACAAAGGATAAAAATAGGTTTTTATTATGGTAATTTAATAACCCTGTATGTGATCCTAACACTAGACATGGCTGAAATGCAATGTAGGAGGAGTCAAAGAAGCCAGAGAGAAGTTGAAGTGGAGTTGAACTGTTAAGAACAGGAAGTCCCAGAGCAGCCTTTTGCTTCCTGTGTAAAGGGGAAATACCATGAGCTGCTGTGGATTCCTGGGGACAGATTCACTCCTCTGGGCAAGTAGAGGTGAAGATAGGCAACACTGAGGTCCTGGTGTAGAGGTGAAAGGGCCCAACCCAGCATTTCCAGCCCCAAACAGCAGTTTGAATTCAAATACATTAAGATTAAGGGGCCACCGTGTAGTTTACAGGCCAGAAAACAAGCTCAGATTTCTAATTTTACAAAAGCTGAGTGTGTGTTACCCCATGGCGTCCTGTGTTAGCAGGGTCATTTCCCTTAGCCAAAATACTAGTAAAATGAAGTATTACTTGCCCTTATTTACAGAGTTGTGGAAAGCTTCTGTAAGAGCCTTGGAATGAAAGGCTAATACAAAAATGCATGTTGACCTCTCCCTGGAGCTAGGTCTAGTCCCCACTTGTTGGCCTGGTACAGGTAATTGCATAGTCTTGCTTTTTGGTTTTGTTAAAGAATTAATTTTTAGAAAGTCTACTTATTGTTGATACAGGGGATTCATAATTTACTGCTAAAGTAAGTCTTTCCCTATTAGGCAGTGAAGGAGGAGGTTCATCGCAGAATTCAAGGAGGTGGGAAGACAGGTTATTCTTTGTTCTGAAGTCAGAGCACTGCCTCATGGTGTCCACTGGCCAGCCAATCAGCCCGCTTTGCTGCCTTATCTCAGTTTACCTGAGCAGAGAAGGAAGGCTGAGGCAGACCTAATTTTCCAGCCCCTGGTTCTATGCCCTTCTCTGTGGCCAAGTTGGCTTGGTTTCCCCTCTGAGATCATCGTGTACTTATCCCTCCCTTATAAAATCTGCTTTCTAAAGAGCTGACAGCTACTCGGTCTTTTTGTCTTTCCTGAGATCTGAGATTTGTCTGCTTAGATCTTCTCAAAGACACCCCATCTGCACATTGTGTTCATTTGCTCATCCATAAAAAGGGAGAGAACAGTTGTGGATGTGATGGCCATGTCACAGCTTTGGGGGACAGACTGGGAAAACTGGGCGAAAAGCCTGAGTTCTCTTGCAGCCCTTGGGGACTGGATGTGAGTGACGGAGAGCCCTGAATAGAAGCCTGTGGCATCATGTGTATGCTATGCAAAGATTAGTGAAAGGTAGACCTGAAGCCTCCACTCCCATGGGGTCCATGTTCCAGTCCTGGCCACTGGCCCCAAAACTAACGCCTCACAGAGATCCCTTATTTGTAGTGACTATGCCAAAAAAAAAAAAAAAAAAAAAAAAAATGTGGATTCCAGATGGCCAGGTCATGCCATTGTCTGCATAGGAGGGCCTTTGAAGCCCCAAAGTGGGTCACCTGCACTTTACTTCCTTGCTTGCCCATTCCCATGAGTGGCTGGCACAGAAAGGGCCCTCAGTAGAATTTGGCTGGCGGCACTGCAGGAGCAGGAATCAGGGGAGGACCCAGGAGAGAGGATGGGGCCCAGGGGATGAAACAGAGTCCAGACCACACTGGCATATCCAAGGTGACGTGATTTCAGCTCCTCACTGCCTTGTCACTGGTCTGCTTGACTCCCTTTGCTAACCCTCCCTGATCTACAAGGAGAAAACACTCCTCTGAATACACAAAAATGGAGCTTACCTGGAGCGTGTGCCAGCATTAGCAGAAAAGGGACAGCAGACATTGTTCCTCTAACACTGGGGGCTTGGGGCCAGGGCAGAAGTGGGAGATCTCAGAGCATGACCATGCAAATGGTAGCCTCCCAACACTAGAGAAAGACACTCAGCAGCAAATGAGAGTTGCCGAGTCTGGTGGAGCACACCCAGGCAGCAGAAAACAGCAACTTGACAGCTCTGTTTCCCCTCATTCTTTCTTTTGGTGACAGTTGGTGTTTTTGACTTCCTTTTCTGTGTGAGGAGCCCCAACACTTCTGGGTAGCTAACCATATGCTGGGGTGGTGAGGAGGACTGGAGTTCTGGCTTGGCGAGGGTATTCAACAGACAAAGTTGCCAGCCGCAGCCAGGGCTGGGGACCCCAGTGACTGGAATCAGATAGCTGAGAAAAAGAGCAGTTACATAACTGTGTTTATTACGGCTCAGGTGGCTGAGGAGGCCAAGGCAGTCTGACCTAGGCTGGCCTAGGTAGTCACGTAGCACACTTGATGAGAGCGAGCTCCCTTTGAGGGCAGACCGCAGGGGTCGGGGCAGTGGAAAGAATCTGCTCCAGGCTGTTCTGGACCATCTAGTCTGTCTGTCCAGCCTTGCCCCGGAAGCTGCACCAGCTGTGGAAGCCAGCCAGCAGCAGAGCTGAAGCTGGGAGAGGAGCTGGGAAATCAGATACCTGGGTCTTGGCCTAATCTCTGAACCTGGCTCCCTCCATCCCCTTAATCTGCTTTTCAAAAAAGAATTCTCCCTACATCAGGACTGAATGAGGAATGAGTCAAGTTTCCTTAGGTATCCCCTGACGCTGTGGTCACAGCCCTCTTCCATCCTGCCATCCACGAGGCCAGCTGGCCATCATGGAACATGGGGAGAGAGAGAGGGCTGAAGCAGCTGGGCCACCAGGCCTCCATAGGCAACAGAGCCAAAGCAGCTGAGAAAAAGGCTCCGGTCTCCAGCCGGGCCTCCCTCGAGCCACCACCTCCCTCCTCCAAAGCTGTTTACTGAGCTCCCCATCCCCATAGAGATGGAGCTGGTGCCCAGGTCCTTGCCCATGGCTGTCACCTCCCTTTGTGAGAATCACGAAGTTGGGGCCTTTAGTAGCTCAGAAGCTCCCTCTACATTAAATATTTATCTTGGAGTCCAGGTCAGAGCCCTAGAGAATAAGAGACGTGCACGCGGTGAGGGGCATGACCAGGATTCCTGGAGCTGGAAGATCTTCAGCTTCACCACCTTTGGAGAACAAGGAAGAAAATGAAAGTGATGAGACCCTTCTTAGTGCCAAGGACCCTTACAGGTGGGAAAACGCGGGGCTAGGGGAAGGGAGCTTATTTTCTCAGTGAATGGGAAGAGGCTGGAACCACGGGCGAGTGACCAACCCTGTGTCTCAGGAGGGCAGCAAGGACTATTCCTGAACTGCTGCCTTCTGTGGGCACCTGCTGCCCACCCTGTCTCCATTCCTTCTGCTTCCCGGGAGAGGCAGAAGGTATCTGAAGTGTTTGTTATCCCATGAAATATTTATCTTGGAGTCCTGGTCATATCACTAGAGAATAATGGAAGCTTGTAAGTTTGCCCTGCTCAGGGCAATAGTTGCCTTTTTAAAATTCTTTCGCTGCTGGCAGAATGGAGTCCAGTCATCATTTTAAAATCTTTCTTGGAAGCCTAGAACTGCTTCCCAGTGACCCCCTCTGCCAGCGCAGCCTGTCTCCATGGGCAACAAGCAAACATGGGGAGCCCCTGGCATGCCTGTCTGGAGCTCCTCCTCTGTACTTGTTCCCACACCCCCGGCTGGGGAGATAAGCAAGCAGTAAGGGAGGCAGGGATGGAGAACTGGAGAACTGCTTCATCTTTTTTCCATTCTTCTCAATTTTTGCCTTGAATGGTATGACTGGTACTGCACATTGCACGGTGACCCCAGGCACCAGTAGGATACCCCGTCGGTACCCGATAAATGGCATGATTTGTATAATGTACCCTCTATCACGACACTGCAGCTGATCAACTACTTGTAGTTGGTTTGTTGGGGCAAGGGGATCCCAGAGCTAAGCCCAGAGCTGAAACAACTCCAGAGTCTGTTCCCACTGTCAGTACATATTCATTATGTAGTTGAACAGGCCTTGTGCCGCCACGCTGGGGGTGGCCAGGGAGGGCGAGTGAATGGGGGAGCCAGTGGGCGGGGCCTCAGGGTCCACGTCAGAGCCGCGGGAACAGCGGAAAAGCCAGGAGATCAAACAAATACGGTGGATGGGAACGCGGGGACCCTCTAACCTCCTCCCCGCCCCGGGGACCCCACCCTCATCCTCTTTAGGGGCGCGGCGCACTTAGGGAACCTACGCCTGGCACCGATTTCCTCTCCTGCTCGCACGTGTGTGAGCATCCGCCGGTTCGCCAGCGCACGCGCGCGTGGTCTGTTTGCACACGCCCAGCCAGTGCTGGCTCACGCACGCACTCTCCCGGAGCGCGGGAAAGGGGAGGCGGTGGGGCCTTCCAGGCCACCCTGCGGGCAGGACGCCCTAATCTCGGTCCCACCCCGCCCGCTTCTCCGGGCGACCCGCGGCGTTAATCATCCCTCCCCCTGCCCTGGCTCCGCTGCGCAGAAGTTCACTCCCCACACCCTGGAAAAGTCGCTGGAAACTCTGAGTGGCCCTCGCCAGCCCGCCCGCCCCCTTCCCGACGCCAGCCCTGTGGTGGGGGCCGGGGGAAGGCAGCTGGGAACGCGAAGGAACTCCCCGGGGACCCTCGGCGGCCCCTCCCGGCACCGCCTCCCGGCCGGCCCAGCCCCCTCAGCAGTGGGCCACCAGCGTCCCCGCGGCGCGCCCCGACCGAGGACACTTGCGCGCCCCGCAGGCGAGAGGGAGGCTGCAGCCGGCCCCTGCACCGCACCCCCCCTCTGGCCCCGGCCCACAATTGTGATCCTGACCCTAAACTCCTCCCGCAACGCGACACTCACTGCCCGGCCTCCCTCTTCCTCCTCGCGCGCCCCTCCTGCCCCAGCGTCCTGACCGGGTCACGAGGCCGCGTTGGCCGGCGCGTCTCCCTGCCCTCCCGCTTCCAGCGTGTGCCAGGCAAGATCCCGACCGGGATGCTCTGAGCCCCCGGGCGACCGCGAGCCCCACCACCTGGTCGTCGTGGAAGGTAGGTGCGGGAGATGATGGGCGGGAGGCCAGGTGCCACCTCCCCAACCAGGCTAGGGAGGGCACGAAGTCGTTCCCCAGGGTCCCTGTCCCAAACACTGACAGGAGTAGTGAGAAGTTCCTCCACTCTCCATTCAGGGAAGGCAGAACTGGAAGAAGCCTGCCCCTGTGCCTGTGCCTGTGCCTGTCCCTGTGCCTGTCCTTGTATGCTGATAGCTGAAAAATACCTGGGAAAGCAAAAAGCCAAGTCCCAAGGCCAGGCTGGTGCCCAGAGGTGGGGGGAATGTGCCATCCACAGCACGGCGGCTTGGCCCCCTCCAGCTGTTTGGAGCTGGTTGCTGGGGAGAAGGGGGTGCCTGAATTCAGACAGCCCCAGAGCTGTCTGATACCTTGTCTTCTGTGAGGCAGGGAATAGTTCGTTCCCCAGGATGCCTCCATCTTGCCCAAGAGTCCTGCTAATAACAGTTGGCAGAGCTGCCAAGAGAAAAACTGGGACCCCCTTCCCATCAGACCCCTCCATGCTCCTGGGGAGTACTTTAGTCACATGAGCAGGGTTGGGCAAGAGCACATGGGGGCTCCGAGGGTCAGCTGCCCCTGAAAATAGGTGGGGACCTCCTTGGGCTGCCCATCCTAGGAGAGGCACTTCTCACTCAGCTTGGAGGGTGGGGCCTGGACACTCAGGGAGGAAGGCAGGGTCAGCTGATGGTCAGGCCTGCTGGTGCTGAGCCCACAATTTGGCCTTGAGCAGTCAGCAGGGCAGGGAGGATGGCTGTTGAGAGCTAGTGCCCTGCACCCCTCATCTTCCACTCTGCTCTGCCTCGCTTTCCCTATGTGGGGAGGCCCTGCCGTGGGAACTGGGGTGTGTCTGCATGTTTTGCTTTTGGGAAGAATCCTAATTAGATCCAGCTGCTTAGCTGCCCCTCCTCCTGCTTCACTCCTTTGCTCCCTCCATTTAGGTTGGCATGGAAAAGCTGTAGCCCCAATAGACTGCTCAGATGTCCACATGATACCCACAAAGGCAGACCAGAGACAGGGTACCACAGTGTATAGCCTTCCCTGTACACTTGCCAGTCCCCCAAGGCCTAAGCAGGAGCTGAATCTGGAACAGGACTCAGGACCCCCTGTGTACCTTCATCTCTGCTTCTCCTATGTGGCTCACAGGACCACTGCTGCCTGCACCTACTATCCACCTATATCCACCTACTACCTGTATATACCCATCCCGCCACCCCCAGGCTGCTCACACAATCCCCATGGTACCCCAGAAGTCCTGTTCACAATGCTGCATGTGTATTCACTCCACTCCACAGGACAGGGCACCCCAGCATCTCTTGCCCTCATGGAGAGTCCCACAGTCCCCATGGGCATAGATGAGTCTGATCTGGTCCAATCCAGAGGTGGTGGAGGTTGGCCCCACTTTCAGCCCCATCCAGCAGCAGAGGTGAGGAGGCAGTGCTCTGTACCACGGTTGTCTGGGTGCAGGAGAGGCCCCTAGACAACCAAACACAGGACCTCCCCTCTGTCCTCTTGTACCTGCCGCCAGAGTCTCTTCTTGCAGGTCAGCATCTCCTGGATGTCCCTTCCTCTGACCTTCGAGTAGGGCAAAGGAATCTACTAGGGAGTCAGATTTGGTGCTGCCAGGGAAGACCTTCCATTCTAAATAGACTGGATAATATCTGGATGTGGTGGCGCATGCCCACAATGCCAGCACCTGGGAGGCTGAGGCAGGAGGATCGCTGAGAATTCGAGGCCAGCTTGGGCTACATAGGGAGATCTTGTCTCAAAATAGCAAGCAAAGGCAGGAATTTAGCTTAGTGGCATAAGTGCCTGGCAAGCACAAGGTTGTGAGTTTGATCCCTAGGACCAAAAACAAACAAACAAAAAACCCAAGCAAGCAGAAGAGCCTGGAGGTGCAGGCCGAAGTGTGTGTGCACAGGAGTGTACCTGAGGCACTCAGCACCACCCCTCCAGTAGCAGGACCCTCTGTCTCCCTTTGCTCCACTCATGCTCCCTCTGCCCCCATCCCTAGCTGGCTTCCTGAGCGCTCTGAGTCTTCAGTCTGCAAAGGAGGCCAGAATGAAGCTGACACTTCCCCTGAACTCAGGGGTGGTTCCTGCCGCCTGGCAATGCCCCCCATGCTGTCCAGGGCCCTGTTAGGAATCAGGACACTGCTGGCTGCTGGCCACGACTGTGGGCTGGTGGCCTTGCTGTTGGCCTGAAGAACCCCTTGTGCCTTCGGGCAAGCACATGCTACACAGGCCTGGGGGAGGCAGAGGAACTGAAACAGTCCTGCTGTCCAGGCTCCTGGCTGCCAGCTGTCCCAGTTCCCGGTGCCTTCCCCTGGGGCTGCTGCCTGCACCACAGCAGGGCAGCCCTGAGGGCCTGGCCAGTGGGGCCACAGGCCTGCTCCTGGCCAGCATTCCCTTCCCTCCTCCTGGCCCAGGCCTTCCCCTCCCCCACTCCCACCCAGAGCTGCTGCCCCAGCCTAACAAGCAGCCCATTGTGCCTCTGGGAGCCTGCACAGGCAGCCTGCAGGCGGGCACCCAGAGTGGCCTGTTTCCTGGGTCCTTGAGCTCCCACCCAGCTGGCCCCATCCCACTGCCACAACCAGGCTCTCCTCCCCCACCCCAGGGTCGGGAGCCAAGAGGGCACGAGTGCTGCAGGCCCAGCAGGGCTTTCCCTTCCTTCCTCCTTCCCCACAGAAGACGTGCACAGGAGCAGCTGGCACACCCAGTGTCCTCCAACCCTGACCTCAGCATGCAAGGTCCACCCTGCAGCCTTCCCGCTGGGCTCAGCCTGGACGACTTCATCTCTGACCGCCTCCAGGCCCACGCAGGGTCATCCTCCCGGGGAACGCGGGTGAGTAAGGCGGAGTAGGAGAGGGTATGCTGTGGGCTCACGGTAGGTGGGGCACTGGCAGGTCAGGAGGGGACACCAAAGGACTGAGAGGACAAGTGGGAGGGAAGGGGATCAGCAGAGAGCTGCCCCCAGAAAGCTCAAGTGGCCCTTAGACCCTCACCATTGGGGGCGGCTGTGCCCTCCTCCTGTTTGGTGGGACTTCTGGGCCCTGAGCTGCTGCTCCTGGCCCTCCCCACAGGTGCCTATCATCCGGAATGGTGGCTCCAACACCCTTAATTTCCAGTTCCATGACCCCGCACCAAGGACTGTGTGCAATGGTTACATGCCAGTATCCAGAGATGATCCCCAGCACGCAGGTGGGTTCATTCAGGTACAGGTGCTCCGAGGGTCCCATGAGGGACCTGCTATCAGGCACCACTGTGTGGGATGCAGGCAGCAGGGAGCATGAGACCACCAGGAGGTCCTTAGGTCCCTCCCTGACTCAGCAAGAGAAACTGCTGAAACAGAGACACAAGGCCCAATGCCAGGGGAAGTCACTGTGCTGGTGCTCAGCCTCGGCTGTCAAGCGGACCACTTGCAGATATCAAGGGGACCGCTGGCAGCCTAGGAATTGCTTGGGCTAGACTGGGAATGACAGGAGTAGAGAGAATGCCAGCAGGAAGGGGTGGGGACTGAATCCCCTTAAGGGCCTGGCTCCTCCTCAGAAGGTTGTAGGGTGGCCCAGAGCTCCTCCTCCTCAGAAGGTTGTAGGATGGTTGTAGGGTTGTAGCCTGGCCCAGAGCTCCTGGGAAATTCTGGGTACAGGCCTGCCCTGAGGCAGGGATGTCCTTTATCAAATACACCTTTGAGGCAGACCCAGGGACTTCAGTCACTTAACAAGTAATGAAGAACACAGACATTTACACAAGACAGTTACAACCTAACTTCATTTTATTCCTCTGCATCCTGGAGAAGAAAAGTACAATATAAAGCCTGAATCTCAGAGCTGGACAGTAGCTGAGGCTGGGCAGACACTCAAACCCATGTTCTTTTGTTCACAAAGCCCTTTGATGGCAACACTGGCTACTTAAAGGCTACAGATTCTAGGGAAGCTGGTGACACCGCAGCTGTGACTGCAGAGTGAGTTTCTGTCCTCACTGAGAACCCTTTGACTGTGTGTGCCAGGCAAATCACACACACTCCATGTCGCCCAATCTTTGCCATGCTCACACTTGTTTCATAGAAGTGAAAACTGAGGCACTGAGAGGTGACTGATGTGCTCAAAGTCACACAGCCAGTAGGGGGCAGATCCGGGCTCTGAATTCAACTCTGTTCTTTCCAAACCTGGTATCTTTTTCTGCCACACCCCAGCCGGGATGTCCCCAGCATTTTCTCTAAGTGATGATTCCCAGATCTCACTCTGCAGACTTTTAGAGCAGTCCCAGGAAAGCAGGATGGGGTGGAGACAGCACAGATTTCTCAGGACGAAATCTGTTTTAATTCACTTGCAAGAAATAAACAAGCAGCAGCCTGTGGCATTGCTGGGGATGAGGAGGTTTGCAGAGTCTGCGTCATCTACTCAAACGGGCATGTTGAAACCGTGGACCCACGGGATCAATGTTCAATGGAGCTAAGGACAAACAGGTCAGGTGGGGACCCTGCCCTCAGCTAATGTTGTCTTGCACATACTCCACAGACCCTGCTTGGTACCAGACCTGGCCGGGCCCTGGGAGCCGGCCCTCTGCAGTCCCAAAGACTCCTACCTCCCAGCACACCCAGAACTGGTCAGCCACATGGACCAAGGACAGTAGGCATCGGGACAAGCGCTGGGTCAAGTACGAGGGGATCGGGCCTGTGGACGAGAGTGGCATGCCCATTGCCCCCCGATCTGTGAGTCCAAGGTTGGGAATGTCACAGAGATGGGATCTGGGGACCTACACTGAGCTGTCAATTCTGTCAGCTGGATCTTGGACAGGGCAATAAAGTCTTTGCCCGGACCATTCCAGGGGTTAGTTTCAGGAGGTGATGAACCTCATAAAGTTTCGGGCACCCTTATGTGTTGAGTTTCAGGTCCAGAATTCCCAGCAGGTTCTCCACAGTGGAGTGAGCCACCATCGTAAGAACCGAGCCTGGCAGAGACCCTGCTCTTCTTAGTTTTGTAGGGCCTGGTGCAATCATGGGCTCACAAAGTAGTTACTGAATGACTGAATGGTGGAATGAGGGAACAAGCTCAGGTGAGAAGGGTCCCGGGTCCCCAGCATTGCCAGCCCCTGTCCTCCCTCTGTCCCCTTCCTATCCCGAAGCAGCCATGGATCCTCACAGGGCAACCTGTTCTGGTAACAAACCCTCTCTGCATCCCCCGGTTCAGTGGAGGGGAATAATTAGAAATACCATGGCCCACTTCGTTACATAGAACCACATGCCCTTTGTAGAACAGGAGACATTGTAGACAAAGAGGAAAAGTGTTAATCACCCAGCTGTCACCAAGCAGCGGTACTCTGTGTACACTGGTGGAGGCCGTCTGATATCTAACTCACACATGGCATGCTGCATGCTTAGTGCATGTTGATTGTCATAGAAAGGTGCCACCAGAGAAGAGGCTCACAAAGGCAGGGCTTCATTCTGGGAGTGTGGGTGAGCAGGAAAGCCTGACTCTGTGTTTTCTGATTGCAGAGTGTTGACTGTCCCAGGGACTGGTATCGGAGAATGTTTCAGCAGATTCACCGGAAAATACCAGGTTAGACACTCAGGCAGGGCCCACAGTGGGCTCTGACAATTGCTTTGTTTAATATATATTTGCGGGGGGGGGGTGCTTTTTTTTTTTTTTTTTTTTTACTGAGGATTGAACTCAGACCTCATGCTTGCCAGGCAGGTACTTGTGTCACCGAGATAAATCCTTGGTCCTTTTGGTGTTTTTGTTTGTTTGTGTATTTGTCTTAGGCAGTCTCACTATGTAGTTCAGACTAGCCTTGAACTTGCTTGAGTAGCCCAGGCTGACCTCGAACTCATGGTGATCCTCCTGCCTCGGCCTCCTGAGTGCTGAGATTGCAGGAATGGGTCATCACACCTGCCCAGAGTAGATCTGGTGTTGCAGCTGAAGAGATGGGAAGGGACAGTAGAGGTGATATATCAGTTTAGGGGGTTGTCGAGACACACAACGCAGGCTGTCAGATGAGGGCTTCCTAAAACAATCCAAAGAAAGTGCTGTGAGTGGTGGCACACGCCTGTGATGTCAACACTCAGGAGGCTGAGGCAGGAGGATCACCATGAGTTCAAGGCCAGACTGGGCTTAAAGTGAGTTCAAGGTCAGCCCAAACTGCAGAGTGAAATTCTGCCTCAAAAAGATAAAAAAAAGAAAGGAAGAGAAAAGGAATCTATTTGCCCCCTGCCTTTCTTCAGGGCCAGCAGTGACCTCTCTCCAGAGCATCCTGGGGCAGACAGTGACTAGATACTGTCCCCCAGTGCCCTCTGAAGGTGCAGGGAAGCAGCCCTTCCTTGAAATTGTGTTATTTTCCTGCCAGGCTGACATCACACCATTAATGCCTTAGTCCTAGACCTGAAGCATTGGTTTCTTCCACAACCAGAAATGCAACCAGCCCCGTGGCCTGCATGCGCGTGTGAAATGGCCACAAGGGCACCCATCCATCCGGCACTCCTTGTCTACCTGTCTACAATGTGTGCAGCAGTCTTCTAAAATACAAGGGGAGATAAATGGAAGACACAATAGACAGATTAAACCTGCAGTGTGTGGCAGCAGTTGTGGTGGAAAGGCCAGGGAGAAAAGAAAGGCCAGGGAGCGGCCTCAGCCACAGCTCTATCAGAGCCCTAGAGGGCGAGCCCTGGTTCGCAGGAGGCACCAGCAGAGCAGAGGAGGGGCCCTCCTGGCCGAGCAGGTACCCAGGGAAAGCAAGGGGTCACGTGCTCAGACTGCAGAGGCTGGAGTGGCTGTCCTAGGCTGAAGGCATGCAGGAGATGGTAGAAGAAGCAGGGGCCCATTTCCCAGCTTGGCAGCACTGGGGGAAAAGTTCTGCTTTAGGCCAAGCTCAAGACTGCAGTGAGCTGGGCCAGGGCACCACCTGCAGACCTGGGTATGTTCCAGAGACAGTGATTGGAGTTCGCTGATGGATTGCATGGAGTGTGTCAAGGATGATCTTAAACCTGAGCAAGCTGAAGAACAGAGATGCCATCCGCAGAGACAGAACTGCAGGAATAGCTCTTTTATTTTTGTACCTGGAATCAAACTCAGGACTTTGTGCTTGGCAGGCAGGCACTTATGCCACTAAGCTATATCCCTGGCCCTGTTTTGTTTTGAGACAGGATCTGGCTGTGTATTTCAGCCTGCCTTCAAACTCACTGTGTAGTCCAGAGTGGCTTCAAATTTATGGAAATCCTCCTGCCTCAGCCTCCCAAGTGCTGGGACTACAGGTGTGTGCCACCACACCCAGCCTCTGGAGCCATTAAGGGGCATTTTGGTTTCAGATCTGTGTCACATCCAAATGGAAATGTCCAATAGGCAGTTGAATACTCAAGATTGTAGTTCAGAGCGAAGGTCTGAGCTGTGGCTGATAATACCCAGGGCTCACTCAAAAGAGATTTTGATTGACAGTTGTCTGGGTAATTCTAATGTGCAGCCAAGGCTGTGAATCATGGGAATAAATGATATAGTCATTGCCCCTCAAGATCCAGGAGGGACAGCGTCCATGACTCCTGCAGACACAGAAATCCTTGGCTGCTTGAGTCCCCTGGCACAGCACTGGCCTCACCCTACTGCATGATTTGAGTAGGCAAACTGCAGAATGACACAGTGTTCGCATACAACCCACGCACGTCCTCCTGTGTGCTTTAAGCCGACTCTAGGTTGCTTGTTAGACCTAATACAAAGTAAGCACTATGTAAATAGTTCCTATACCATAACATTTAAGAGACAGTGACAAAACAGAAAGCTTGTACATGTATTTTTCCTGAACATTTTCAACAAATGGTCTGGTTCAATCTGTAGATGCAGAATTTGTAACAACAGAGGTTTGACTGATTTTAAAACCTGGGAGGAGGGTACACACCTGGTAATTCCAGCTACTTAGGAGGCTGAGGCAGGAGGATCATAAATTCAAGGCCAATCTGGGCAACTTAATGAGACCCTGTCCAACAGAAAAACATTACACAGGTAGCTTTGTGGTGAGGCCTAGCATATGTGAGACCTTGGGTTCAGTCCCCAGCACTTAGCACTAGTCAGGGTCACCCAGGGAAATGGAGAGGCTGATCTCCCAGGCAAGAAGATGCTCGGAAGTTCCAGAGACCTCAGATATCAGCCAGAAGGGTGGAAAAGGCACAGCCAGGGAGGCAGAGGGGCACCGAGCCTTCTCCCTGCAGCTGAGCCTTCTCCCTGAGCCAGGTGAGGAAGGGATTTCAAAAGGAGGAAGTGGAGTGCTGTGATGGTTGCTGCCAGGGGTCATTTGGAGTTGAGGGGCTGAAGACTCGTTCAGGAGGCGGTTTGGGGAAGTTGTGAAGCAGAAAACCCTAGGAGCCAGTGCTGGGGCTGGGGCTCGCTGGTCAGTTACTGCTCTTCTCTTGAGGCCCCCCAGTGGTTCCCACGTGCCAGGAGATAGGGGTCTGGGCATGGGGATGGGGAACGGTGGGGAGGAGGAGTGCATTCAGAAGAGGGCACTCGGAAGGCAGGGAGAAAGCCAGAGGGGAGTCTGGCCTCCCAACCTGCACTGCGGCCTGCAGGACAGGTCTGCAGGCCAAGCCGGGGAGGGTGCCTGTGCGTGGGAACCCCTGACAAGGGCAGCAGTCAGCTGCCAGCAGCATCTCAAGCCCTCCAAGAGCTGCCTCTTGATTCCTTCCCTCCCTCCGGACATTCCTGGGGCCCTGACTCAGCCATCAGCCCCTTGGGAGGTGGGAGGGAGGCTGGGAGTGGCCCAGCAGCCGCCCAGCGTGCCCCACTCACTTTGTGCTCCACCTGTGACCTGATCCTTTCTACTCCTCAGACCTGCAGCAGGACTGGACCTTCCAGGACGCACCCAAAGGTGAGGGGGTGCGGGCTCACTTGTCACCCCAGCCTACTGCGAGGGCTGAGAGGTGCAGCCCCAGTGGCTTTGGAGGGTGGGGCAGCTGGTGTGGTTGGCCTCGAAGGTGTTGGTAGCTTTCGGGGAGTTCAACTGCCTTGGCAGCTTCGGTTTGGCGTGCTGACTCACTCCTGTAATCCCACCACTTGGCAGGCTGAGGCAGGAAGATTGCTAGGAGTTTGAGACCAGCCTGGATTACATAGTGAGTTCAAGGCCAGCCTCAACTACATAGTGAGACCCTGTCTCAAAACAACCAAACAAGGCCTCAGCTCCCTTGCCACGCCCTGGCCAGATTTCCTTGGATGTCTTTCCTCATCTGCGCTATAGGGCCACAGAGCTGTTCTGAAGATTTTGTAAAGAGTGTAATTCTGTGGTGCAAAGCCTAAATTGGGTGTCCCTGGGAACTGATCCTGGGAGCTGGGGTGAAGGTGGCAGTGTCTTGGAAATATAAGTGGGCCTCACCCCACCCTACCCCGCCCCTGTCTGTCTTCTACCCACAGTGATCTCCTGCGCCTCCTCACTGGACCCCAGGCATCCAGGGCTCCAGCAAAGATTTGCCCGTAGCCCTGGCACCACCTCGACTTCCAGGGGGTAAACTGTGGGCAGGGGCTGCCCAGGGCCAGCTCCCCTCCTTGCTTGACCTGCGCCCCCTTGTGGCCACAGCCTGCACAAGGGTCTGGCTCTGGCGCTGGTTTCCAGGTTTTCACTGCCTGATTTTCTGACTCACCAGAGCAAAAGGAGAAAGGCAGCTGTTCCTGGTCAGAAACGACTGCCAATCCCCATCAGGAGAACCCATCCCCCCTAAGATCTGTGGGCCACGTTTGGTGGGGGGAGTGTCAGGGCCCTTGGACAGAACTGTTGAGGGCAGCATGGAGCTGTGGTCATCCGCTTTGACAGTTGAGAGGGAAAAAAAATGCGCTTGGGTCCTGCCCTGATGTGGCTGAAACACAAGCGGTAAAGGTGCTCTCAAGGTGAAATCCATGAGTTGCTGGTGAGCTCACTCACCTTGCTGTTGAAGGCCCAGGTCTCTTGATTCATTATCGTCATCTCCAGACTGGTCCCAGAGTTGGGGTTCAAACTAGGGCACTGCCTTTAGCTGTTGGTGCTCCCTTCGGGGTGAGCGTCATTGGGTGTGGGGAGGCTGAGGCTGGACTGGGATCCTATGGACACCCGTATCCTGTCCAAACACAGTGACTTCGCCAAACATGAGCAACGCACAGGTTCAGCTAGGCCCACAGCCTCCTTAGATGAGCAGTGACACATTCCATTCTTATGATCACTCTTATTATTGCTAAAATCAGAGCAGAGCCATAATGGCAGCCAACAGCGCCTGAGCCTCGGGGTAGACATTCCATCATTTGATAAGCCAGATATAGTGCTTCTACTTGGTAGAGACTTTCAAACTAAAACCAGAGGGGGACATGAAAGCCAGCTGGAAGGGAAACAGGGAGCTAAGGTAGATGGGTCAGACCAGTGCCCTGGTGGCTGGGGTGGCTGCACAACTGATACCACTGATGTGGCACAGCCCCTCCCCTCTGGGGAATGGAAGTAACTGGTCCAGGGAATCCCAGGGATAGGAGGGGGCATGAGGTGGGACCACCCAACCATGGCAGCTGCTTTTCCCTAAGCCCTGGCCCACCATGAAGTGGAAGGAGCCAGGGCAGTCAGCGCAAAGGCAGCTGCCCATAGGGCCCTGGTGGAAGGGGAGTGCAGCTCTTTTTCTCAGGGCTGTGAGCTCCCTTATTCCTTAGTTTCCCTTTAAAAAAAAAAAAAAGCCTGAAGGAATGCCCTTCCTTTTTATCAGGAGAAGCTGGGATCACTCCCAAGAGCCACCTAAAAGCACCTTCGATTATACTCCTGGGGCAGCGTCCTTAGGACTCCATCGCCCAAATCAGGTAACCCCCAGAGTGCTCCCCACCCCGGGCCCAGCTGCCTGCTATCTGGCAGAGGAAGTGCCCCCTCAGTATGGATCCTTGGAGGGCCTGGAATGGGGGCAGGACAGGGCCTGAAAGCCGTGAGCTGATACCCCACCACTCAAGCCAATGGCCACCCACATCCAATCAGGTGCCCAGACACCGGGAGAAAGTGGACAGTGTCTGGACAGAAGACTCCTGGAACCAGTTTCTGCAAGAACTAGAGACTGGGAAGAAGGTGGGTGTTGGCCGGGAGCTCTGGGAGTGAGTGCACCCCTCAGCTGAAGCGTTTGGGAACCAGGTCCACCCCTGACACTCCCTTCCCACTTTCAGCCCAAGAAGCCGCTGGTAGATGACCCTGTTGAGAAGCCCTCGCAGCCCATCGAGGTGAGTGCTGTGGACTCAGGGTTGGGGTGAATGGAGGAAGATTCTGGGTTGTGCAGGGACCTCAGGGACCATGGGCACAGGCCAGAGGCTCTGTCTCCAGTGCCCAGCGGTGCCTACCTTACAACAGGGCTTGGCAGACACAAGCTGAATGCATGCTTCATGGCAGGAGCAGGGCGGGCGGGGTCCATGAGGAGCGGGGCTGTAGGAAGCCTCATGAGGTCAGGCAGCTGAGGTCCAAAGAGACCAGAGGGCAGCCAGGCAGAGTGGTGCATGCCTGTAATCCCAGCCCTGCTCTAGGGAGGCTGAGGCAGGGACGCCCAAGTTCAAGTCCAGTTTGAGCAACTTGGTGAGAGTTTAAAAAAAAGGACTGGGCTTATAGCTCAGTGGTCGAGCGCCCTTGGGTTCTATGCCCCTGGGATGGGCAGCGTGAAAGCAGCCTGGCTGAGTACCAGGGAGCCAGCCAGTGAGTGGGTGGCTGTGGAGGAGATGGCAAGGAAACAGCCCCCTGGGTCTGGATGGAGGAGCAACAGGCATGACTGGTGGGAAGGCACCACCGGCAACCTGGAGCATGAGGTAGGGAGAGGGGACAGGGATGTCCTCCTGACACCTGGAACCACATCTGTCCTCCAGGCCCACAGGCAGAGAGCTGTCCCAGGCCCTGGAGCTTCCAGCTGCCCTTAATCCCAGCACGGTGGCCTGGCCAGTCCGTGACACACGCGTGAGCATGCACACACACACAGTGCAGGCTCCTTGCTGCCCAGTCTCTCCCCACCCCAGGTCCTGCTGGAGAGAGAACTGGCCAAGCTGAGTGCTGAGCTGGACAAGGACCTGCGGGCCATTGAGACCCGCCTACCGTCCTCCGAGGTACCAAGGAGCTTGGCCAGGCCGGGTAGAGTCCAGGGAGGCTGCAGCAACTTGAGTGGACTTCCCTGGTCATCCCTGTCTCCTCTCCAAAACACGGGGCATCCACTTTCCAAGTGACCCCTAGGAGTCCTCGCAGGCTACTCCACGTCAGCCTGCAGCCCAGGATCCCGACCCCACCCGCCTTCTTCCCGGGCACAGGCTCCCCTTCTCCTCCCCTCCCTCTCCCCCTCCCTCTTCCTTTTCTCCTCCCCTCCCCTCCCCTCCCCTCCGCGCGGCGCCTCTAGGACCCCGCATCCCGCCACCCCTCCCACCTCCGCCTCCCGCCTGGCAGTCAGCGAACTTTTCCAGGGAAGGCGGCCTCGGGGTCCGGGCCTCAGCGCCGCGTCTCCCGCACAGACCTCGCAGGTGCCCAGACGGCCTTCGGAGCAGGCACAGACCTCACAGGTGCCCAGACGGGCCCCGGAGCAGCGGCCCCTGGCCGGGTGAGTGTGGGACTCGGCGGCTGGGAGGGGACGTGGCCCTGAGGCGCAAGCAGGGAGTGGCCAGAGGGCAAAAGGTAGCCAGAGAATCGCGGGGCGCCTCCGACTCAGGGCCAACCCGCACCCCCACCCCGGGCAGCTGAGCCCCAGAACTTGGGTGGCGGCGGAGACAAGGATCCCGCTCCGCCCCTCCCCGCCTGGCCTCTGGCCGCCAGGGCCTCACCCATTCCTGCCCTGGCTGAGCTAGGAAGTCGGACATCCTGCTGCGAGCCCAGGACCTAGGAGAGCCTTGGGACCCGCAGCCTTCAGGGGGAGATCTGGGCCCAGGGGGGAGATTTGGGACCCAGGGAGGTGTGGGCTGAGCCAGGTGGGCCCGAAGCTCCAGACAGGTGGCTCAGTCCCTGTGTTCCCACAGTCCCACCCCAGCTTGGAGCTCCAGTGCCCTGCATGCACCTTACCCAGGGTCTTCCCGAACCTTGAGCCCCCACAGAATGGCGGATGGAGGAGGAAGCCCCTTCCTAGGTCGTAGAGATTTTGTCTACCCGACCTCACCCCGTGGTAAGGACCAGATCCCGCCCCAGTGGGGACAGGGTGGGCACGGGCCTACCCAGGGGCATAACCCCACCCAGGCCTTTCTGCCCAGGCAGCCTGCCCAGGCTTAGCCGTGTCTCTCCACAGACCCCAGGGTCCCCAATCGGTGTGGCAGCCCAGCCAGGAAGGAAGAGAAGAAGGTAGAGGCGGGCGCCGGGGTCAGGGTGTGGGGTGGGCCTGGGACTGTGGCCCCTGCCTGACTGAGGAAGCCCACCCCGCCCTCTCCCCTGCCCAGAGGAAGGCTGCCCGGCTCAAGTTCGACTTCCAGGCACAGTCCCCCAAGTAAGCAGCTTTGTCAAGCCATGGGCTTCCAGGGCCTTCCACCCTGGATGGTCACTGAGCTTGGGAGTGGGTGGGAGACAGGGCTCCAGTCAGTGCCCCCTGCGGGATTGGGGGGATCCGGGTTCACTGGGCAGGGCCTGCCGCAGGGAAGGAGGTCAGGAGGCTTCAGCTTGCTGTGCCGTGGGGCTCCGGCCTGCAGGGAGCTGACTCTGCAGAAGGGCGACATCGTGTACATCCACAAGGAGGTGGACAAGAACTGGCTGGAGGGGGAGCACCACGGCCGGCTGGGCATCTTCCCTGCTAACTACGTGGAGGTGAGCGGCAAGGCTGGGCGTTGGCAGGAGCTAGGCAGGGCACAGGTTCCTGTGCTGAGAGACTTGGGCTGCAGAGCCCAGGATGCCTGGGACTCAGAGCCTAGAGGGGCGGCGCCCCCTCCCTCCCCTGAGTGTCTCTGCCCTGCAGTCCCAGCCTAGCGCCCAGCATATGCCCAGGCTGCTGCAGGAGGGTGGAGCCCAGCCCAGGAGTGGACCTTGTGGCCCTGATTCTCCACTCGAAGCCACCACCCAATCAGTGTCCTGGGCTTTTACCATTCCCAGTCATCTTTCTGAAACTGTCCTTGAGCCAGATGTGTAATCCCAGCGTTCAGGAGGCTGAGGCAGGGGAAAGTTCTGAGACTGCTCTGGGCTACATAGTGAGTTTAAGGCCAGCCTGGGCTACACAGGGAGACTATACCCTATCTCAAAAAACCAAAACAATAATAATAATAATAACTGTCCTTGTGAGTAATCCTAATTGTAATTAGCAAGAATTCAAGGTGTATAATGATTTAGAAGAAATAGTGCTTCAGGTGTATTAACCTCCTTTGTTCTTCCATTGCCTGGGGGCCACAGATTATCCCCATTTTACAAACAGCATTTCAGAGTTTCAGTAAGATTTACTAAATCATGCAGTTCTCTCCGTTTCAGACAAGTTCTAGACCTGATAGAAGCCTAGGTTAGCATAGGTTATTTTTAGGATCTGTGTCTTTAAGAATGTAGTGGTGCATGCCTGTAATCTGACCAACTCTGGAAGGCTGAGGCAGGAGAATTTCAAGATCCAGCCCAGTCTGGACAATTTAGTAAGACACTTTCTTATGGGGCTGGGGATTTAGCTCATTGGCATAAGTGCCTACCTTTCAAGCTTGCAGTCATGAGTTCAATCCCCAGTACGGGGTGGGGTGGGGTGGGGGTGGGGGAGTAATTGACATACTGCAAAGGCCCTAGGTTTAATCCACAGTATGTAAAAAATGAATAAATAAATAAACTAAGTTTTTAGCATAAAGTTGCTCATGCTAGTCTCTGATTTGTGGCACCAGGGATTGAACCCTGGGCCTAATGTATCCCAGACAAGCATTCAAGCACAGAACCATATCTCTAGCCCCTTTTTCTTTTTACTTTGAGACAGGTTCTTTCCAAGATGATAAGCTGCCCCAGCTGAGCTCAAACTTGTGTTACTACTCCTGCCTCCGCCTCCCAGAGATTATAGACATGTGCCACCACACCTGGCTTATTATCCTTTTGATGTCTGTAAAATGTGATCTGTTTTTTTATTTTTGGTATTGGCAATTTATATTCTGGCCAGTGATTTTTAAAAAATTTTTATTAGTGCATGTTTGTGGTACATAATGATTCTGTTCCTTGTGGGAAGTTGGTCCATGGACATGACACATCTGAATTCTTTTCTTTTTTTGTACACCTTAATTCTTTTTTTTTTTTTTTGTCAATTTCATGGATTTCTACCTCTTTATTATTTCCTTTTTTGCTTATTTTAGGTTTAATTTGTCCTTTTCTAGCTTCTTAGAGTGCATGTTTAGGTTATTAATTGGAACCTTTCTCTCTAATGAAAACATCTGATGCTTTCAGTTTACCTCTAAGAACTGCTTTAGCTGCGTGTCACAAGTGTTGATTTTTTTTTCATTCAATTTGAATGACCTCATTTCTTCTCTCACTTCCTGTCTGACCCAAGGGTTAGGCTGTTGTTTAATTCAAGCTCTTGATTTAATAGGCATCATAAGCCTCCCTTGCTAATAGGTTAATCTGAGCTGAAATCTCACAGTGTACAAGATTCTATTCCACCAGTTATTTATATCCTATTCTATTTATTTTGTTTTGCTTTTTGAGGCAGAGTCTTGCTATCTGGTTTAGGCTGGCCTTGAATTTACTGTGCAGCCAAACTGGCCTTGAATTTGCAATGATCTTCCTGCCTCAGCCTTCCAAGTGCTGGGATACAGGCTGAGATCAGGCTTGCACCACCACATCTGGCTCTGTGACTTATATCTTAGTGAAACAGTTGACCAGATTCTTAATTTTTATGAGCAGGGTCAACAGTGAGAGCATTGGGACTGGGCCCTGGTCAGGGAGGAGCAGGGAGGAACCAACACACTGAACCCAAGGATACTGGGTTTCATCAGAGGTGAGAGGTGAAGTCCCAGCCTCAGGACACATCCCAGATCCTCCCTGTGACTCAGTCCTTACTCTGCTCTGCTGGCCACTTTACTCTGAATTGAATGAGCTTCCACCTTTGCCCTTGCCCTTCCCTGCCCTGCCGGTGCCTGTTTCACGTACCTCACTAAGGTTCCTCCTGCAGGAAGCTGCTATCTCCACCTCTTCCTCCTCTACATCCTGCACCTCCTCTTCCTTTTTGGTTTCTTCAAGATAGCCTCTCACTGTGTAGTCCAGGCTAGTCTTGAACTCACAGCAGTCCTTGTGCCTCAGCCTCCCGAGTGCTGGGATTACTGGGTGCACCTCCATGCCCAACTAGGACGCCTTCTTGGATTCTGTGTCTCAGCTCCCCTTGGTCGTGGCTGCCACCAGGGCTGTGTCTGGTGTCAGTGTTGGAGGTGATGTCTTCCGTTCGGCCAAGGGAGCTCCTCCCCTACTACAGGGAGGCCTTGGTGAGCCAGGCAGATGCCAGCACCACATCTATCTCATTCCTTCCTTCCTGCAGGTGCTGCCCGTAGATGAGGTCCCCAAGCCCATCAAGCCGCCCACCTACCAGGTGGTGGAGTATGGAGATGCCGTGGCCCAGTACACCTTCAAGGGGGATCTGGACGTGGAGCTCTCCTTCCGCAAGGTAGCGGGGAGTGACAGGTGGGGTGGGACAGGGGAGAAGCAAGGGAATGAGCAGAAAAAACGAGTTTTTAAAGAGTCAGGTGGGGGGGGGGGCTGGGGATTTAGCTCAGCGGCATAAGCACCTGCCTTGCAAGCAGGCAGTCGTGAGTTCGATCCCCGGTACCAATAAAAAGGAAAAAGAAAAAAAAAAAAAGAGTCAGGTAGACCAAGCATGGTCGTGCATGCCTATAATCGCAGCATTTGGGAGGCTAAGGTGGGAAGATTGCTTCAAATTCAAGGCCAGTTTGGCTGCATAGTAAATTCAAGCCGAGGCTACATAGTGAGTTCAAGGCCAGACTGAATTATATAGTGAAACTGTCTCTAAAAGATGAAAAAATAAATAAATAAAAGTCACATATACCCACCTGTGCATAGTATTTCTAGTATTTCAAATTTCCCCCTAGTCTCTTGGAGCATGTTCCCTGTAGTCTAGTCCATTTTTAAGATTGTTACAAACTTCTGTAGTTTTTGGGCTGGGGATTTAGCTCAGCAGCATAAGCGCCTGCCTTGCCAAGCACGTGGTTGTGAGTTCAATCCCTGGTACCGGAAAAAAAAAAAAAAATCTAGAGTTTTCATTTTTCAGTGGCATGTTGGTAGGCCATGTATTTTTACAGCAATAGGTAAAAAATATTAGATTACGTTCTGTGTAGAAAGAGTGTTTTATTGGGCTGGATTAGAATAGTGATAGAATACTTGCCTCACATGTGCAAGACTCTGGTTCGATCCCCAGCACTGAGAAAAAAAAGTGTAAAAGAGAGGAACCTGGCTTGGTGGCACAGGCTGTAATCCCAGCTCCTCTGGGAGGCTGAGGCAGTAGGATCGCAAGTTGGAGCCCAGCCTCTCAAAAAATAAGAGGAGGACTGGGGACGTAGCTCAGTGTAAAGGCCCACAAGAGAGGGGTTACCTGATCAGACTCCAGGCAGATGGCGTGTGTGGGTGCTGCACAGTTTTTTAACTATAGATTATTTGAAAGTATTTTGAAAAATGCTGTCCTGGAAAGTAAAGAACCGACCTCACTGGGATTACTCTGGGGATAGAGTTCATGAGCGCTCTTGGGGAATACCACCCAGAGGACCCAGTCCCAGGGACGAGGGGAAGCAAGTGGCTGGATAGGACAGAGCAGATGAAGCCCCCACTCCCCAGGGGGTAGTGGTCCTGCTCCTAACCGCAGTCAGCTGGGGGCTGGAGAGCAGCACCTGCCCTGGGCACGTTGTGCTTTGCCGCGTTGGTGACAGACTGTCCCCACATGGGAGGCAGGCGCTGCTGCTTTCCCAAGCCTGCCGTCATCTGGCCAGATCTGACACTGGAGGAGAGAAGCTGAGAGAGGATGAGCAGCTCACCCCCCCACACACACCCTTCAGCGCCCTGGGACTGGGCAGAGCCCAGCTTGCATCTGTGCACCACCAGCTGCCCTGTGATTGGCGCCTTGGGGAGGGAAGGAGTCTGGGTGGGGATGAGGGGCGCACTCACCCTCCCTGCCTGCAGGGGGAGCGCATCTGCCTGATCCGCAAGGTGAACGAGAGCTGGTACGAGGGGCGCATCACGGGCACCGGGCGCCAGGGCATCTTCCCCGCCAGCTATGTGCAGGTGTGCCGTGAGCCCCGGCTCCGCTTCTGCGATGACGGCCCCCAGCTTCCCGTGTCCCCCCGCCTGACCCCCGCTGCCCGCCCGACCTCTGCTGCCCGCCCGGCCCCACGCAGCCCGGCCAACCCAGCGGACTGGGGGTGCTGTGCCTCGCCCCGGCGCACCGGCCTCACGGAGCCCAGGCCCCAGACCCAGGTGAGATGGCCAGGTCCCACCCCAGGTCTGGCATCCATTGGGAGTCTTGCCCAGGCCAGAGTAGAGGGCACACTGGCCAGCTCCAGGAACTCCAGACTTCAGCCAGCCTGCTTTAGGTCGAACCCCAATGCCAGCCCAAACCTGGTGGCCTTCCAGATGCCACTCTGTCAACATTTGCCTGGGGCACTGTGGACCTGCAAGGCAGGTGCCAGTTGCCTGCTGTGTAAGCCAGAAAGGGTGCTTTCACATCTCTGGGGTTGTGTTCTCGTCAGAACAGTGAAGATTCAGGTTTCCAGTGGGGAGGATGCATGGATGGGTTTGAGTGGGAGGTTATCACAGCTGACATAGGGAGCAGCACTGTCCCTGGGGCTTTGTGACCCATGTGAGCACCTGTTCACCCAGCACTCCTGTCTGAGAAGGTGCAGCCCTGTGTGGGGCTCCCATGGATTCCCAGTGTTGTCCTTGCTGGCACTCAGAAATCCAGTCACTTAGCTGGACACAGTGCTAGCTCCTGTAATCCACCACTTGGGAGACTGAGGCAGAAGGACTGCAAGTTTAAGATCCTCCTGTACAATTTAGACCTTGTCTCAAAAAGGTGGGGAGGGGGCACTGGAGCTATGGCTCAGGGTAGAGGCCCTGGGTTCCATCCCCAGTACTAGGGGGAAAAAGTCAGTCACTTACCGCTCCAGGCCTACTTCCTGGCATCTATGAAAAGGAAGAAGTCCTGGCACACTCCTGGAATTAAGGGATTTGTGAGACAGGATCTAGAAGTGTGTAGGATACACACCTTGTTAGCTTCTGTCTGATGCTGCTTCCATGTGACCCCCCTTTCCTCCTGTGAACCTCCAGAGTCTCGGCACCCCTGGCCCAGCACTGTCACACCCTCCAGGCCCCAGCCATCCCTCGGATACCTCGCTGCCCAGCACCACGCAGATACACTGGACCCCGTGAGTTACCACCTGAGGGCACTCGTTCTGGATCGGGATCACTGAGGTAGCACTGAGCACCTGGCCCCCACCTCGGGCGTGGCAATGCCTCTTGGGTGACATTTGTCCTTGCAGAGCTTCTGCAGCAGTGACGGTGAACCTTTTAATGATACAAACAGCTTGCTGCACATCACTGACCTAAGGGATTTAGACGCAGCGAGGAGTACTGGGGGAGCCGGAGACATTCGCAGGAAGTGGCAGCTCTTGGTTGAGCCTGAACTTCCGCCCAGTCTGGGGAAGGGGCAATGAGGATTCTGGCTACACTGCATTCCCTGCAGGTACCGGGCCATGTACCAGTACAGACCACAGAATGAGGATGAGCTGGAGCTTCGTGCTGGGGACCGGGTGGATGTCATGCAGCAGTGTGACGATGGCTGGTTTGTAGGTACGTGGGCTGGGATGACTATGGGGCAGGCTGGAAGGGCATCTCAGGGGCCTCTGGGTGGGCTGCTCCCCGCCAGCCTGATACACCCACCTAGTTTCCCACCTGGCACTGGCTGCTCCCCCAAAGCCAGCCTTCCTGTTACCCCGCCTTAGAGGCCCTGCAGAGGGCCTGACCCAGCTTCCTGATGGATCCCCTGCTGTGTCCCAGGGCAGGGTTCCTGGAGGGAAGAACACAGTCCCACACCCATATACACTGCATGTAGCCCAGGGCAGCCCCGACACAGCACTAACACAGGAAACCTCAGGTGGGCTCTGGCCTAGTTCAGGGTGATCCCTGTTCAGACCGCAGCCTCACAGAGTGGGCCAGCACAGAAGTGAGCAGCCAGAGCCCTGTCGTTCAACAAGCAGAGCTTAGGGCCCAGAGAGTTAGGGGGTACCTGGGCAGGAATGGCTACAGAGACACTCCAGATGTGGCATCTTGTCTTTTCTGATCTAAATTTCAACACTTAAGTACCAACCACATTTCTAATAGACAAGTGACTTTTGTTTCTTGAGACAAAGTCGCATGGTTTGTGGTTCGGTCTATGTGGTTCAGGTTGACTTTAAATTCATTATGTAGCCCAGAGTAGCCTTGAACTTGTGGCAGCCATCCTGCCTCAGCTTTCCTAGTGCTGGGCTCTCACGCATGTGCCACAGCTAGCCACACAAGTGATTACTAAGCAATAACGGGTGCATAGTCCTTACTTCTAGGGACACACTGTAATTTTACTTTGTACATTTTTGCTTTTGAATTTTTTTATGCTGCTGCTAAAATCTCTAGACTTGGGGTACACACCCCAGCCCTCAGAGGCATGGCGCACATTGGCACCCAAAGAGTGCTAGCCACTGGCCATTTTAGCTGCTCAAATGTACACAGGTTAGAATGAAAGGAAGCACAAGGCTCTTCCCCTGTGTTACACTAGCACGTTTCAGGTGCCCACTTACACATGACAGTGGTCATCAGTCTGGACTGGGCAGGGCAGGCTTCCTGGAGGAAGTGGGTGGTAGGCCCGGATGGTGGGCAGAGGAATGACCTGGGGAGGCCAAAAGGAAAGGAGGGCCCTCTAGGTGGGGCCTGGCATCAGTGAGGGCTTCTCAGGGCAGAAGTCAGAGTAATGGCCTGGGAGGAGGTCCAAGGCCGCCAGCACACCCCAGGCTCATGTCTTTCCACACTCCTGGACTTCCAGCCTTTGTGTTCTTTTCCCCGGAAATGTGGTCCTTGCGTCTGCTGCAGTCCCAGTTCTACCCTGAGCGGCAGTGGTTTGGGGCTGTTCACCTGGCTTTCTCTTAGGTCTCACCCACCCTTCTCTGGAATGAGGGTGCCAGGCTAGCCCAGTGAGGTTTCTGCTGGCAAAAGTTCTGTGATTCACCCTCCTGCTTTCTGGCTTTCATAAAGAAGGGTGGAGATGCGGGTGTGGCGGTACACGCTGGGATCCCAGCCCTCAGTAGGCTGAGGCAGGCCAATGACTGAGTTTCAGGTCAGCCTTTGCTTGGTACATAGTTCATGGCCGGCCTGAACCAAAACCATATCTCAAAAAAAAAAGGGAATAAAAGGAGGAGGAGGAAGAGGAGGAGGGTGGAGTGATTTGTGCTGTGTGCCGTTGTACACATTTGCTGAGAGCTCTCTTACTTGATTTTTGAGCTTGGGAAGCATCACTTGGCCTAGCTAAACTGCTGCCACCTGGGTGCAGAGGTGAGGAAAGCAAATCTTAACTCCTCTGCTGGGAACCAGGCCCCATCTGCAGTTCTGGCCCAGGCCAGCAGGTGGCGGAGGCAAACACCCCACCACCACCACCAATTCTGGTTCGAGCTGTGTGTATGTTCTTCTTTCAGGTGTCTCCCGGAGGACCCAGAAATTTGGGACATTTCCTGGAAATTATGTCGCCCCGGTGTGAATGGTCTTCATGGCAGCTTGGAGCCAGCTAGGATGGGGCGGGGAGCGCTTGCATGTGGTGGGGGGAGCAAGGCCCCCGTATCCTCTTCCCCCAAGACCTACCCTGCCACTATCTGCGGAGACCCCAGCAGCCTCTGCTCCAAGCCTCTTCAGAGCCTCCTGGACTAGTTGCCACCCACAACTCACAGGCATCTGACAGGCCCTTCACCTTCTCCCCCTCCCCAAATACAGAGGTCTGCTTTGAAGTGGAGACTGTTTCCAGACTTTATTAAGACCAGATCCCTGGTCCCCATGCCAGGCCCTGCCCGCTGTGTGCGCCCTCTAACAGGGATGGCTCCCAGCTTTACCCTGTGGGGTTCCTCTAACTAGGACCAGCCTCCTGACCTGATGGAGACCAAAGGCCACCTGTGCCTGGAGGGGCCTCCTGCTTGCCCACTGTCCCTTTGCCTTCTGGCCTCCAGCTGGGGCTGGGAGCAAGTGGGGACAGATGCAGGGTTATCATAGCCTCCAGGGCCACCTCTTTTGAACAGCCACTAGGCCTGATCCAGAGGGTTCATAGGGGGACCATTTGCTGTCCTTGCCACCCGGATCTCCCCCTGCATCCCCTTTCCTTCTGTACAAGAGCAGAAAATAAACATGGGTTCCAGAGCCTGGCCCCTAATCGTCCTCCTGCTGAGCGCCGTGGGGCTGTCCTGCAGGGGGCCATACCAGTCAGGTCCGACAGGTTGTGTTCATGCAAGGGGAGGCTGGGAAAACCCCATGGCAATCTTCAAGATCTCAGCCCTCGGGTGCAGGTGAGAGGAGCAGCCCCGGGACCGGGTAGCTGTTGGACCAGAAGTGCTGAGTGGACGTCACAGGGCCAGGAGAAAACCAGAGATCAAGTGTGGCCTTGTTTGCGGGCTATTTTGGAGCTACCACTGTGGGGCTGCTAGACTAGATGACATTTCTAACTATTCCACTGCTAATGTTTTCCTTCTGTGCATTGCATTTCCGCACTGAAGCTTGTGTGCTTGTTTATTTTGTTTTCTGGACTCAAGTTTTTGAGCAATCGATTGCGGCAAGCTGGGAGTGGCAGGGCACAGCCAGCCAAAACACTGCTCCCCTGAAGTTTTAGAGCCATGGGTCTGTGGCTTCTGTGGGACATCAGGGATGGGACAGTCCAGGGCTGGCTGCTTTTCCAAGAAGGGAAGCCCCATTTCTGGGGTGCTGTGGAGAGTGGGGCAGGAGTAAGACACCGGTTTGCTCCCTAAAGCAGGCATCATGGGCAGCTGCACGGGCTTCCATCTGACCAGAGAAGTAAACGAGGCCTGAGAAATTACACGGCTGAGTCACATAGTTATTCAGTGCTGAGCTTGGTTCCCCCTTGCTGCATATACTCTGCCCAGGGCCCCATGGTGCTTCTCCAGAGCCTCTGGAGGAGGTTTGCATGGGCTGTCAGGGTGGCCACGGGCTGGGGTGCTCCCATGTTCTTCCTGGGACTCTAGTCTCCTCCACCTGTCACGCAGGGTGCTGCTGCCCCAGGCAGGTGGGGAGAGCTGTTTGCTGCCATGAAGGGTGGTGGTGTCTGGTCCTGTCAGGATAAAGGGAGCACCCGGCCCACAAGCTGGTGGCCTGGCCCCGGCAGGTTCCTTGAGCCTGGGTGTGCCCTGGTCCCTGTGGGGATTGAACAGTGGCTTACAGAATGAAACCTACATGCCCTGCTTCATCTCCATCCTTCACGCCACGGCTTGGCTCTACCATGGCAGGTCCAGGCTGTCCTCACCAGAAATGACCACTCCTCAGAACCCCTAGCTTGGGCGTGACCCTCCACCCTAGCTCCATCCACATAAAACATCAGAATCAGGGCTGCTTTTCCCTGGGCAGAAACAGTCCACACCCTGGCTCTGATGGGATGCTCTCATACAGCAAACAAACCCTGTGTCCGCGGCTGCCTGCCTGCCAGGCGCATTCTGTGCTGTGCCTGGGCCTTGGTGTGAGGGGCAGGGGAAGAGAGGGTCAAGGCACCCATGGTATGGCTCACCCAGCAGAGAGGTGGGCAGAGGGACTCGTACCCAGGGACACAGAGTCACTTAGGGAGGTCCCTTCTGTGTCATGGAGACAGGGGACCCGGATCAGCTGATCTGCTTTCATGGAGGGTTTGGTAAACAGTTCACAGCACAGAACCATGCAGATGGATCTGGAGATGCTTCCAGGGCCTGTTAAGGCCCGCAGTAAGAGGGTCCCTCTGAGTACTTGTCCAGCAGTTTCTTGCACACGGTGGGTACTCTGTATTTGTGAAGCCTGGTGCAGTGCTGTAATATCAGCACTCAGGAGGCTGAGGCAGGAGAATCACAAGTTCAAGGCCAGTCTGGATTATGTAGAGACCCTGCCTCAAAATAATAATAATAATAATAATGATTTGTGTCTGGAGGCTGAGGCAGAAGGATTGCCATGAGTTCGAAACCAGCCTGGGTTACAAGATGAGTTCAAGGTAACCTGAACTACCTGGTGAGATCCAGTCTCAAAAACCAAAAATAAATATTTGTGGGATGAGCAGGGTCTCCTGTCCACCCCCAGTTGTGGCAGGCACTCTGGTTTCACCCTTCTGTGGCCCTTGGACTTTGCCTGTAGGAGAGTGATGCATACAACAGAGCAGCTGTGCATCTGCTTGGGAAAACGGAGGCCTCGAAGGCTGAGGACGTTGCCGCGGTCACACAATGAGAGGCAGCTATGGCGTTCCTGGAGCTCTGTGCATCCTGGAGGCCCAGTTTGCCCTATCTGTGGCTTCCTGCTCCCTCAAGGAGCTTCCAGGGGCAGGGTGTGGCTCTGTGGCAGAGAGTGTGCCGAGCATACATGAGGCTCTGGATTCAGTTCCCAGGCAGTTTGCCTGCCCAAAAAGCAAGGCAATAGAGCAGGTGCCTTCAGGCTCCGATTAGCCCCTGAAGTGGAGAGTGGCTCACTTCCCGCTCAGTTCTGGGACCACGGTTGCAGGAGGTGGGGCCAGGGCAGTGACCCGGGACAGCAGCTGAAGGTGTGGGGAGGAGACAGAGGTGGTGAGGAGGTGCTCAGGGAACTCCTCCCGAAGGACCTCGCCAGCAATGACTCACACCTGAGCCACGCAGGTTACAGCTGTGTCCGCAGATGCGCACCGAGTGGAGCGCCAAGTTAGGAGACGCAGGAGGTGGCTGGCTGGGCCTCGAGCTCCCCAGGGTGAGGGTTGCCAGGTATGGCTCTGGGGAACCACTGGGCACCTGGGTCCCCTGCCCGGCTGTCCTGCCTGACTCCGGGAGCCTGAGACCAGGTGGCTGGGAAGGGACAGAACAGCCCACCAGTGGTTGTTGGTTGGGGCTTCCTCCAGCGCGACTCCAGGCAGGGCTGCCCCGGGCCAGGCATCACCCTTCACGTGCTTCCCACCCCGCTGGCCGATGGGCTCACGGAGAACTGCTCGCGGGCATCTCTGGCAGGGACGCGGGGCGCTGCGGAGAGGGAGCCCGGCGGGCAGCGCCAAGCCAGTCCCCTGGCGTCCGGGAAAGGGATGGTGGGGATGAAGGGGTGGTGCTCGTGGGAATCTGTGGATGCGAGACCGCACCGGAGCGGGTGGAGGAACCCAGCAGAGCGCAAACCGACCCAGCCGGCCCTGCCTGCCCCGGAGTGCCGGGATCAGGCTCCCTTGAAAGTGGGGTGCTTGGCGCCCCTGGCTTGGGAGAGCCTGTGGGGCCCGCGGCCTGGGGAGGGGCAGGGCGGGGCGCTAACCCTTAAGCTGCTGCTCTGAGCTCCTGGCTGCGCGCAGGACGCGAGCTCCTCGCCTGTCACCGGTCTCCTCGCGGGGCCAGGTGGCAGCGCGGGACCCGGAGGCGCGGAGGCGGCGGCTTCCCGGGCCAGGGGCGCGGCAGGGGCGGCCCCGGATCTCAGGGGCGGAGCAGGTCGCAGAGCCCCGGGCGCGCTCTCCCGAGAGTCGGGCAGACGGCGGTAGCGGGCGCGGCGGTCCTTGCTGCCTCTTCCTGGCTCCCTCGTCGCCTCGCTCCCGGCCCGGACGCCCAGCGCGACAGGTGAGCGGAGCCAGGTGAGCGCGCGCCCGCCGTGCTCCCCGCACCCCGCGCCCCCTGACAGCCGCTGACCCCGCACAGCCGCTCGGCCGCGACCCGGGGTCCTGGAATCCCCCCACCACCACCACGCCCCGGGTCTGGTCAACCGAGCTACATTGACCTTCGAGTTGAAAAGGCTCCAGAACTGGGAGAGCTGGGCCAACGGGGCTGGGCTCCTCCCCGCGCACGTCTGCCTGCAGCTCGGAGTCCACTGGCCGGCTCAAAGGTCTGGGAAATCTCAGGGCGATTGCGTCTCCAGCGCCCAGCCTGGGGACCTGAGGAAGGGCAGAGGCCAGGCCTGGGCAAAAGGGGAAGCCAGCTGGCTGCGGTGGGACGGACAGACCCGCTGGCTTAAGAGTCCCCTGCCTCCCTGATGTCCTTAAGGAGAGTGGGCAGCACTCTCTCCAGACCAAAGTGAGATCTTTGGATCTCCCCTGGGCATCCCAGGATTCGTGCTGGGCTGGGTGGTGCCCAGCCTGGCATTGCAGCTTCCTGGCCGGGCTTGGCTCCTGGCTCCAGATCTCAAGGCTCAGGAAATCCCACACGGGCCTGGTCTGCATGGACACTCTCATGCCCAGCAGAGGGGGCAGTAGGCGGATGCTGGCAGGCAACATGAGGCAGCTCACCCTGTGGGTTGGTGCCAGGGGTGGTTGTGCACTGCTCCGCAGCCAAGGTTGGGGCTGTTCAGAGGGCAGCAGGCCCCGGGGGAGGTGTGAGCTGGGTCTTGTCTATCTGAACCACATTATCAGGGTTGGGCAGGCAGCCAGCTGGCCCCTCTGAAGACTTTGGCCTGACCCCAGCCAGCACCCAATAATGGCCAGCTTTTGGCATAGCCTGGCGAGGCCAACTCTGTTCCTTACCATCCCTCCTGTGCCGGAGCCCTGCTGTCCCTAGCCCACCCGTCTGCCTCCCCCAGAGTGGGGAGGAAGTACCTTGTGCTGTCAGTTTTGGGGACAGGAAGCAAACACCAGAGAGACTTACATAGCCTGGTGGAGGAGGGGAGAAGGAGAAAATGTGGGTCTCTGCCTCCACTTGGAACCCCTGCCCACCCATCTCCAGCAATCTCCGGTCCTGTAGTGGGACAGCTGCCTGCCCAGCTGAAGCCCACGGGGCAGGAAAACTCAGAGTCATGGCTTCCCAGAGTGGGGGGAAGTGAAACTCAGGGGTGAGGAGGGCGGGACTTAGCCACTTCCTCTACCCACTCTGCACACCCCCAGCCCTGCCGGCTGCTCCCAGACCTATCCCTCACTTTCCCCTTTTGCCTCTGGGTAGGCTGGACTCAGCCCCCCTCCTGCCCCCCTCCTCTTCCTCAGGTATGGTGCTGACTGTGGATGTGGTGGGGCCAGCGCCCTGGGGCTTCCGCATCACTGGGGGCAGGGATTTCCACACACCCATCATGGTAACCAAGGTAAGGGCTGCTTCCAGGACCACAGGAGCTACCCTGAAAGTCAGACCTGCTTTGTTCACCTGGGTCTCCTCTGGTGCCCTTCTTGTTTGCTTCTGGAGCCTGAGGCCTGTGGCTGACAGTGCTGATGGGGGGGGGGCTGTTGTGTGGGTTGTGGGAGACACTTCAGAAACAGGCTTTCATGTGGTGCGAGGGAGTAGGCCCAGACCAGCCTACGCTTTCCTGGAGGGTCACTAACCCACACCTGCTGGCAGCCATTTTAGGTGGTCACAGCAGTGAGCTCTAAGGGATGCTGGGCAGTGTTCTCCCACTGGCCCCGGCCAGGGTGCAGTGTGCAGGCAACCATAGGCAAGGTGTGATTTGCACAGGAAGGACTCTATCCAAAAGTATTTTCTAGCTCGGTGCTAAAAGCCTGCCATCATGCATTCTGTGGGTAGCCTCCCTTAGCTGGCTATGTGGGGTGGGGGCTGTCCTTGTGGCTTTGGGAAGGGATCAGCTGGTTAGCCCACAGACTCATAGCCAGAGAGGCTCAGCAGAGTTTTTGTGTTTCTTGGGCACCTTCCCTGTGTGTCCCAACAGAGGGACTCAAGGCTCACTGGTCTTCCTCCTTGCAGGTAAATGAGCGGGGCAAGGCTGAGGCCGCTGACCTCCGGCCTGGTGACATCATTGTGGCCATCAATGGGGAGAGCGCAGAGGGCATGCTTCACGCCGAGGCCCAGAGCAAGATCCGCCAGAGCGCATCTCCCCTGCGACTGCAGTTAGACAGGTAGGCCTGCACGGCTACAGCCACCACCGCCACCACCACCCCAACCTGGCTGCCCTGGGCTCCTCTAGCACGTCTGTGACAAGGTCCCAGCTCTGGGCAGCCCCAGATGCAGTGGGAGGTGGGGTAGGCAGAAGGGTGTCCCTGTGGCCAGCTGGGTGAAGGTGGGCGCCAGCCTGGGCGTGCAGCCACAGGCTGGGTAGGGCGAGCTGGCACCAGCCACCTGGAAGCCCGGGTCTGACTGGTTCCCAAGAGTGTGCAGAGTACAGGCTGTGGGCATGAAGTGGGTTGAAGAGGGGAAACTTCTGGGCAAGATGTTCCCTGGGCTGGGCCGCCAGGACCCCTTCCTGTCAGAGGTGCAGAGGAGTGGTTGGGGGCTCATTGCGCACAGAGCTCATCCTTTCCTCCCCATCACTGCTCTGAGCCCTGAGTGAAGTCGAATCCTGGGCTCATGAGGTTTGGGCCTTGATGCCAGGGTTGTGGGGGTGACAGGTGACTCCCCAGGGTGGGGCATTGCAGTGAGTCACCACCCAGGCACGCTGGGGGATCCTCCAGTCAGGAGAGCCCTCTGGGCAGCCTGGACCTGAGTCAAGTGCCTCCTGCTTCTCGACTGCCATCCGTGCTGCCAGGCTCTCGCCAAGCCCTACCTCCATGCCCTTCCTCATGAGGGCCCTGTCTGTGGTCTGCAGAGGCTCCTCCCGGCAAGCACTGCCTCCCTTTTGCCAGTCTGAGAGTCTGCAGGACTGGGACCCTGAGGAGGAGGTGCAGAGGGGCTCGTGGAAATGCAACCAAGACCTATGAGGCGAGCAGGGAAGGACAGGCAGTAGCTGACACCTTTACTTCCTCCCAGTCCCTGTGGAGGGACCAGCCACCTACCCTGGGCTTCCAACTGCACCCCAGCTCTTCCTTTCTCTGCCTGGTTGAGTCTTCTGTTGACGCCCTATTGTCAGCTCCCCTAGATCTGACCTGCGCCCTTCCCAGGGCGGCAGAGGAGGCAAGTGGTCCAGGAGCAGCACTGGCGAGGCAGTGTGGTGGGGACGGGGATGGGTGCTGGTGCCACCTGCCTGACAGGGAGGAGCCTGAGCAAGGGCATTCGGGCTGGCAGTGGCACCGCTTGCAGGGGTCCAGCCTGTGGGTGGGAGGAAGTGAGTGTCTGGCCCAGGTGCTGACGAGCTGGGGGCTTTGGGCATCTCACTGTCTCTCCCTGGACTTCAGTTTTCTTCTCCACAAGTTAAAATCTAAAGAATTATTTATATGAGATCAGCCAGCTTCCCCACAGTGATCCACAACTCTACATGAAATTGGGAAAAGAGCGGGGCGTGGTGGCTCATGCCTGTAATCCCAGCACTGGGAGGCTGAGGCAGGTGGATCGTTGCAAGTTAGAGACCGCCTGGGCTACAAAGTGAGCCCAAGGCCAGCCTGAACTGCACAGTGAGACCCTGTCTCAAAAAGAAAAAAAAAAAAAAAAAAAGGGAAAAGAAGGGAAGGGGGGATAATGGCAGGAATTTATAATCAAATTGAATTATGAAACTTTTTGTTGAAATTATGATTATGAAATCTCTTTTGTTTTGGCCCTGATTTTTCTTTTCTTTTTTTTTTTTTTTTTTTTCCTTCTTTTTCAGTACTGGGGATTGAACCCAAGGCCTTCACACTGAGCTACATCCCCAACTATTTGTATTTTTATTTTGAGGCTGGGTCTTGGCAAGTCATTAAGTTCCCCAGGCTGGTTTCAAACTTATCATCCCTCCGCCTCAGCCTTCCAGAGTGCTGCAGTCACAGGCGTGCGTACCTCTAATCCCAGTACTCAGGAGGCTGAGGCAGGAAGATCATCATGAGTTTGAGGTCAACCTGGGCTACATGGTGAATTCAAGGTCAGCCTGAACAAAAAAGTAAGAATCTATCTCAAAAATCCTCAGGGCTGAGGGTTTAGCTCAGTGGTATAAGGGCCTGTGAATTCGACCCCTGGTACCAAAAAAAAAAAAAAAAAAAAAAAAAAAGTTGAAAAACCCTCACACACAACACACAAAAGGATTGAGTGTCACATGCAACATCCAGGTGCCCTGCGTGGTCCCTTAGTTTTGAGAACCAGGTCTGAGACAGTATGTGTGACGAAGCAGACTGGGGGCTGGGCCCTGGGTGACACTCCTCTCTCTATGCCCCCTCAGGTCTCGGGCTGCCTCTCCAGGGCAGGGCAACAGCGATGGCTCCTTGGAAGTGCTGGCCACTCGCTTCCAGGTGAGCGGATACCACCAGCCAGGATCGGGAGCTCAGCTGCCCTGCGGACGATGGCGATGGCGGCTGGAGGTGGGCGGAGGGCTCCAGCCCAGCTCTTAGCGCAGCCCCTCTCTCCACAGGGGTCCCTGAGGACCCGCCCCGACAGCCAGTCCTCCCTGTGGTCCTCCTACTCCAGCCCAGCCTCCCTCAGCCCGCGGCCCGGCAGCCCCTTCACCCCGCCCCCCAGCAGCCCCCTGGGCCTGGCGGGAGAGGCCCCCACTGGCCACAGGTGAGCAAGCGGGCCCTGGCCTGACGCCCCCCAGACTCGCTGAGCCTCAGATGTGAGCAGGGAAGCCTGGGGGCCCCCTAGTGCCCGGGGCGTGCTCGGTGGGGCGGCACCGTGTCAACCATCGTCTGCCATCTGCCCTTCCAGCTTCCAGAGCTTGGCCCACTCGGCCGCCCTCTCCAGTGCCACCGTGGACCACTTGTCCTGCCCGTCCCCCGGGGGCCGCCCCGCATGCCGACAGGTGAGGCTTCTCTGGGATGAAGAGGCGCCTCCCATGTCACTGGCTGGGCTGCCAGCTGGTGCCACCTGTGGGGCCCTCTCCTAGCGACAGGCGAGTGCGGAGCTCCTTTCAGCCGCCTCCCTCCCTGCCTCCTTCCCCTGTGTTTCTCTTGGGCCGGGACAGACATAGTTTTGCTGACATCCCCTCTGGGCTCTGGCGGTGGCTGGGCTCTGGCACATTCCTCCCATCTGAGCCCTGACTCCCATCCCAGCCCCTCTGTCCCCTGACTCAGCCTGGGAGCCCCCAAAGGACTGCGGGCAGCCCTGAGCTGCCCTGGGCTCGTTCCATCCACCTGCTCCCCCTTCTCTGCTGGGCCCTTGTCCACCCAGGTCCCTAGGCCCACTGGTGACAGCCTAACCTGGGTGGCATTTCTCCTCCCCAAGGGCAGGGGTGAGCGGGTGAGGGAGAGGCAGCCAGCAGCCCTGACCACAGCTGCTGGGGGCGTGTCCAGCCTTTGGGGCGCAGGGGATGAGGCCCAGCTGCTGGAATCTCACCTCGGGTTGGTTCTGCATTCCAGGGAGCAGAGCATTTGGGGGTGGTTGGGGGAGGGGATGAAGGATGGGGGTTTCTAGAGAAGGGTGGGGCAGGATCTTGGCGGGTGCTGCAGCATGGGGACTGCCTGGGGACCAGTGGGGTGGGCATCCTGGCCACTCTGCAGTGCGCTTCATGAGATGCCTGTCTTTAATCGTGTGGGAAGCAGTTGTCAGCTAAGTTAAACATGTGAGATGATTTTGGAGCAATTAAGCCCAGCCAGTGTGGTATTAATTAGAAAAGCAGGGGGCTTTATGGGAAGGGGGAGAGAGCAGGGGCCAGGGCGGCCTGAGGAGGCCTCCTCAGGAATTTTGCTGGCCACGGAGGTTAGAAGGGGTGGGGCTGGAAAAAGGGTGATGGGCAAGCAGGAGGCGGGGCCTCCATCTGGGTAGGGCCTGCAAGATTTGGACTGAGGGGACCTGAGTTGTGGTCCCAGACAGGCTGGGAGTGAACTTGGCCTCAGGCTAGAGGTCAAGGGCGTCCTGTGTCCTCCTACCTGCCTTCTTCCAGCCCCCGAGGGCTATTGTCTCAAGGGGCACTACAGGGAAAGCCCCCTCCCTGGCAAGAGGGCATGTAGGTGGTATAGTGTGTGTTCTTCGGGTCTTGTTTTTGTTTTTGAGACAGGGACTTGCTACATTGTTCAGGCTGACCTTAAATTCACTATGGAGCCCAGGCTGACCTCAAACTCAGAGCAATCCTCCTATTTCAGCCTCCCAAGTTTATAAACATGCACCTCCATGCCCGGTGGCTCTTAAACTATCATTAACATCTGGGAATCTGTTGGAAATACAGGTTCTCAGGCCCCAGTCAAACCTGCCGAAAGGAGCATAGGGTGTTGGGCAGCAATTGGTGTTTGAACAGGCCCCCCATGAAAGGGCAGCCTGGCTGGGTGCCTGGAGATGCTGGTCAGTCACGCACCTCTGCTGGGAGGCTGGACTGGGTACCCTTTCTGCTCTCTCAGAGTCCGCGGAAATGGGTGCACAATTCCCTCCTCTGACCCTAAGGACTCCTGTCATTCTGCTGGCAAATATTCATGGCACAGCTGCTTTGTGTCTGGCACTCTCTGGGCTCCCGGGATGCATCTGTGGAAAAACAGAAGAGCTCCTAGCCCCACGGGGTATGGGATGGGTATGGGGGGCACAGGATCCTGTGTCCCTCTTTCGACCTACTGAGCTTTAGTCTCTTAGAGGCTCAAAGGCCGTGAGAAAGAAGGACATTTGATGTTTGATCGGATTAACTTTCTAAATCTATTGAACTGCAGAATTTTTCCTGGTGTCCCCATAACCCTTAACCCCTGTCCTGCTGCCCCACTCACCACGGCACCCCAAGTTCCCTGCAGGGGTGCCAGCTGCAGATTGAAGGGCAGAGCAGGAGCACCCTCCTGCACTTGGAGATGAAGGGTCCATGCTGGGCCCAGTTGCCTAGGAGGAAGGAAAGGAGAGAGAGAGAGACAAAGGCAGCCACTGTCCCAGTGAGGCTTTTGAGCCCCACCCCCGGAAGAGCTGAGGTGAGGCTCAGCTCTTTGGAAGCCTTTTGGAAGGCCCCTGGTGCAATCCCCGGTGTCACCGAGGCTGTATGCCCAGCCTCTTAAAAAGTTCTATTTTTAAATTTTTGTTTTGTTTTTCAGGTGGGTATGGTAGCACATGCCTGTAATCTTAGCAGTCAGAGACTGAGCAGGAGGAACATGATGAGTTTGAGACCAGCCTCGGATATATAGTGAGTCATAGTGAATTCAGGGTCATCCTCATAGTGAGACGTTGGTATAAAAATTTTTTTTAAGGCAAAGTCGAGGGCCAGGGTTGTAGCTCAGTAATGCAGGGCCTGCCTAGCAAGTGTGAGGTCCTGAGTTCAACTACTGGTACAAAAGAGAAAATAGAGGCAGAGAGAGGCAGAGAGAGAGAGGCAGAGACAGAGAGAGGCAGAGAGATAGGGACAGAGACAGACAAGGTCTCAGTTCAGTTGCTAAATTACCCAGGCTGGGCTGGGACCTGTGATCTGCTTGCCTCAGTCTCCCAGAGTTCTAGGACTGTAGGTGGACAGCCACCGTGCTGGGGCTCCTCACTTAGTAGAGTTAGGGTGACAAGGGCGCTTGAAAGGAAACTGGCCTCCAGCATCAATCAGATCCACAACTGGGGTGAAAAGCCGAGATTTCCACTTGGAGAGCAAAGGCCACAGCCCAAGAAGACAGCACTGCTGGGGCCAAGGTGTGGGCTTCCCAGAGCCCAAGCCATCTGGGGCTGGGGCCAGGGCCAAGTGAGAGGTAGGAAAGGACCTGCTAGGAAAGCAGAGGGGCTGGTGCAGAGCCCCACGCGCTTCCTTCATCTATGGGCTGCTCGCTGCAGGGTGCCCGCGTGCTCCTTCTGCCCTGCTTCTCCTGGACAGAGCCCGGCCCAGTGTGCACCTCTTTCAGGATGTGCAGCGTACAACCTGGCAGAGGGGACCTGGTTTCCAGCTTCCTGCATCTGCCCAGGCTCCCGGCAGAACTCCTGTAGCAGGGTGCGGCCTCGGTTCCCTTCTGGACCCGCATCCCTAGGGCCTGCGCCTAGGCCTGGGGGCAGTGAGGGCCGCACGCCCCCTGGCGGGAGCCTGGGAATCAGCGCCTGCCCGCGGGCCTGGGCTGGCTACCGCTGACTCCTCCCCGCTGCCTTCCTCCCACAGGCCGGCCCGGGCCGGGAGGGAGACTTGGCTGTGCGGGTGCTGCCCCCACGGTCCTCCAGCCCTAGGATCAGGTACCAGCGGGGCCTACGGATGGGGTGGGGGTGGGGTGCTCCTGAAGGGCCTGGGCGGGTTCGGTTGGGGCCCGGGCTTCCCCGAGGGATGAATCCCCGCCCAGCAAATCCGGGATCCAGGACGCCCCCACCACCCCACCCCACCCCTCCCTCCTTGCACGGTTCCGGACCCTCATCCCTGCGGCCCCGCCCTGCAGCAGCCCGAACTCCGAAGCCGGGAACTTCCTGCTGGAAGAGGACTCAGAGGTGTTCAAGATGCTGCAGGAAAACCGCGAGGGGCGGGCAGCCCCGCGCCAGTCCAGCTCCTTTCGACTCCTGCAGGAAGCCCTGGAGGCTGAGGAGAGAGGTGAGGCTCGGTTGCGCTGGGAGGAAGCTGGGGCACCGGTGTTTCCTAAGTGCCCGGCCACCACGCTGCCTGTCCTGGAGCAGCTTCCAGTGGGCTCAGGGGTACGAGATGCGCACCCAGAAGGTGGCCGGCAACACTGGCTGGCACCAAGACGGCCCTCTGGGAGGAGGGGAATCTAACTGGGCCTTGCAACAAGATTCACGGTTAAGCGAATGGCCTTAAGATTGGGCCGGGAGCACCGAGGAACGTGGCAGCCAGAGTGCTTTTGGGTGTGGGCAACAGAGAACAGCCTGGCCAGGGGGAGACCCCTGACCCAGCAGGGTAGTTTAGGCCTTCCGCTGGGTAAGATGCCATGGATAGCAGTGCAGGCCACGTGTGACCACAGTTATTCATTCCACAAACACGGATGTGCCTGTTGATGGAGCACAAGTATGCAGCGTAGGGATGGAAGATGAGGAGCTCCTTTGGGGCAGACAGGCCTGGCCAGCTCCCTGCTGTGGGAAACAGGATATTCCTTGAGGGGCCAAGACCAGCAGAAAGGGCAGACAGGAGTGAGGGCAGAGTGGCACAATGACCAGGGCAATAGTTCGTGGCTCACATACAGTGGTGCATATAAAAGCCCTCTGAAGACTGGACAAAGGCACTGGGGTGCTGTGACCTCCCGGGACTGTTTTCTGTTGGCACAAGCACGGACTCGGCACAGATGTGCCCAGAGACCTAGAGGGGCAGACTTGGCCTTGGGTCGTGCTTCCAGTCATCCAGCAACCCCATCTCAGAGCCTGGCTGCCATTCTCAGTCCTCCTTCCCCACCGTCACCCACGCCCGCTGGGACCCCAGAGGTGTGTGTCTAAGTGGACCTTCTGTGACTAGTCTGGGAGCGGCCCAGGAGCCATCATGGCCTGACGGCTGCTGAGGATGGCTGAGCTTGGGTGTGTCTGTCTCCCACCCTCCCAGGTGGCACGCCTGCCATCGTGCCCAGCTTACTGAGCCCCCAGTCCTCCCTGCCCACGTCCAGGGCCCTGGCCACCCCGCCCAAGCTCCACACCTGCGAGAAGTGCAGCACCAGCATCACGTGAGTGTGGGGGGACAGGAACAGGGACAGGAGAATGGCAGGGTGCCTTTTGGCAGGGAGGGGCCAGGGACCCTCAGGGACCCTGTGCCAGGCAGCGGGGGGTTGGGCCCTTTGCAGCCTTCCCATGAATGCCTGGCTGGTGCTTCCTGGCCACCTCCTCCTCTCATCCTCCCCTCCTCCCTGCTTCCGCTCCTCTCCCCAGAGGAATGAGAAATGCTGCTGTTGGAGGTTTCCCCTCTGCAACCTCCAGGCCTCCCACATCTGCCCCTAGACAAGGCCCCTCCTGGAAAATCTCCCTCTTCCCCTCCCTTGGCCATGAAGCAGGCTGGGTTTCCAGGGTAGGTTTGTTCTCAGTGGGTGGCATCAGAGTAGGTCGAAGTCTCTCCAGGATTGATGCCCCCTCAGGTAGACATTCCAAGCATTGGTCGAGGGTCAGGTGACTTGCTGTAGGGCAAACCCTTCATCTGGATAGGCTGCAGCTCAAGAAGAGGTAAAGACCCAGCCCCACTGCGTGCAGAAGTCACTCTGAGTGGGTGCATTTTCAGGGGGACACCCAGGCTACGTGCCCAGCTGGATCCCCACCTCAGCAAGCCTCGGGTCTGCAGCGTGCATGTCTGGCTGCCTCCTAGATGCTGGTGCTGGTGGTCCTGCCCCAGGGGCTATGCTGAGAACCACAGCTCTCTCCAGAGTCCAAGGCACCAGACTTTTATCAGTCTTCGTGTCTTTGTGTAGGGGAAGGGTGACTTCTGTTGTTGATCACAGCTGCTGATGGGGTGTGTGTATGGGTGTTTTGTGTATGCTGGGCTGCATGTGTGTGTGTGTGTGTGTGTGTGTGTGTGTGTGTGTGTGTGTGTTGGAAATCGTTGAAGGGAGATTCTTGAGGGAGTCCTGGAATTCAGATCCCCGAGAAGGTCTGCATGTCCCAGGTCCTGACTCTGACTGGGGACCAGACTCAGGGGTAAAGGGCTTATACGTGGTCTTCCTGTCCACTCATCCATCCTCTTGTTCCCCGCAGGAACCAGGCTGTGCGCATCCAGGAGGGCCGGTACCGCCACCCCGGCTGCTATGCCTGTGCAGACTGTGGGCTGAACCTGAGGATGCGCGGCCACTTCTGGGTGGGCGACGAGCTGTATTGTGAGAAGCACGCCCGCCAGCGCTACTCAGCACGCTCCGCTGCCCCCAGCCCTCGGCCCTGAACCTGGGGCACCCTGGATGCCGGTCCTTGGAGAGCACCTTGCAGGGAAGAGGCAGTGGTGGGGGGTGGCTCTTACATGAACTCAGTTTGGGGACAAAAGACCCCTTGGTCCTCGCTGGATGAGGCTAAGGACTGGAACTAGGGGCTTTGGATGCCTAGAGTAGCCCTACCCTCCCAGCCTTCCCCCTGTAGGACAGGCACTGTGCCACCTGCTGAAGTGGCCTGCACGATTGATATTTTATGTACAGGATGGGACAGAAACAGAAGGATCAGGAAGGAGGGGGTGGGCCAGAGGCCAACGGTAATCACTGTGCAGTGTCGGACACGAGCTCTATAAATATATGTATATGGGTGCACACAGCCAAGCAGATGGGTTTCTTTCCTGTTCTCTCATTCCCCGGCCCTTGAGTAGAGTGTGTCCCCTGTGTCCCTTCTTAGTTCACCTCCTTCAGCCCTGAACTCTATGCAGCCTAGCTGGCCTCCAATTCACTGCAGTCCTCCTGCCTCAGCCTCCCAAGTGCTGGGATTACAGCCGGAGGCCACCACACCTGGCTTTTAGAAGGTTCTTGAGGATGCTGCTGGATGCTGCCAGTTGGTCCAGGATGGTGGCAGCCTCAGCTTTACTTTTCATAGGGTGCCATGTCTCAGGGCAACCTGTGCTGTCTGGCTCTTCGGTGCAGGTACATTGATGCAGGCTGTGTGTTACCTCCTCCAGCACCTGTGGATATAATTTACACCTCGATAGCATCGTGTTACCTTTCACCTGGATGGCTGCCCAGTGACCAACCTTTATTTTTATAGGAAAGATCAAGGCAGTCTGGCTGGCACAGGAATCCCTGGGGCACCGCGGTTGGGAAATGGGTGGCCTCTTTGGCGCCACCTTGTGTCTAGGGCCACCCATGGCAGGGAGTTTGCTCAGGAAAGGGAATTGGCGTCCACAGCGGTGGGGATACTGGAAGATTCAGTGCAGCACTTTCCTTGCTTCCCTGAAGATGGACAAGTAGCAGCGACACAGTGCAACACGGCAGTGAGCGCTGGGGCGTCTTGGGGGACAGGAGCAGTGGCCATCTGGGCAAAGGACTGTCAAGTCTTGGGAGGGAGAAAGGCACAAAGACTGGGCACTGAGAGCAGACAGTGATGTTTATAGCAGTGGCTGCTGAGGATCGTAAACTGAGACTGTGCGGGGTCCCCGAATGCAGGCTGATGTTTGAACGTTACCTCAGGGCCCTGAGGACACTTTGGAAATGTCAAGCAGGGAGGCCACAGGTTGGGAAGGATGAGTAGGAGTCCGCCATACACAGCCATGGAGACACAAAGTCTAAGCGAAAACCTGCCCGTGGACCCTTGCTTACTTGGCACGGCTGGCTCTGCACTGGCCTTGAGGGTTTGGATGTGCAAGTTCTCTGAGGCCACGCAGCCCGCCCAGCACTGGCAGCAAACTCCTGGGGAGATGGCATCATCAGCTAGACCAGTCGGTCCGCTGTGGTTGGGGCAGGCTGCATATTTGTCCCCACCCACTCTCCGACTGCTCTTTCGTGGGCCTACATTGTGTACTTCCTGCCTCTGAGAGACGTTCCGAAGCGGCCCAGGAGAACATGGAACAGGACCCCTTTTGGGCAGAGCTGGGAAAGGGAGCTTTCAGAATTGCACAGCTTAGGTAGTCGGGAGCACTTTGGATGTGCTAGTGACACTTCAATGCCTTCACCGCCTCCTCACAGCTCCAAGGTAGGCGTTGCCAGAACCTTGTACTATAGATGAAGAAACTCAGGACAGGGACATTAAGATTCTGACCCAAGGACTCCTAGTTAATAAGGCAAGGGGCCAGGAACAGGACCACAGCCACCATGCAGGCTTCCTGGGGAGTGGGTGGGGAGCTGTCCCTCGGTCACCAGAGCCAGCCTTCTAGGTACAGCCCCAGCCATTGCTGGCCAGGGCGAGAGGTCAGCGGGCCCGTCAGGCTGCCTCAGCCTGGCAGCAGCTGCTCCAGGCTCTTGGCTTTGTCCTTCCTCCCCCAGGGCTCAGCTCTGCGCTGAGCTTGCAGGAAGCGCACTTCCTGAAGTGGGGCTTCCTCACTGGAGGTGGAGGGGCCCCGGGGCATGGCAGTCCAGTTCTGGATGACTCAGCCTACTACTGTCCTAGGATCTCAGAGTGGCTGCTCAGCTAGGGACGGCTGTGATGGTACAGGAGTGGACCACCCCAAAGCTCATTCCCAGGAGGGCTGTGGCACAGGGGTAGGGGCGTGTGCGGGGTTCTCCCAGCCACACACAACGCTTTGTGCTGAGACACTGCATTCCAGCTGACCGGGCTTCCCGTTTCCAAAGGCATTCCTGCCCCAGAGTCACCGCGGAGACCGCTTGGAATCCGTCCCCACATTCTCCAGATTCTGGCCGCACTCTGGCAAAGTCTCCCTCCCTTTACCTCCCCACCCGCTCACCCAGAAGGGCGGATGCCACCCGCCGGCCGGCGAGGCTGATGCCCACATCTTCCTGAGCTCCCAGAGGGCAGTTCCGCCAAAGTCTTGCTTTTCCAGCACAGAAGGGTCTGGCCCTACACATCAGGGTATTGAGAGGGGGCAGGCAGTGTTAAATTAGGGGACTTGGCTGACATTGGCATCTGGGGGCTTGGTTGTGGGCCCCGGTTTCCCGAACTTAAAAAGTGAGCACTGGTCCTGGGGCTCCGGAGGCAGCCGCTTCCATCCGTGGCTGTGGCTCCGCCCCTCCTCCAGGGGCCCAGGTGCGCGTCCGCACGTCAGCCCTGCTCCAGGGTCTGCCCCCGGGGTCTTGGACCCCACCGAGATTTTGTTCTGTCCCTCCCTCCAGTGGGGAGGCTTCTTTAGAATCCGACAGCTCCCACCCGGTCACCAGGCTGTCATGCTCCCCAGCCGCTCGGGCTCCTTTTAGGATGGTGGGCTGGGGGTGGGAGCGAAGAAGAGAGGCGCGAGGTGGGGACGAGAGGGCAGCTCACCTCTTCCCCAGTCTCTGAAGCCCCAGTCCCCTCCCGGCGCCCCGACAAGGAGGAGGAGTGGGTAGGGCAGGGGTTCAGATGCTGCCCGATGCGTGGAGCGCCCGCACTGGCAGTGAAGGATTCCGCGGTGCGCGAAGGATCCCGACCCCCTTTTCCGCGCTGGACTGCAACAGACCTAGGGCCCGCCCCGGGCCACCCAGCTCGGGGCGCCCTCTACCAGCACCCCGCGGGCTCCGTTTCCACTGCGCGCGAGTCCAGGCTCCACTCGCACCCTGGCTCGAGTGCGCGCGCGCGGGAAGGGACAGCAGAGCGCGCCCCAAGCCGGGACGGGGCGGCGACAGCTCCCGGGGCGGGGCCACCGCGCTCCCCCAAGGACGGCGGGGCGGGGTCCTTCCTGGGCCACCTCGTCCCTATCGAGACCTGGCTGCACCCTCCCCGCCGCTCCACAGCCCGCGCACCTGCGCCCCTCCACGGGCGTTTCCCTGCGGGGCGGGGACGCGGCGGGGACGCGCGGGCACACGGCGAGGACGCGCGACGGGCGGGGAGCAGCCATGCTGAGCCGGCGCCGCGTCTTCGCCGTGGAGCCGCTCGGCGGCAGGGGTGAGTCGCCCCCCTCCGGCCCGTGAACCCCGACTGGCGGACCCTCGTGGCTCCACGGCCGCAGGCCGCCGCCCCCCACCCCCACTCCCGCCGAGCCCCCTTCACTCCATCCGCCCCGCGCCTGGGGTCCCCGCTTCGCCTACTACGCGCAACTGCACCGCCCGCGGCCCAGTTCCAGCCCCGCGTTCGCTGAGCCCCTCGCGGGCGCGACCCCTACCGCCTATGTTTTGCAGGGTTGGGGGCAGTGTCTGCCTCTGCTTCTTCCCAATGGAGCATCCCGACCACGGGACGCAACAATGCACGGATACCAGCTTTCTTTCGCTGAAGTTTTTTTTTTTTTTTTCTTCTAAACGCTTCATAAAATCTTCACTATTTCTCACATCAAAGAACAAAAGACCCAAATAGCCATAACTGCCGTGTGTGTGTGTGTGTGTGTGTGTGTGTGTGTGTGTGTGTGTGTGAGTGTGTGATTTTTCGATTGACCCCAAGGAGCTAAGTCCCAGTCCTTTTAAAATCATATTGCCAGTCGAGGTCTCATTAAGTTGTCCAGTTTGACTTGGCACTTGAGATTCTCCTGCCTCAGCCTCTCAAGAACTGCATTTCCACCTCTGGCTGCTCCTATTTTTTATTGCTGTCTTCCATGAGCTCCAGGAGAGACTTAATCTTGCATTCTGGTGCTGCAGAACCCCTAAGAGCAGTGTGGACCCCAGGCTTCATACTTTGTAGCTTTCCCTCTCCCAGAAGCCCAATCTCTTGGGGGAAAGGGCTGCTCTCCACTTCAAAGGTTGGAGGCTTAGGCAGACTTTGGGTGGGGTTTGAGGGGGCAGAGGAATCTAGGGAGCAATGGCTGTGACCTACAAAGCCTTTGCTTACCACACAGCTGGAAGTGTGGCTCCTCATTGTTCTGAGTGTTGCCATGCAAGTGCCGCCCAGATGATTCTCAAATGGGGCTGGAACCCTTTGGGGACAGGGCTTTGGCTGGCCCAGGTCCTTCTCTTACCACTGACCCAGGGTGCTCCCTCCTCAATGCCACGGGCATTGAGGGCAGACTGTGCAGGCTGACACTGGCTGTCCTTGCAGATGGGGCTGGCAAGGCCCTGGCACACAGCTGCATTGTGCCTGGGGTCACCAGTACCTATAGACGGATCCCGGACTCAGCTGATGGATGTACCCTGGGCCTCCCAGAAGGAGAGGGCGAAGAGCCAAGGCAGCTGCTACTTCCCAAACTGGCCTCCTGGGACTCAGGTGTGGAGATGGTGGCAGGGGACAGCCCCGTGGCTACCTTTCCAGGGCTCTCTCAGGACTCTCTGAGTGTGGAGCCTACAGGGAGCTGTGAGCCCTCAGCCCTTGCTGCCCCCGAGCCCCCCGGCCAGTTGGGCCGGCTGCTGGCCAGCCGCAAGTTGGAGCAGGTTCTGGAGCGGTCCCAGGCGCGTCCCCGCTTGTCTGCACAGTGCCATGCCCTGCCATCAGCACCCTGGAGCAGGCCTGGGTGTGAGATACCCCTGCTGGGAGCAGGACAGGAGCCCACCAAGGCCAAAGCTGAGCCAGAAGTGGACTTGGAGGAGGCAGAGGTGGTGACTCAACCTGGAGCTGTGGGGGGAGCTGGGGGGGGTCACCCGCTCTCTTCCCCTGGAGCTCTCTCAGGGTGGGCTTTCTTTACTCCTAATTGATGGTGTGTCACTGCTTTTGGCCTCATGCCACTCCCAACTGCATGTGGCCACCCCCACGGAGAAGGTGGGCAGGTTTGAGTCCCTTTCCCAGTGGGTCGGGGACAGCCAATTGGTGTGTATCCTCAGTTGCCCGCTTCACCCCCATCTGCTGGTGAGGTATAGCCTGGCCATCTAGAGTTTCCCCTACTTGACTATGTCCCCCAGGGAGTGACTGTGGTGCCCAGAGCCTGGGCCTGCCTCCCAGGACAAGGGCTTCGCTACCTGGAGCACCTTTGCCTGGTTCTGGAGCAGATGGCGAGACTGCAGCAGCTCTACCTGCAGCTGCAGACCCAGAGGCCCCCAGAGGTGAGTGAGTTCCTGGGCAGGCAGCCAGGCGAGAGTGGGGAGACAGAAGAGCAGGACCCTGGGAACTGTCCCTGCTTCTGGAGCCGCCACAGCCTTCCCATTAGGCACCTACTGTCCTATCTGTCCTGTTCCAGGATCCGGAAGAGGAGGAGCCAGCCTTGGTGCCCTTACCTTCCCTTTCGCCTGCCCCAGGCAATGGGATAAAGGGATCAGAGGAGCTGCTAAGCCCAACAAAGGAGACAGGTACAGGGCATTTTTTTTTCCGAGACAGGGTCTTACTGTGTAGATCTGGCTGGTCTTAAACTCAGTGCATGATCCAGGCTGGCCTTGAACTTGTAGTAGTCCTGCCTCAGTCTCTCCAGTGCTGTGATTATGGGCATGGACCACCATCCCCAGCTGGAGGGGCAATTCTATCTTCCTCTGTGTCCCACCGGCCTCAGATGCCTTCCTAGGGTCCCACCAGTAGAGGCTGGGAGCTGAAGCTTGAGGAGATGACTTCTTTCTCCTGGTCCCAGGTAACCCAATTCTCTTTCTGAAGGAACAGAGGCAGCAGGCTCGAAGGTTGGGATGCTCGGAGTCAACCCTCCCCGGCTGCCAGAGGCCCCAGCTGAACCAAATGACAGCTTCTCACCCTCCCAGGGACACAAGGTAGTGATGGACTTATGTGGGCAGGTGATAGGCTGGGGGACTGTGGGATGGTGTGTGTAGGTACCCTGAAGGCTAGAATTGTTGACAAGATGACAGGATTACTGTTAGGAGCAGGTGACAGCTGTGCCTTGGGGCTTTAGTAGGGGATGTGTGTGACCCCTTACCCTCTGCTCACCAGGATCCCTCCCACTGGGACAAGCTCAAGGTCATGCTAAACCGGATCCGCTGGAGGAGCCCTGGTCACCTTGAGCCCTCTGTTCCTCCTAGTGGTTGTGACCCCAGGTAAGCCCTGTGCCCAGACCAGAATGGAGAGGAGACTGGTGAAATAGAATGCTGAGATTGTCCAGCTAATGGCTGTTTTTGTCCCTATGAAATTTGAAGGATGTGTTGGAGGAGGTGCCAGAAGGAAGAGAAAGTTGCTAAAATGCCCTATTTACGGATAAGGCAGCTGAGCCTAGTGGGATTTGAGACAATGGCTTTCTGAAAACTACTGAATGAGTTGGTGACAGAGCCAGGGAGGGCCAGATGATGGGAAATCTCCCTGAAATCCCTTTTCCCTTAATGCTGAAGCTCTCTGGATTTATGGGGTGAGCAAGGTAAAGGCCCAGACAAGGAGTTTTGCTTTGGTAAGGTCCAGCATACTTGGGGCTGTTAGTAATTCTCTAGAGGAAGAAGAACCAGTTTAATACCTCCAGGCTCCCTATAACAGATAAGCAATGCCCCTATCAACTCGGGGGCCATTCTTTTCTGGGGGCTTGAAGACTCCTTTTCTTTTCCACAGGACTGAGTCCAGGGACCTCTCTGAAAGCCCGCAGTGCCACCACCACCAGAAGACTTTTATGCCATCATTAGTGGTTAAAAAGCAACGAGCAAAAGACCTTTCTGTGTGCTGAGGCCTCAATGCAGCTGGTGGCCCTGGCAAACGGGATTTACCATGGACTCTTCTTTGTCATTTCCCCTGTCACTGTGTCTCTGCACTGCCAGGAAAAACTACTGATTCTTGCTCTTCTCCAAGGCGAGGACTGAATCTTTCTCCTCTGAGCACTGTGGCAGAGGAGCCCTAATTCCTGGAGGGGTACCAGGGTGTGACAGCTCCACAGCTCTGCTGCGTGGCTAGAAATCCCTGGGCCCAGACAATGTGAGCTAACTTATTTATCAGGCTTCCATGAATTTGGTGTGAAGATGCATTGCATTCATGTGTGATGATACTTTTGTGTGGGGCTGTCAGGATTGGTAACTGGCTGGATTCAAGTATGCCCGCTGGAGTCATGCATCCTAAGGGTAGGGTAACTATGGAAGGATGGAGCTGGGCTTCATTCCACGTGGGGAACTTATTGCTCTGGATTCCTGCTTGCCTTCTCATGCCTGAATTGGCAGCTCCAGCATAAAGAAGAGTGCTGGCTTGGCTCCCTCTGTACCTGGACTCCAGAAGACTATATGAGGAATGGGAAGGGATAGGGGAGGACAGTGTGGAGGACAGCAAAATAACCTTCAGGGTCAATTCTCAGCTGCTCTGCTCCATACTAGCTTTTACATGTCAGAGCTGAAACCTGCAGCTAATACTTAAGAGAGTCTCAATTTTTGAGCCACAGCTTCCCATTTTGGGATAATGATGCCTGCCTTACCTACCTCACAAGGTTGTGATGAGGATAAAATGAAATTAAACTGTCTCCAAGTGTGCTGTGAATGTTAAGTGAATAGGAAATGGGGAAGGGTATGGGTGCTGGAGGGAAGTTGGACTGGAGGGGTGATGGGGAAGTCAGGCTAAAGGGGGACCCTTGACAAGATTTTGAACGAATCATTTAACTGAAGCTTCTTAGGCTTCCATATTCAAGAATTAGGGCACAGATTCCTGATGTACTTACTCCTGAGGGTTGTTACCGGTTGTAGTCAATGGAAAGACAGGGATAGGGATGGGTTCATTGGCTTGAGTCATACAGAAGAATGTTTCCTAGATACAGCCGCTGGTCAGGCATGTCCCTTTTCCGGTTAGGTGAGGCTAGTTCTCTTGCTAATGTATGTAGTCTTGGGGGTTGCCTGACCAAGGCCGCTGTGTGAGCGGTACGCCCTCCTGGTGTATTGGGGTTCAACTTCTACTAAACTTGGACCAGGAACCAATGCTCCAAAGTCTACTTTTCTGATGGGACACTTAAGCTTGGGACACCACTGAGGCGTGGCTGGCGAAAGCCAGTCCGATCCGGGAAGGCGCACTTCCGTTCCACTATTGCAGTGGGATGGCAGGCAGACGTGGGGGGAGGGAGACGTCGGTGGAGGCGAGGGAGGGACCATATCCGGGAGAGTGGCAGCTTCCGACCAGTGGTCGCACTTCCGGAGAGACGCTTCCGGTGGCAGCGGCAGCAGCGGCTCTGGTGGTTCCGGGTGTCTTTGTCCCCCCAGTGTCGCGGCCCTGGCCCGCAGGTGGGTTGGGTGGCCTCCTGCAGCTTCTCTGCCCCTTCTCCTCTCTCCCAGCAGAGGGGCTGCGGGGGGTCGGGCGGCATAGATGCTCGGGACGCAGAAGGGGCAGAACCCCCTTAGGACTGCGAACCTCGTCTCCTTGGCAACGGCCTCGGCCCCGGGGGCGGGCGGGAGCAGGAGAAATCGCGCGCCTTCATCCTCCCACGGTGGCCTCACCGCAGCCCGGCCCCGGAGGACGCGCCGGCTGGTGCTCGGGCGGAGTGGAGGGCCGGGGAGCTGGAGCAGGAGGGCGGCCCTGGGTCGATCGGCCTTGGGTCGCCCGGAGAACCCTGTCCCATCCACCAGTCTGGGCGACAACGGGCCGGGCTTCCGGGGACGGGGCCCGCACCGGTCTCCTCCATTTTTCCAGGCCCAATGTGGAATGTTTTAGCGGATGTTTTTGAATGAATGAATGTCACCGGAGCTCTTTTTAGTCCCCAGTCTGTAACCTCTCTGTGGGTGGTACGGGATAGGGAGAGGCGAGCTGGACTAGTTTAGAGACCTCAGTGTGAGTCCCAGTTGTGTCCCTCCCTGGTTTTGTGGCCTGGGGCGAGTCTCCTAATCTCTGTGGTCTCTAGCTTGCTTCTCTGTAAAACAGCATGTCAATTTCATCTGCCACTAGGTTACTCTGAGAGCAAAATGGAACAATGTAATTTCTTATTTCCTTTCCTGCCTCTTTATAACCTCTTGCTGTTTCTCCATCCTCAGCACTCACGTCTCCACCTTCCTTTAAGATCCTTAAGATTCTTGTCTTTTTCCGGATAGGTGGAAATCTTACATACGAGGTGTTAACTTGTTTCTCTTCCTATTGAAGGTTTCCCCCCAAGATTCTGAAAGAGATCAGCATTCCCAATGTCCCAATTTAAGCGCCAGCGGATCAACCCGCTTCCAGGGGGACGCAACTTCTCAGGTGATCACTTTCCCCTACCTGGCCTCATACTGGGATGTGTGTGCGCTGGAATTATGTATCCAGAAGAATGACTTTTGGAGTTTCTCTTGTGGAAGGCAGTTTACTGCTACTGATTCTTAGGAAATGAGATCACCACAATGGTTGCCAGTGAGGCTGAGGAAGAGCTGGCCGGAGGCACTTTGCCCCCTGGTTTGCTGTATCCTCTTAAGCTGCCCGTAGTGCTTAAGGTAGTAGATTCAGTTCCTGGAAATTGCGTCTCTATCCCCATAGGCGCAGCTTCAACATCTCTTCTGGGCCCTCCCCCTGGCTTGCTTACTCCTCCTGTGGCCACGGACCTGTCACAAAATGCCAGGCATCTTCAGGTAGGTTGGGTATCCATTCTTGGGAATTTCAGCCTTGGCCCTGCCTTGGCATGCACACATTCCTGATTCTTTTTCATTTCTTACATTATAGTGGTCTGCATTCCTGACTCCTGTTCTGATAGTAGGCCAGGGCTTTCGGGGTGGTGGTGATGACTAGACATTCTTCTGGTTGGGCAGTCTTAATTTCTGCCTCCAAAGAAATCTTTAGGATGCTTCTTGGGATTAATGAATTGAAAATCCTAGAAAAATCTTGTGAGCCAAGATGAGTTAGTCTCCCCTCTCCCACAACAGTTAGTGTCTTATTTTTTCCTAGTATTGGGGATTGAATACAGGGCATTCACACCTGGCTACATTCTTACCCCTTTTTAAATTTTGAGACATGGTCTTGATGAATCACTGAGTTGCTCAGGTTGGGTTTGAACTCCTGTCCTAGCCTTCTAGAGTGCTGGATGATAGGTGTGGGCCACCATGCCCAGCTCTGTGTGAACCTCAGTTCAGGCTTCTGAGCCAGGCTCCAGATGGAGATGAGACACTAGAGGCAGAGTGTGATTTTGTTCAGGTTGCTCCCTATTACCTTTAATCTGCCTTTTTGCTTGCAGGGTGGGGAGAAGCAGCGAGTCTTCACTGGGATTGTTACCAGCTTGCACGACTACTTTGGAGTGGTGGACGAGGAGGTCTTTTTTCAGCTAAGGTAGATTGAAACTAGTCCCCTGCTGAAAATACTGATTGACTTTGTTTCTGTCACCATGCTAATGAAGCCCCCTTCTCTCGATCCATTGCTTTGCCAAGTGTGAGGATTCTTAATGGGAAGGCCCCATGGGCCAGTCAGGGTGGCTTTGCCAGGGTTCTTCTCTTGATGGGGTCTCTTGCTTGTGTGCTGGTAGTGTGGTGAAGGGCCGGCTGCCCCAGCTGGGTGAGAAGGTGCTGGTGAAGGCTGCATACAACCCAGGCCAGGCTGTGCCCTGGAATGCTGTCAAGGTGCAAACGCTCTCCAACCAGGTACTCATTTCTCTGTACATGTGCCCTGGAGCGGGGAGAGGGAGGCACACCCCATGCCCTGATAGCTGGGCGAGACCCTTACTTTTGTCCAGGGGGTGGGACTGCATCTTTCCAAGATATTAATGCAACTTTGGGATCTAACTTTGGGATCCCCTGAATTTCCTGACAACTGTCCCACAGCCCCTACTGAAGTCCCCAGCACCTCCCCTTCTGCATGTGGCAGCTCTGGGCCAGAAGCAAGGGATCCTGGGAGCTCAGCCTCAGTTAATCTTCCAGCCTCACAGGATTCCCCCACTCTTTCCTCAGAAGCGTGAGTACCAGTGGCATGGATGGATGTTGGGGTGTCGCTGTAGAGAGTCCTCTGGGTGACTAGTAACTTTTAGGCTGCTGCTCTGAGGATAGAAGTGGGTCCTCCTGCACACTGCAAGGAAGGGAGGGGGAAGTGGGCCAGGTTTTCAGAGTTTTTGAGTCATAGCCTTTTCTTCTCTGTAGCTCTGAGTCTCTTCCAAACATCCCACACACTTCACCTGAGCCACCTGAACAGATTTCCTGCTCGGGGCCCCCATGGACGTTTGGATCAGGGCCGAAGGTAAGAGAAAGATCAGGCAGGACAGCTGTTGTGGTTCATTTCCTTCTGGTGTGGTATCCCTCTTTTTTTTTGGCCACCTGTTGATAACTAACATTCTTTTGCTGCAGCTGGATCCCAGCCTCTTTCTTGTAAAATAGGTGTATATGCAAACAGAACTTTATAAACTGGCTCAGCAAAGTAAGGGTTTGGTATGGGTTGGCTTTCAGAATGTCATATTAGATACTTTTTTAAATACATAATTGCCCTTGTATTTCTAGTGACTAACATTGAAACTACACAAATTGTTTCAAGAACATGTCAAAAAATGTAGCATTGCAGTGTGTATTTTAATTCCTAGTTTAAATGATTATTTGTGTTTACTACTTATTTAAGTGCAGCGCTGAAATGTGCTGCTGCTGTCCACCATGGACATGTAGGCCGCAGTCTTTCTTGGCTAGAGGTGGAGCAAGTGTGGTTGACTTCCGCTCGGCGGAGATCCCAGTAATCCTTTGTCATCTGTGAGCGTCCGTGACTACAGGAGCACACTGTCTCCGGTTCACATGTCCCTTATCCTGCCTTACTCTCCGGGAAGTTTTACTTATCATTATTATTGTTTTCCTCAAATCCATTTTATTTCAAGGAGAAAAGAAGAAGAAGAAAAAAAAGAAGTAAAACAAAATTTCAAAGCACATCAATCAGGGGGCAACAATGGTACATATATTGTACGTTGTTACCCCCAAATCTTTCACCCAGAGCACAAGACATCTGCTTACAATTATCTGAACAATGCCAGCACAAATCTTTTTCTTCATTGAACTTGGAAAAATCAGTAGTATAACTATCTAAACTATTTTTTATATACATATACATACATACATATATACACATTTTTCAGCTTCTCACACTAGTGAGACAATACGATGTTTACATGTATGTGTCTTATTTCACTAATGAGTATTGTCTCAGGTTGCATCCATTTAGCTATCAGAGTCTCCAGCTTATCCTTCTTTATGGTTGAATAGTACTCCATTGTATTTTTATACATCTTTTTATCCATTCCTCAGTTGATGAGCATTTAGGTTGTTTCCAAGATGTGGCCATTACAAATTGTGCTCCTATAAACATGGGTGCACATATATTGCTGTGGTATGATGCTTTTGATTCTTTTGGGAAGATACCCACGTAGGGAATAGCGGGTCAAATGGGACTTCCAATCCTAGTTTTTTGAGGACTCTCCATACTGATTTCCACAGTAGTTGCACCAGTCTGCACTCCCACCAACAATTGAAAAGGGTTTCTTTTTCCCCATAGCCTGTCTAGCATTTGTTATTGGTTGATTTCTTGATACTAGCCATTTTTCTGGGGTGAGGTGAAATT